CCACAGTAGGGGCCCGCATGGATCGCCCTCATGATCGATTAGCAAAATTTTCTAAGTCCAAAAATCAAATATTTTTTTATCACCAAAAAATGAATGTTTATAATGATTCAGAACAACGAAAAACGCATTTTTAATAAAAATATATTTACACTTTTTTGAAAATAACACTCACACTTATGGCAAAATAGATGAGGGCCACAGTAGGGGCCCGCATGGATCGCCCTCATGATCGATTAGCAAAATTTTCTAAGTCCAAAAATCAAATATTTTTTTATCACCAAAAAATTAATGTTTATAATGATTCAGAACAACGAAAAACGCGTTTTTAATAAAAATATATTTACACTTTTTTGAAAATAACACTCACACTTATGGCGAATCCATGAGGGGCAACGTAGGGGCCCCGCATGGATCGCCCTCATGATCGATTAGCAAAATTTTCTAAGTCCAAAATTCAAATATTTTTTCGTCAACAAAAAATTAATGTTTATAATGATTCACAACAATGAAAAACGCGTTTTTAATTAAAATATATTTTCACTTTTTTTGAAAATAACACTCACACTTATGGCGAATCCATGAGGGGCACCATAGGGGCCCCGCATGGATCGCCCTCATGATCGATTAGCAAAATTTTCTAAGTCCAAAAATCAAATATTTTTTCGTCAACAAAAAATGAATGTTTCCAATGATTCAGAACAACGAAAAACGCGTTTTTAATAAAAATATATTTACACTTTTTTTGAAAATTCACCTGAGATGATTCATGATAATAATCATAAAGCATATAATTAATTATATTTTATAAATTGCATTTGATTGGAAAATATAATTTAATATCTTAACTTTAACTAAATGATGTTAAGCACTTTTCTTTGTTAGGTATTTTTGAAGTTTAAATAGCATCAAGAAGTTAGCATTCGTTTTGAAGTAGCGTGCGTAGCGTAGTTGGTAAAGCGTTAGACTCATAGTCCGTAGGTCGTAGGTTCGATTCCCCCCATGCGTTAGATTTATTTATTTCTCAGGTTTGCGTTTAATCATTAATTCTATGTATGAATTAATTGAAAAATGAAAATATCCGTTAATAGTATGCATAAATTACATATTTTTTAATTTTTTAATTAATTAATTTATTATTACTTTTAATTATATCCGACAGTTAATTAATTAGAACGTTAATTAATAAATTCAATTTGAGTAAGAATTTAATTTAAAATTGAATAATTATTAAATAAATACGTTATTTATTCATAACTTAAGCTTATTTATTATTAATTAACTTTTATTATTAATATTATTGATTAAAAAACATTATGGCAAACTTGAGGGCAAGATGAGGGCAAACGTGAGGGCCCATAAGGGCGCCCGTAGGGGCACCCTCATGGATCGCCCATGCGGGCGCCCTCATCGATGAGCATGTCGTTTCCATGAGGGGCCCCTATGGATCATCCATATGCGGCCCTCATGGCATGAGGGCGATCCATAAGGGCCCCCGCTGGGGGCCCACATCACTTTTCCACACGGGTAGGTAGAATTATTCTCATATTACAGAATTAATAAAATGAATTTAATATCTAATAACGTTAGTTATTTAAACTAAAATTTTGTTGTAAAATTTTTTGTGCCTTAAGGACAGGTCAAAGTCGATGCGATTTTCCCACTGAAGCTCTATGTAAAAATTGCATCGACTTTGACCTACCCTTAAAGTCGATCCGAGGCCTGAAATTATAAAAAAAATAGTTAAATAATAAAATAAAAATTGTAATTATATATTAAAAATAATAATATTTTATTATTATTTTATTTAGTTTATTATAATATTTTTTGTTATTTTTTTTATTCCTTTATTTTTTTCTCTTGAAATAGAATAATATTTGATCGATTTGATTTGTATCGTAGAATTTAATTCGTTTGTAAAATTCAAACCAGCAAATTTTTTCTATATTTTTATTAACGGTTTTTGAATCGATAGCGGTGACTGAATATATGAGATAAGGTCTGTACGATATGTGCAATCAACGATAATGGAAGTAACTAGGTCCTTCGATCGGATGGGCGGATTTCTAAAAATACCACCCACGCCTCTTTCTTTTAGTTAAGCAATATATATATATATATATATATATATTGTATAAGGAAAGGTTGGGGGTGCCCACTTTGAAGATTCAAATCGATATTGCACTTGCTGTACGCTGAGGGACAACATACGATCATTAAACCGTGTAATTAGGTCCACTTTTGTGTACATGTATATAGCATATGTGCTGAGCTGCATCCATCTCATACAATATATTATACATACGCCTGATTAAGAACATGCATGTCCCATTAATGACACGATTATAAACTATAGTTTTACCGTTTTGACTTCCGTCGATAGAAAAGAAATACATACGGGTATAATCATTTTTTTTTTAATCCCCCTGGACCACGATATATAATTATTTTATCGTAAAACATTTTATTATTATTATTTTGTGCTTCAAAATTAATTTTTTTTTTATAATTTCTCGAATTTTTTTTTTTTTTTTTTAAGTGAATTTTTAATGCATTTTTTTCTGTAAATTGAATTATATTCAAAAGAATTTTTTTTCTCTGTCGAACCGAATTTGTAGTAGAATTTTTATATTTTATTTTAATTTTCGTTTAATAGAATTTTTATTTATCCAAATGTTTGATTATAGAATTTTCATTTTATTTATTTAGTAAATTTTCTATTTTACGGAAATTTTTTTTTACCGAATTTTTTTTTTGTAATTTAGTGAAATTTTCAATTAGGAAATTTGAATTTAGATAATTCAATTTATTGAATTGTATTCAAAAGAATTTTTTTTCAGTCACTGAATTTGTTTGTAGAATTTTTATAGAATTTCCATTAACGGAGAATTTATGATTGTTTAGAATATCATTTTTATATATAGAAAGTTATCCTTTTTTTTGAATTTTACTTAATTTTCGTTTAATGGAATTTTTATTTAGCGAAATTTCTGATAGTAGAATTTTTATTTAATCGAATATTTATTATTTAGTTTTCTAATTTACAGAAATTTTTTTTTAACCGAATTCTTTTTTAATTTTTTTTTTTAGCAAAATTTTCAATTTAGTCAATTATTTATTTAGTTGAATTTCCATTTAGTATTTTTTTGAAAATTCTTTTAACAAAATTAATAATTAGAAAAAAAAAATTTTTTCTCAATATTTCCATTTAACAAAATCAAAATATGGTCAACAAATTTTTTTTTATATTAAAATACGGAAAACGAAATTTTCGCTAAATGGAAAGTTGAAAATTCCGCTTTTCAATTTTTTTTTATCTAGTTGGATTTTTTTTTTTTTTTTTGCAAGAAACTAGTTTTATTGACCTTTTGGACATTTAGTATTAATGAAGCAAATTTCTCTCGGTTGACAGATTCGACATTTCACTGCTCTAAATTACTTCTGTTTATAGATGTTGTACTTATAAAATCGTTAGTATTTTCTCTTCTTCATATACTTTCAACTTTTTTTTTTCTTTTTTTTTGTGTTTTTTTTTTCTTTTTTATCGAAACACTCATCATTCTGATGAGGAAGACACACGTATTTCCACATTAACTGTGACATTAACATTAGCACAGGTGCAATGTCACTATTTACCATTAGAACGATGTGTATAGGAATGTAGATTTTCCTTATAAATTTTTTCAATGTAATTTTCAGTCTTTGTGTATGTATGGAGAAATTAATATTCCATGAGAAATTTTTTGAGAGTTGATTTAAATTATCTTCCTGTTGTTTGAGATTTTGAAATAAAATTTCAAATGAAATTTTCGGTAAATAAAATTTCGAACTAATAAAATTTTTAAAACAAATGAAGAAATTTTGGGAAAATAAAATAAAATTGTCCAAATTCGTTTTGTACCGAATTTTGGGAAAAATAAAATTTTTGTTTTGATAAATAAAATTGTAAATATATAAAATTTTTGATATCAATTTCCAAAAAATAAAAACTATTACAAATTAATGTGAAGTTAGAAATTTTTTCCAACACAAATGAAATTTGTTGGGTATAAATAAAATTTTTGTAACCAAATAAAATTTTGGATAAATTAATTAATAATTTTGAATTGAGAAAAATTTCCAACATAAAATGGAAAATTCAAAAAAAAATTAAACTTTCATAAAGAAATTTTTTTCAAAATTTTCTAATTTTCAAAAATTGTGAAGAAATAAAATTTCTGGGTATAAAAAATTTTCAATTAAAATTATAGGAGGTTGAAAATTTAGACAAATTAAATTTCGACTATACATCAAAATTTTGTCAATTAAAAATTCAGATTAATGAAATTTTGTACAAGTGAAAATTCGAAAAAAATTAAATTCCGAATACAAATACAAATTTGGATAAACTAAAATGCATAGGAAAAATTGTTCCCAAAATGAAAATTCGTATACTAATTAAATTTCGGTTAAAATAAAATTTCGAATAATAAAAAATTTGCCCATAAAAAAAAAATTCAAAACAAATGAAATGGAGTAAAAAAAATTGCCAGAAAATTATAAATTCGGTTAAATAAAATTTCGGAACTAGTAATTTCACATAAATTCGGTTATTTAAATTTCGATAATTCGTTTTTTTTGTTTATTTATTTATTTATTTCAAAACTTATACGGATTTATTATGGAAATTTTTATTTTTTTAATTTTAATTCAAAATATTAAAATTTTTATTTTTTAAAACAATAATTCTGTCAAATTTTGAACTAAATGAAAATTAACAAAAAACCAATTTTGTATAATGAAAATTCGTTCAAATGAGAATTACAAAAAAAAATATTACGGAAATTTTTGAATTTTTTTCTCTATAATTTTTTTTCTTTTGTATAATTTTTTGTCGAGACCAGAGTATAAACTATTGATATACAAATATATATATATATATATAATACATATAGAATGTACCACGCTGCAATGTACTATAGTCACGTGTTCGTATGTATACACCTTGGGGCTTTAGAATCAGCTTTCAGTCGGTGCTAGTAGCTCGTGTCGTGCATTAACATTTTAAATTCTCGCTTTTTCATTGCAAATTTTTCAACGAAAAAAAAAAAAAAAAAAATTCACTCTTTAATCTTTTATTTTTTCTCTTTTTCTTTATTCGGTGTATTAAAGAGTACATTAAAAATTGTGCGCCTAAAAATTCGTTCACTGTGCCATTCAATTTCGTCAAAATAAATCAATTTAAGTTCTGTTGCCCCTGTGATATATGTGTGCTCATAAACTTTGCCCCAACAACGATCCTTGACACGCTAAATGATTTCGTGATATTTACGGTAATAATAATAATAATAAAAATAATAATAGTAATAATAATTGGGGATCGATTCGATTTTCTGATCGATAATTTTCTCGTATTTTATTATAAAATTTCTTCTGTGATCATTATTTTATTTTTCAATTTTTGCTGTTTTTTTTTATCATATAAAGTTATCAGTTTTAATTTTCTAATAAATATATGGAAATTTATCACTTGGTAAAATTTTAGTTTATTATTTTTTTTTAATTATTTGCGTGTATAATAATAATTTTTATTATTTTTTTTTCAATTTTATTCTTTGACAATAAAATAGAATTTTCTCTTATCTAGATTTTTATTTTTATTATTTTATTTTAGTTAATTTTTATACTATTTATTTTTTATTTAGTAAAAATTGAGTTATAATTTTTTTTTTGCAAAATTGTTTGTTTGCCTTTTTTAATTTTTCCCAGTAAATGTTTATTTTTTCTTGAAAATTCAATTTTTTATTTTTTAATGAGAGTATTATTTTTTTCTATTTGTAAATGTAGAATAAAATTATTTTTTTAAATTGTAAATTAAACGGATTCTGAAAAGTGAAATAAATTGAATTTGCTTGCTCCGAAACTGAAAATTATGATTTTGGAATTTGCAATTTTTTTTTTCTTTCATAATCAAATTTTGTACAGTAATATTTTAGGTGAATAATTGTTATTGGGGAAAATTGTTTATTAATTTTTTTTTTGTTAAGTAAAAAAAGTTTTATTAATTTGTTTTTTGTTAATTAAAAAGTAAAAAAAATTTTATTCAATTTTTTTTTTATTTTACTCTCTTGTGCACAGAAGAAGCGCAATTTTTCTTTCATAAAGGAAGTTTAAATTTAGCCTTATCACTGAATTTAAGACCATTAATATATATCTCTTTTACAAACGATAGTCTTTTCGTTTTCACTCTTACGAATCGTTTTCACTTTTTTTAAAACGATGTGTTTCAGTGATTTTAACGTGTGTGTGTGTATAATTTTTAAAATGAATAGAAAAAAAAAATTTTTTTTGAATATAAAACAAAAATAATTTAATTATTTTTCTCTCTAAATTTGGAATGTTGTCAATGTAGTGAAAATATTAACTACTTTTTTGTAATTTTTTCTCATTAAAACGGCATTAATATAAAAATTACTGAATTAGTAAAATTTTACTCAAAAAAAAAATAATTAATAAAAATTTTTATTAAATTTTTCTCATTAAAACAGCATTAATATAAAAATTACTAAATTTGTAAAATTTTACCAAAACAAGAAACTATTTACTAATTTTTACTTCGTTTTTTTCACTAAAATTTTTAGTAAAAATAAAAAAAAACACCAAAAATAAAATAGTAAATTTTTAACCCTTGAAAATTCTGATTTAAATTAGTCAACAATTTCATTAATTTATTCAAATGTCCCGTTAATTTGTTAAGAAAAAAAATTTACTATCATTTTTTTTTCTATTACTGAAAAAAATTTGAAATAATTTTTTATTTAAAAAATTTTTATTTATTTCTTTTTTGAATAATTGAAATTAATAAAATTGAGAGAAAGAGAGAGATAGAGAGAAGAAATAAATAAAAAATAGAAATAGTAATTATAAAATTAAAAATAATAAATAATAAATCTTTAAAATTTTATTTATTTTTTTTTCGGCCAACACTGAAGTTTATTCCTATCACGCAAATATGGTAATTGAGATACGCATGCATAATGTTGAATAGTTAATGCATTCCAGAATGCAGTTATAGGAATAGCAACTCGAATGAATAACTGGATTAGAATTGATAACAATTTGTTAATTCTAATTAGTACCTTGCTAAAATTCTCATTTTATTATCAGTCATCTATGTTTGTACTTATATATAAATATATACACTTAATCTATCATTCGCTCTCTTAATCTTAATTGAGTAGCAATTTTTAAAATTCACATTATCATAACTTTGCATCGAGCAATTAATTTAATCTTCACTTTCATCAGCTCCACATCGAAAAAAAACCAAACTACTTTTTTTTATAAACAAAATTTTTTTGTTTTTATAAATTTTTTAAAATTTATTTTTTTTTTGTAAAAGTTTTGTTAAATTTTCGATTTTACAATATAATAATTTTGCTTTTATGCTATTTAGATTTTATATATAATTATTATATAGTTTTTTTCCCCTATGATTTTATGTGTTTTCTTTTTAGTTAGAATTGTTGTTTTCTGTTTCTTTTTTGCAGTAAAGTGAGAAAAAAAAAAATAAAAAAAAGATTTTGTAGCCGTTTATCTACAGAGATTTCTCAGTAGTTGAATTTTGTTCTTTGCATGGACTGGCTTGTCAGTATATTCTACTTCAATCATTGTCTTCTACACATGAATTCTACGTATGTGTTTTGATCCTGGCAATTGTCAGTCATGACCAACGACAAACAGGTGAGTCATTTTTATTTTCCTAAATTCACACGCATATTATATTTATATAAATAATTTGTCAAATCCTTTCTTTGTTTGGAATCGCAAAAAAAAATGTTTACATCACATTGAATTATATATTTTTTTTTTCATTTTTCTATAAATATTTTTTTCATTTTTTGTTTCTAAAAAAATGAATTTTTAAATTTTTCTATATTTAGAAAAAGAAAATAGAAAATTTAACTAATTATAACTATTTCAGATATTTGAAATTATTTATTATTAATTAAAATTAATTTAATAATTAAAAGTAATTAAAATATTTGAGAGGATAATTTAATTTTCAACAATAAAATAAAAGTCATTCGTGTAATTTATGCAAATATAAAAACTAGAATCAATTTAATAATTGATATAAACTTTTTTTTATTTCACTATTAACGATATTTTTATTTACCTTTTTTATTTTGTAAAATAATAATTGTTTATAAAATTTTTTTATCCTAGAATAATGGATTTATTATTATTTTTTTTTTTTATACAAATCTCTATTTGCTGATCCTAATTATAGTGAAAAATAAAGCATTTACTAAGAATAAAATGGTTTTATAAATAGAGCTATACACTTATGTCTATATTTTCTTTATATAAATGCTTTGTCATTTCACTTGCAATTAAAAACTACTTCTATATCACTAATTGTGTCCCAAGAAAAACTTTTTCTCTTTATTAAAGAGTAAATTATGAAATTTTTTTATTAAATTAAAAAAAAAACAAAATTTGCAAAATTTAAATACTTTTTTAAAAACATTTTTTCTTTGAAATTTTAAGTAATTAAAAATCGAAACTGATTTTTTAATTTTGAAATTTACTTTATTATCATTTTACAAAAGAAATTAATTTGGACCAAAAAAAAAATTTTTTTTTAATGTAAATCCAGTTTTTTAAACTAATTGGTTAGACTTGAATATTTTCAAATAAATATTTATAATTATAATGAATAATAAAATCCAAAATATTTATTTATATAAAAATTATTAAATAATTATTATTTTAATCAATTAAATATTTTTATTTATTTTTTATAATTACCAAATGGTGATTAAAAAAATTACAATTTAAATTTAATTTTAAATTATATTATTATACAACAAATTTTAATTTAAAATAATTTTTTTGTTAAAAATTATACAGCTGGATCTTTTGAATTTGGGTGAAATCAATTACAATTTAAATTTAATTTTAAATTATATTTATAGTAAATACGGAAATTATTGGTTTGAATACAATTTATTTGATTAAAATTTAAAAATTTATTTAATTGTAGTTAAGTAACTGAATTATTTGAATTAAATAATTTTTTTTTCAACCCGTGTGGAAAAGTGATGTGGGCCCCCAGCGGGGGCCCTTATGGATCGCCCTCATGCCATGAGGGGCGCATATGGATGATCCATAGGGGCCCCTCATGGAAACGACATGCTCATCGATGAGGGCGCCCGCATGGGCGATCCATGAGGGTGCCCCTACGGGCGCCCTTATGGGCCCTCACGTTTGCCCTCATCTTGCCCTCAAGTTTGCCATAATGTTTTTTAATCAATAATATTAATAATAAAAGTTAATTGATAATAAATAAGCTTAAGTTATGAATAAATAACATATTTATTTAATAATTATTCAATTTTAAATTAAATTCTTACTCAAATTGAATTTATTAATTAACGTTCTAATTAATTAACTGTCGGATATAATTAAAAGTAATAATAAATTAATTAATTAAAAAATTAAAAAATATGTAATTTATGCATACTATTAACGGATATTTTCATTTTTCAATTAATTCATACATAGAATTAATGATTAAACGCAAACCTGAGAAATAAATAAATCTAACGCATGGGGGGAATCGAACCTACGACCTACGGACTATGAGTCTAACGCTTTACCAACTACGCTACGCACGCTACTTCAAAACGAATGCTAACTTCTTGATGCTATTTAAACTTGAAAAATACCTAACAAAGAAAAGTGCTTAACATCATTTAGTTAAAGTTAAGATATTAAATTATATTTTCCAATCAAATGCAATTTATAAAATATAATTAATTATATGCTTTATGATTATTATCATGAATCATCTCAGGCGAATTTTCAAAAAAGTGTAAATATATTTTTATTAAAAACGCGTTTTTCGTTGTTTTAAATCATTGGAAACATTCATTTTTTGTTGATAAAAAAATATTTGATTTTTGGACTTAGAAAATTTTGCTAATCGATCATGAGGGCGATCCATGCGGGCCCCTACGGTGGCCCTCATCTATTTTGCCATAAGTGTGAGTGTTATTTTCAAAAAAGTGTAAATATATTTTTATTAAAAACGCGTTTTTCGTGGTTCTGAATCATTATAAACATTAATTTTTTGGTGATAAAAAAATATTTGAATTTTGGACTTAGAAAATTTTGCTAATCGATCATGAGGGCGATCCATGCGGGGCCCCTACGGTGCCCCTCATGGATTCGCCATAAGTGTGAGTGTTATTTTCAAAAAAAGTGAAAATATATTTTAATTAAAAACGCGTTTTTCATTGTTGTGAATCATTATAAACATTAATTTTTTGGTGATAAAAAAATATTTGATTTTTGGACTTAGAAAATTTTGCTAATCGATCATGAGGGCGATCCATGCGGGGCCCCTACGGTGCCCCTCATGGATTCGCCATATGGATCAGCCCTCATGGGCCCCCGCCGGGGGCCCCGAACTCTTGAGGGCAAGATCGTGGCTTTTTCCACACGGGTAATTTTAATTTAAAAAGTTTAAAATCGATTTTCAATTTTTAATTAAATAAAATTATTTTGTTTTGACAAATGTAATAATAACCATTAAATTTATATAATAGAAAGTTTAAATTTTTTAAATATTTTGAAATGAGACTTTTACGAACAAAACCATTTTTTTTGATTGATTAAATAAACTAACAATAAGTACAATTCACTTTTCAATATAGACTAAAAGCATATTCTTTAAAGGAAATGAAATGTTTATTTTCGTTCCCAGTAAAATATAGCACTAAATGTTGATTTTATGTTCCTCATTTATGTATATATATATTCTTGACAGTATGCTTCTTATGCATTGAAGCAAAATTACTTTGCTCCAAAAATAATAATGTTGCCATAAATTTTTTACATATACATATAATTATTTTAAAAATATATTTACAAATATAAGATTTTTAAATTTTTCTATTACTTGAAGGACTTTGTGTACTGTAAATTGGTTCTTTATGTATTCTTTTAACACTAAATTAATATATATATATTTATTTTGTTTTTTAATATTCTTAATAATTTTCAAAATTTAATTTAATTTTCAATTTATTACAATTTTATTTACAATTTTATTAAAATAGAATTTTTTTTTTGAATTTATCTATATATTTTTCTCTATGATAAATTAAATATTTTCATAAATTAATAAAAAATTAATTTTTTTAAAATTTGTTCATTTATGAGATTGACATTTTTCAATAAAAGAAATTTGCTTGAATAAAAAATTACTTTTATTACTTTTACCATTCTGTTTTTTCAAAAAAATTCATATTTTTTTTCTTGAATATTAATTTTGTAATTTTCAAATATAATTTTAAATATAAATTAATATATAAATAAAAATTTAAAAGAAAGCTTGAAAGAAAAATTAATTTTATTTCTTTCTCTAGTTCTAAATTTTTCAAAATTGTCATTTTTGAAAAAAAGTCAATTTTTATTTTGACAAACAAAAATCAGATTTACTTGAACATTTTTATCTAATTACAAAATTCCTTAGAATCATCAATTATACGTGGTAATTACATAAAAAAAAAAGAAAAATAAAATGACTCATTCCAACAAGTTTTCTTATTGTAGAATGTTGACGAGTTTTATTTTATCTTAAAACGCAAATTGTTCTCACGATTAAAATTTTCATGCGAATCACATAAATAAGAAATTTCCTATACATAAAAATTAAATTTCTAATTTAAAATTCACAATATTAATTCAATATTTATATTAAAGTTAAATATTTATATTTTTTCATATTTTAATTTTATTTTTCGTTTTATTCAGTCCATATTTAAAATCGTAAATAAATATTTGTAAAAAAAAAAAATTTCTATTCCCGACGATCAAATTTTGATGACAAATTTCTAAATTAAAAATTTAATAATCAGCTAAACGCTGACGTAATTTTGAAGAAGCTACGTCATCAAAACGTGACATAATTCTTAACTATAACCCGCATAATTTAATGTATTTTCAATAATTTTGTATTTTCTTATATGTATAGTTAAAAATATTTATTGTGAATATCTTTCTTTATATTTTATTCATTTATCATTTTTACAAGGCGCAATATATTAAAGTGATTTTTTTCCTGTCTATATGTATGATCATCATTTTCTACTAAAAAGATATTTAAATACAAGCGAGTCTTTATAGGCAACTTATAAGGCTTTCGGAATATATATATATATATATATATATTTTTTTTTTGTAGACATTGATTAAAATGTTCAACTTTTAAAGCTGTTACTAATTTGAATCTTTTTTAAATATTTGTTAAAATTTTCTCAAGTTTTTCATTTCTTTGAATATCTTTATATAATTTTATTTTATCAACTATCAAATTATTTAGATAAATTCCCATCGTAATTATTATTTATGTTTATTCATTATTAAATATTTTATTAAAAATTTTATTTTAATAATTTTAATTTTAATTTATTTAAAAAATATTATTTTATCAAATTTATTGAAAACTAATTTAAAAATTAAAATAATTTTCTTGACAGAGAAAAGAAAAATTGATTTTTTGTATTTTATTGTTGAAAAAGGTTTTTTTTTTTGAAATTTGTTTGATCATTTGAAAAAATGTTTTCTTGCTAAAGATGAAGAATTTTCATTTCGTTGCCATTAGGATGTTAATATAATAATAGTTCATTGACTGAATGTTTAGAGAGAAATATTTTTGCTCATCATTGTACTAATTAATGTTTTGCTTGTCTACAGTCATGGTTCCGTGGTGTACGAAGCAGTAAATTCCGCCACGTTTATGGCGCACCAGCTAAAAGAGAAAAATGTTATGACAACATTAAAATCACCAAGAATGCTCACGACTCACAATTTTGCGCCGTTAATCCAAAATTTTTGGCAATCGTCACTGAAGTTGCTGGAGGTGGAGCTTTTCTTGTTTTACCCCTCGATAATGTGAGTGAAAAAAAAAAAATAATAATAATAATAATTTAAAAATTTATAGAAAATGAAAAATTTCAATTTTTCCATAAACGAAAAATTGCGATTAATTTTGCAAAATTTTTTTATTAAAATAATTATATACTTCATATTACATTCAACAGTTTTATTTCTCAAAGTAAAATATTTTCTACAGTGAAAAAATGATTAAAAAATGCCAATTTTCAAATTATTTTGTAAAAAATTAATTTTTTTCCAAAATGAAAAAATCGGGAATACTTAGTATAATTTTTACTGAAATATTTACTTTATATATAGTTAAATCTATTTGTTTTAATTCAAATCTAATTTTGTTTATTTATCAATATGCATATTAAATCGAAAAAAAAAAATTTAAAGAAAAAATTGTATTTTTTTTGTAAAAGGGGCTCTAAAAAAAATTTGTTTCAGTATTTTTAAAAATCGGAAATATTTTTTATCTAACTACTTATAAAATGAGAAAGCCTTATAAAATTAGAGCCACGCAGGAAATTCGAAACTATGTAATAAATTTTATAGCGGAAATGAACATTTTCTTTCCTCGTGTGTGAATATTTCCTAAAAATTATTAGTTTAAATTTAAAAGTAAAAAAATTTCGAAATTTGAAAATTTTTTTGAAATATTTTTAAATTTCTAGAAAAAATAAATAATATTTAATTAATTATAAATAATAAATATAAATAAAATTAACAATAAAATTAATATTAAATAAATATAGAATATAGAAAAAAAATAAAGTCGTCTTTTACACTTTGAGATTTTTATTTGCTTTTTCTATCAATTAAAAATAAAAATCTCGTTGTTTTTATTAAATAAAATGAGAGGTGAAAAAAAAATCGTGTAATATTTATCTTTTGAATCGATTATGAAAATAATAATAATAATTTGACCGATTCAATTAATTACCAAAGGACTTTAAGAGAGCCGTAACTTGTTTTAGAATTAGAAATAAAATCCTACTTTCACTGCTATTTCTCGATGCTAATTGCTCGAGTTGTTAATATCTCAGTCTTGTTATAGCTTTTCCATGATCTATATGGTTGAGTCTCTCTCTTTGGATTTACATTTTTATTCAACTTTCATTGCCACTATCCCGTGACTATAATGCGATTATGTCTTACGCCCTCGAGAAAATTAACAATTCTTATTTTATTTCAATGTTATTTTTAGAAATATTATTATAACTTAGATATCTTTATTTTTTTTGTCGTAATAACACTTACTAAATTTTTAATGTTAGGAAAAAAAATTTCTCACTTAAAATAATATACAAAAAGAAGTTTCTCAATATTATTTTATTTTCAAGTATTCACTTTTAAGTGTGAATTAAATTTTTTTTTAAGTGCCAATTTGAATAATTTAATATAATGTGTGAAGAAATTTTTTTTTTTTTATGTTTCTTTTAAATAAAAAATTCTTTTTTTCTATAATTTTAATTTGAATTCTGTATAATTTACTAAATGTATAAAAATTTATTGTTTTTGAAATTTGATTCTTTATATTAGTAAAAAAAAAGAAATTAACATTTTTTGAATATATCTTTTTTTCTATTTATTTTCGAAAAAAAAAATTTTATTTGTTTTTTTATTGTTAAAAATTAATATTTCGTGTGATTATTGTTGTAATGAAATTTATATGAGAATAATTTTTTTAAATGATGATTAAGAGTTAGAAGAAATAATATTCTCTTGTTAACTTTCTATAAAAGATTAATTTAATTATTTCTTTGTAAAAACGGAAATTGTTTCGATAAAAGAAATGTTGCTGGTCCAAGAGGCACTGCTTTTTATATCAAGTCAGTTAATGTTTAGTGAATTAAATATTTATATTGTTTTACGTTCACCGATACAGTTTAGAGAATTTCAATTTATTAATCGTTAATAATAATAATTAGATAATTTACAATAAAGGCATTATTTTTAAATTGTCGTCATTATATTAGAATCGTTCATTATTTCATTTACTATTATATTTATTATTTTATTTATTATTTTATTATTATTATTATTATATTCACTATTACATTTGCTATTTTAATTTTTTATCATATTTATTAATTTCCATTTATTATATAAGTGTATTTCCTTTTTAATTGAAATAATTTTCTTTTTTTAAATTATAATATTGATCATATTAACAAGTTTATAAGTTCCTTGATTTGAAAAATTGTAAATTTATTTTACGTTTTTTACCAACAAATAAATGTGTATGTTTGAAAAAAAAATTTTTTTTTTTTCCTAGACTGGTCGCTTGGATTTTAATGTCAGTAGAGTAACCGGACATACTGGCCCTGTACTCGACATCAAGTGGAATCCATTTAACGACAACGTTATTGCTTCTTGCTCCGACGATTGCACGGTAAGACACTTTAATCTGATAAATATACTTTGTAAATCATATGAGACATGTCAAGTCGCATAAGATTTAAGATCGTGTTACAGAATCTTAGAATTTTTTTTTTCACTTAATTTCCAACACTTGTAGTTTTGATTTGCATTTCTCGTTTTAAAGCAAGTGTTCTTTTTTTGTACCGATAAATATATTTAAAAATAATTCTAAATAAATTTAGCAAATATTTTTTTTAGACTATTTAATAGTGACATAATAGCATAAAATTTTATTTAACTTGTAATTTTATTTATTCGAATTAATTTATAATATGTTCTTTTTTTAAAATTATTATTCAGTTGCTGAGATTTTCTTTTTTTTTATTATTATTATTTTGCTAATTGAATTATAAATAATAATATTTTTTGTTGTAAAATTTATCTATATTGATCTGAATGTGAGAATTGCAATTTTCTTTTTTTTTTTATAGGTGAAATTATGGCATATTCCAGACGGTGGACTGTCGAGAAATTTGACAGATTGGATAGTTGAATTACAGGGTCATAAGAGACGAGTGGCTTATATAGAATGGCACCCTGTCGCAGAAAATGTCCTCTTCAGTGCGGGATTCGATCATCTTGTCATTGTTTGGGATATAAACAGAGGAGAGGCTATCAGTGTAATCGACAGACATCCTGATGTTATTTACAGTATGTCACTTAATAGAGATGGAAGTTTACTTGCCACCACTTGTAAGGATAAAAAACTTCGAGTTTTTGAACCAAGATCAGGAATTGTTGTCTCGGTATGTTCAATTTTATTTTATTTATATTAAATTATTATTTATTTATTTACACATAAGGCATTTCACCTCCACCTCTCAAATTTATTATATTTTTATTATTATTTTTATATGAAAAAGTAAGAAAAAAATTTATTTTATTTTATAGAATTGAAAATATTTTGCTTAATTTTTTAAATTTCATTTTTAACTTAATTTTTGTTATTTACTTTTCATTTTTTTTTCTATAATTTGCAATTAATAAGTATTAATATTTAATCGTGTGTTTCATATTGCTTCCAAATGATAAGTAGTTTAGTTAAATAAAAGACGAAAAGTGAAAGTGAAATATTTAAGGATAATTGAAATAATTCTAAGATAGAATAAATTTAATTTAAATCATTTTATTCTATTTCTTCAATTAATTTAAATCAATTTAAATGAAATTTTATATGTGAGCGAGTAAATTGATTTTTTATAAGAGTAAAATTTGAATAATAGGTAAAATTTTCATTGTACCAAATTTTCCATCTCTTTTGTAATTTTTATATAAAATTTTTAATGAACAAAATTTGACACTAAATGTATTATTTTTATATGACATAATTTTTATATAAGAATATTTATTAAATAGACTTTTTATTTAATAAATTTTCTCTTATAAAATTTATTGAAGAATGATAAATAAAAATTTATGAACAATTATTATGGAAATTCAATTTTTCTAAATAAAAAATTGAGCTATACAAAAAATTCAAATGATTAAAAGGTCAGTTAAAATAAAAATTCATATTAAATTAAAATACAGAATTATGTTCAATTAAAATTTGTGTTAATAAAATATAATATTAATTAAAAATTGTGTTAAATAAAAAATAGTCGAAAATTTTTAATTCGATGAATTATAAATTCTAGATTAAAGAAATATTTCATTGCAATAATAATTGTGAAAAATTTTTTATGAACTAAAAATTCTAATTCTAATAAATTAAATTTAAATTAAATTCGAGTGAATAGAAAGATCGACGAATTGGAAAATTTTACTTCATGAAATTTAGTTAAAATTTTGTCTTTATAAAAATTTTATACACTGGAAATTCATTTTTAATATGGAATTTTGATGAATATTTATGTAGGTTTTTAAAAAAAAAAAAAATGTTAACAGGAAGGAATTTGTCATGCTGGTACAAAAGCGAGTAAAGTGGTATTTCTCGGCGGCTCTGGACGATTATTAACCACAGGATTTAGTAGACATTCTGATAGACAATATGCCGTATGGAGCCAACATGATTTATCAAATCCATTGACTTGCGAAACGATAGATTCCTCCAGTGGAATTGTATTTCCTTTTTATGACAATGACACCAATATGGTCTACCTTGCTGGAAAAGTGAGTAAACAAATTTTATAAACATTTTCCATTTTTTTTTTAGAATTCTATTAATTATTAATTTTCAACATTTTTTTAAATTATCTACTTTAACAATTTTTTACTCTAGAAGGTATCATAGGTTAAATAATTAAATTTACAATGTAAAAGTATTGATTTAAGCTAAGGAATATTTAAAAAAAAAATAATAATTTACTAGTTTAACAAAAATATTTTCTAACATTTCTGAACTAATATTAATTATTAGAGAACACAAATTTTTTTTTATTTTCTCTAAATGATTCAATTGTTCCAAGCTTGAATTTATCAAAATTCATCGATTAAAAAATTATTTAGGTCAAATTTCAATAAATTTAAATTACTCGAATTGATTAAAATTGAAATCGATCTAAATTTGAATTCATTTTAATTCTAATCAATCGTCAGTTTAATCAATCAAAAAATTGTATTTTTAATTTAAATTTCAAGTAATCAAACTTTCAATCAATTCTAGTTTTTATTGATCAAAATAAAATTTATAAATTAAAATTTTAATCAAATACAAATTCAATCGATTGAAACTTAATATTAATGAAATTTCAATTTAGCAAAAGTTTAATCAATTTTAAATTTTTATACTTTTTTTTAAAATTAAATTAATAAAAATTGATTTAATGGAGAATTTTTGTAGGTATCTATATTTATTTTTTATAAAATTTAGAAAATATTAATAATTTAATTCATCATTGTTGATTTAATGAAAATAGAGGCATTATTTTTAAATTATCGTCATTATATTAGAATTTTCTATATTTTTTAAATATTTTTTCAGGGAGATGGCAATATTCGATATTACGAAGTAGTAAACGAAGCTCCTTGGTTACATTTTTTGAGTCAATTTATTTCTGGAAATCCTCAGAGGGGTTTGGGAATTATGCCCAAAAGAGGCGTCAGCACTGCAAGCTGTGAGGTCTTTAGGTTCTTTAAACTTCACGCGACACGCGGAATGTGCGAACCAATTTCTATGATTGTGCCGAGAAAAGTAAATATTAACTCTTCATTGTTATTTTTTTTTTTTTTTTAAATCTCTTAGTTCTTTCAAAACCAAAAAGAATAAATATTAATATTTATTTTGTGTATAATTTTCAGAGTGATCAGTTTCAAGAGGATTTGTATCCAGACACAATTGGAACAACTCCGGCTCTTTCTGCCAAGGATTGGATCAGTGGCATGAACAATCCACCAATTTTAATATCCTTGAAAACTGGTAATTATCATAAAAATTATTATTTATATTAAATTCTGATAATTAATTAATTTTAACTAAATTATTCTTAAAGAAAATACATTTTTTTTTACCTAAGAAAATAGTATTTATATAATTCTACAAAAACGAAATTTTTTACTTTGATTTTAAATTACACATTTTTTTTTTTTATCAAAATATTTGTATCTTTTATAAGAAACAAATTTTTTAAATTTTATCTCTGTTTTTATCGACAATTTTCTTATTCGAAATATAATTTTTTTTTAGAATTGACTCTAAAAAAAAGTTTTAGAAATTAATTTGAAAATTTAATTCTATAAAAAGAAGTATTTTGAAAAATTTTAATTGTTTACTTTTTATTTATTTAGGTGGCAGTATCACAACACACAAGCCACGTATTTATAAACCACCACAATTGACACCTGCGACTGATTTAAATAATAAGAAGAAATTTGCCTTTTTATCAACTGAAACTGTGCCTGATTATAGATCCGTTGAATTACTTGATATGTCTGAAAAAAGTCAAAAAACATCCAGCAATCAGAGTACAAAATTTCATCAGTTACAACAGAAGTTTGGCAATATTCAGGTAAAATTATTATCATTAATTTCCCTTATACTAATTGTTTTCTGCTTTATGTTGCATGCCTGTCTATTTCAATAAAATATCAACACTTGACTTTTTATTTCTCACTTGGAATTCAAATTTCACGATGATATTTAATTGTCGTAAATGTTTGACAATTGGTTTTTTTCACAAAAAAAAAAAAAAAGATTTTTTAATATACTTTATTAACAATTTTTTTTTCCTCAAAAATTTGAGCTTCATTTTTTCAAGATTATAAATATCTAGAAAATTTTTGCACTAACGCTATTTGCACGATTAACTCCAAGTCAACAAGATGTTTCATTTCATCTCGATTTCAAATTGGGGATTTGTACATTTTCTTCGTAAGGTAGGAATTGCACGATCTTTTTATTAAAAAAAAAAAGAAGAAAATAAATTAAATAAAATTTATTTTCTTTTCTATTTTTCATTTCTTTGTAGTTGACTTGTGTAACGTTTGAGTTTTATTTAAAATAGAAAACAAATTTTATTTCTCTAATAAAAATAAAATAAGCCCATGGTTTTATACAATATGTGAAATTTTCATGGAATTTAATATTTATTCATCAAATTTTTCATAGCTTTGCAAATAAAAAATTTGTAGAAACTTTCTAATAAGTTAATAATAACGAAATTGAATTTTTAAGAAATAAATTTTTAATTCTATAAAATCTCTATTTTTGTTTAAGATTATAATTTAAATTCGACAAAATTGTTTTTATAATAATTTTCATATTATTAATTTATTTACTCGAACGTTAAAGTTTACTATTTAATATACACAATTTTTTTTTTTGAAATTAGTTAATGATTATTAATTGAGGAGTATTTTTTCAAAATTTGATAAATACATTTTAAAAAATTGTTTGCAAACATAATTTCTATGTCTAAAGTTCTGGATGTTCAAAATGAACAAAAAATAAAATAATAAAAAAAACAATAAAATATTGCTTTTAGTATTTAAAAATGAATTCATAATTTATGAAATGTTGTACTTTTTTTAATTTTCCCCGCTGTAGTAATTTAAAAATAAATCATATTTTTGAAAAATTGCTCCACAATTAATTTAATAATATTAATAATTAGTGATTATTAATTTAATAAATTTTTATTTCTTTTATAATTAGAACAATATTGAAACCTCGGCAATGAATGACAATAAATTGGAAGCTGTCGACGATCCAAACAACGAAGCCGAGTTACGATTAGCATTCGCTCGACAAACTGACGAATTAAGAATTGTTCGTCGTCAACTAGCAAACAGTCAATTACGCGTTAAGGAACTCGAAGATCAAATTCGAAAATTACAAATTCACTGAGAGCCAGTAAATTTTATAAAAGCATTTTGTGTTTTTTTTTTCTCAAAAAATATAAACCGCGCGTGTATGTATGTATGTATGTGTGTGTCTGCGTATTCGTCAACTTTTTGTGTGAAATATCGAAATTTCACACACTCATAAATTTATAATAATCATCGCTATTGAACTGTGGTGCTTACGGGAGAGAAAAAAACAATTTAAAAAATTCCTTTTTTTTAAATTACTATATTTTCTATAGTACTGATTCAATGGAATTTGAAATTTTCGAATAAAATTCACTTTTTCTATTCGTAAGGAAAAAAAAGGTGATTTTTTGATAAATTTTTTCATGGCTATATATTTCGGGAAAAATTAATTATTAATGAATAAAAGAAAGAAAAAAGTGAAATTTTTTCTAGGGGAAAAAAAAAAATTATTGAGAATAATTTGAAAAAAAAAAAAAAATAAAAGTGATTAAAAATTTCAGTGTAATGAAATTTTGAAAATTAAAAAATCGTGGATTAGAAAAAAAAGAATTTCTTTCATACTTTGTGAAGATAAAAAGAGATTTTATTTTTTTTTTTTTTTTATAATCTACGATTTCTGTGATTCATTCCTTGTGTTATACGAATATTTATATATTATTATTCATTCCCTTTAATTAGGAATTCACGACAAAATGTTGAATGAGAGATTTCAAGTCGATTATTATATATATATATATATTTATAAAAATATTGTTCATTAACAATTTTAGTGTTTGGCTTTTGTTTTCTTTTCAAAGCTATACAGGCTTTTTTTTGTAGTTTATTTCCGTAGTTGTTCAATTTGTTATTGACATATACAATATTCCGGTAAAAAAAAAAAAAATAGAATTCAAAATATTTCATTTATTTTTCCGAATTTTGAGTTTTATTCTTTATAAATAATTTATTTTTGCGACAGTTAAGTTTATTGATTTAAAAATATAAAATTATATATTAATATAGTAAATAATTAATAATAATTTAAAAATTAATATTTAATAAGAGTTTTAAATATTCGTTGATATTTTTGTTATATTTAATTTTTTTTTTTTTTTTTTGAGAAAAAATTCATTTATGAGTGAAATATTTTGAATTTTTTTTTTTAATTACCGAATTGAAATTATTATCGATTTTTTTTGTTGCTGAATCTGTTTTTTATTTATTTATTTTTTTTTTTTGACAGTTACCAATCGATATTGTGCAATCAATGTGTAGTGTGCAAAAAGCTGTGAGACGCGCGTAAATAATTAGCGTTAATCCCCATATCGCACAGTGATAATAGACGTAAATGAATTTTTAGGACCAATGAATATTTGTTGATCTTACAAAGGGATTATAATATTATACTTTCGCCTATATAGGTAACGATTAAATCGAATAAAAAAATAAACAAATTTTTTACACAGTATTTACAAGAATATTTTTCATACACAATCGTAAATCGATTATAGCTCTGATAAATACCTGAATTGTTGAAGAAAAAAAAAAAAAAAGAAATTATATACAGTTTTGAAATTTATATAAAAAAAAAAAAAAAAAAAATTAAAATAGCTTGGCACATTTAGAAAAAATATTTGCACTTTATTTAGTAAAATGAATAGCGTGTGCCTTTGGGGGTAAAATTCGTAAAACTGCCCGTATTTTTCTCTTACTGGAAGTAAATAAATATTCGAAAAATGATCTGTGTTCGCAATTTCAATCGAAATAAGGAAACTAGGAAGATGAATAATAATAATAATAACAGTGAATTGTTCTACAAAAGATAATTTTATTTTTGTGTTCACTTCAACATTTTTCGAGAGTATTTTTTTAAAACAAAATAATAAGCAAATATAATATACTCAAGGAAGTTCGAAATATGAGCATAAAAAAAAACGTATTTATTCAGCGTAGATTTATTCTATAATATAGATATTAGAATTGTATTAGAAAAATTATTTAAATTTAAAATTTGCGAAATTAAAATGCACGCTCTAATTAAATCGCCGCACAATTATTTGTAAATGTTTTACATTAATTTATTTTCTTTTGTACATTAAATTTTTTTATTTCCTTTTTTTTTTGGTAATTTTTCTTTGCTTTTTATTTATTTATATAATTTTTTTCTGCTTTTTGTCTGATGGCTTTTAGATTTAAAAAAAAAATCGAGGAATAAAAAAAACAAAAGTTTGGCAAACGAATTTTTCGAAGGCGTTGATTTTTTTTTTAATGCCTTATGTACACAATGCCAAAGAAAACTTGTGTCGCAGAATTTATGCACAAAATGTATTTTTCGAATTATCAATATTATTTGCGATATGTGTTTGTCAATGATGAAACACAATTTTAATCTCTAAACATTATACATTTATATATACATTATTATTAATTATTATTATTATTATTATATGTATGTTGTAAGCGGTCGATATTTGTGTGTATTGATGAAGTATGTGATTAATTATAAGCTAACACTTATTTAGAAAATAATAAAACGATATATAAAAAATAAATCAGTTCATCTTCTTTTTAATATACAAAAAATATTGTACAATATTATAAAGATAACAGAATGTTTATTTATCAAATGGACGGAAAATTAGTTATTAAAAAAATATAAAAAACTATAATGTAAATTTAAAAAAAAAATTGTTTAAATCGTTTTAAACAATTTTTTAACGATGAAAATTGTTTTGATATTTTTAAAAATATTTCAAATACTTTAAATTATTATTGGAAAATATTAATAATATATTTATAAAGATTCAAAATAATTGAATAAATTTATAAATATATTTAAAAATAATTAAAATAATTGGACAAATTTATAAATATTTAAAAATAATGAAAATTATTGGAAATATTTAAAATATAATTAAAAATATTAAAACCAATAAACTTATCCAAGAATATTGAAAATATATTCAATATTTATTTAAAAATTAATTAAAAAAAAAAAAATTATTTTCTATGAGATTCAATATTTGTTGGAAACTTTCAATTTGTTTCAAATGCTAGAGTATTAAATTATTACATTATATATTAAATAAAAAAAAAAATTATTTTTATATTGCGGTAACATTGATGTAAATATTCTATATTTACATTGACTGTGTTTCAAAAATTTTTTTCTAATGCAATTACAATTATTTTTTTTTTTCAATGCTTTTGTTTTGCATTCTCTGTAAATATTATAATTCTAAGATTTACATTTTCTAAAATGTAAATTTACCCTAAATATCTTCTTACAGTAATTTTTTGTTCAATGAATTGCAAAATTCAAAATTCGGTTAGCACAAAGTTTCACTCATTAAAAAATTACTTTCATTTTTTTTTTAAATAATTCTCGTAAAATTATGATAATATGCAATTTAAATAATTAAATTATTTGTAAAAAATTTTTAATTAAAATTTTTTAATTTTAAATTTTATAAAAATTTATTTCAATTATAATAAAATTTAGAAACAAATAAATTTTTATTTTCAAAATTAATATTTAAACAACTTTTTTTTGTGAACAAAAATGAAAATAAAAATTTTAATTTTTTTAATTAAAATAAAAAAATAAATATAAAAATATTTTAAAAATATTTTTAAAAAAACGATAGATAATATATTATTTACATTATTATTTAATTAGTTTTTATATTTAATTATCAATTTTTGAAATATTTGTCAATTTTAAGAAGAGAAAAAAGTGAGAATATTTCGTTGGAGAAACTTTTTTTCTACACTTTGAATTTTGAATTCAAATTGTTTCGCGCGCTTCCCCCCGCCTGACTACGTTAGTCGGCCAACAATTATGCCCATTTTTTAACTAACAATTATCAGGCACCTTTATCTTCGAAATAGTGTTGGGAAAATAAGAAAAATACTTAAAGAAACGATAATTAATTGATTTGGTAATGATTTTGTTGCCGGATTACAACCATCTCCTGTACATGTGTAAATACATGTTCGATACTCTAATTTGTCGCCAGGTTGTTGAACGTAGTCACAATAGTTGCCAAGATTGTGTGAAGAGCATTCGCGCTTTGTACCGATACCTCCTGCAATGTGTTACAAGAATTTATAGTATATCAATATTTATTTCAAATATTTTATTTTATTAAGTTGTGATTTTGTCAATAAAACAAGCGTGCATACAATTAAAGTAGATAATTTGAGTTTTAAAATTGAAAAAGCAAGAATGCGGTTATGTTCTGCATTTTGTCGCCATGTGAAAATATACGAAGCCTGATGATATGCGGGTAAGTGAAACTTTTTTTTTTTACATTCAAAATTCATGCATTGCGAAAAATCGGATCGTATCAAATATTATAGTATGAAAATATATATTTTTTCGATTTTCCCCCTTTGTTGATATTGCCGGTTTCAAAATGGCGGCTAATACACTTGCAATCGCACATGGTTGCGAGAAAAATTGACATGTTCCGATTTTTCTTTTTTTTTGTGATAAATGATTATGAATATAGACCTCCATATGTTCCAATGGATTTAATGCAATATTGTGCCTCGAAGATGTGATCGCAACTTTTTGGTTGAAATGTTTCCATCACCAATTGTCCATCTCCACATTCCCATTCAGTTGCCGATGCACATTGATAGCAATTGATTCCCAGTCCTCCATAAAGAGTTCAAATTTTGTTAGTTAATGCTACATGCAGTTTTTAGTATTTTTTTTTTTTTTTTAGTAAAAATGAGAAAATTAAATCGAAAGTTTTGTAGAATAAAAAAATGTTTCTAACCAAACTTTTTTTTTATTGAGTGTTAGTAAATTTTCCGTTGCCAAATACCATAATTAAACGAATTATTAATAAATTCAAATATTAATAATTAGATTAATATTCGAAAATTTTAATATCAGTGCAAGTGTTGTTTTTAGTACTTAATATTTACCTTTTGTAAATTCCCTTTTTCCTTTTACAAAAAGCGATTTATTAAAAAAAAAAAAAATAATAATAATCCTTCTGTCCGTCTTCACCTAAAATTCTGTTAAATTTCCTTCTCCTCCTTTTCCTCGAATAAGCAAAAATATATGGTTATTTTCAAATTTTGTTAAAATGTAGTACCAGTGAAAATTATAAGCGAATGCAACTTTATAATAATTTTTAATTAGAGGATTAATTAAAATATATTCAAAAGCCAGGTTAATGAAAGTTAGTAAATGATTACGAAATTTTTTGTAATGAGCGAAGCATTTATCTTTTTTCTCTTAAAAAAAAGAAAATTCTTTTTTTTTCTTTTACCATCAAAACGGCCAACGCGTTTAACACAAAATTGAGCACCATAAACATCATCACACGATTCTGGTATCAAATCGAAGTCATCTCGTAAATATTCGTTGCATTGAAATGGATTTGAACTATTTGTGCTTTCGCACCTAAAACATTTGATGCTGAATGCTATAAAAAGGAAGACATTTTTTTTTTTTTTGTAAAAGAAAATTTTTTTTCTTATAATTATTTTAAAAGTTTAATTATTGTAACTATTTTTATTTAGTCAATAGATATTGATATTTTTATTTATCTTTTTTTTTAATTAATTTTTGTTGAGACAATAAAAAAACCTAATATTTTATTATTATGAAAAAATTTGGTTTGCACAAATATCAGGAAATAATTTCTTTTTTTTTGTCTTCGACTTTGAATGACAAGATTTCTAAGTCTTGAACAGAATTTCGATGATTGAGTGAAAGCATAGGTTTATGAAGCGCAATTCGCTGTGAATGAACAGATAAACGATAATTCAATATAATCGAGAGTCTATTCATGAATTTTGCTCATCCATGTCAACATATATGTTCACAAATATATCCCTCATAATTTGATTAAAATGTTGGCCCAAATACTATATTTATATATTGTATATATATGTATAAATTTTCGCGAACGAAAACTTTAGATTTAATTTTATTATGCAAATCTTCAAGTTTGAAATATATTTGCAAGTTTGAAGAATGTCTGAGTTTTAATAAAATATATAAATAAATTATAATATTATATTAATATACAAGAAATATAATTTAGGCTTCGTTTATTTTTAATAATTTTAATGAAATTCTTTACAAATTCAAAAATATCTTAAACTATTTTTCAATTAAAATTTTTATAAAATTCAAGAATTGTTTATAATTTTTAAAAAATTAGCAAAATAAAATTACCAAAAAATTTTAATTCAAAATCACTTGAAATTTAATTATTCACAAAAAATTTCAATAATTTTTAATGATTTTTTTAATATTCTTCGAAAATTCATGAGCCAAAAGTTCTGAACGTTCAAATGAACGAAATATTTTTTTCAATCTATAAATTATTAAAATATAAATCACTAAAAATTTCTTTTATTATAATTATTGTCCGAAATTTAACACAAATCTTTTGAAATTCAATTATTTTCAAAAATTTCAATTTTTAAAAGCTTGTGAAATTTAATTATTTCTAAAATTTTCCATCTAAAATTTTTTGAAATTTAATCATTTCATAAAAAAACATGAAGATAACGATCACTCCGAGTCGTTATCTTCATGTTTTTTTATTTAATATCAACCGAGTGATAAAATCATTTTATTTATTTATTTAATCATTTCAATTATAACTCTCCAAAAATTCAATAATTTTTATAATATTCTTTGAAAATTCAACTATCTGAAATAATTTTTCAATTAAAAAATTTTCAAATTATTGTATTTTCGTCTACAATTTCTAATAAATTTTTTAGTGAAATCATCAAAAATTTTAAATTAAAAATCACTTAAAGTAAAATTAATTTCAAAAATCAAAATTGTAAATGTTTGAAAATTCAATTATTTTTAAAAAATGTTATATCTAAAATTATTTAATAAATTATTATTAGTTGTGTAAAATTTAATTTTTATCTGAAAATTAACAAAATCTTTTGAAATTCAATTATTTCTAAAAATTTCAACTTTAACTCTTCCAAAATTATTATTTAAAAAAAAATTTTTATTTAAAAATCAGTAAAACTTGATTAATTATTGCATGAAATTTTTTTTGTCCATCAAAACTAAAAAAAAAACTATGACAAAATTTTTAATTCTAATAAATTCCTTAAATTAAAGTTAAAAAAATTATAAAATAGGAATTTTAAGAATTTTTTTTTAGAAATTTGTCCTATAAAATTTTAAAAATTTGTCTTACAATTAGTTCGATTCTGAAATATTGGAAATAAATTTTCTTGATAATATTTTTATAGAATTATTCTCATTACAAAATTAATAAAATGAATTTAATATCTAATAACATTAGTTATTTAACTTCTTTTGGAATATAAAACGACTTTTTTTATGCCTTAAAGTAGACCCGAAGCCAAAATAAATTTTATTTAAAAAAAAAAATTGTTGAAGTCAATTTTTTCTCGGCAAAAATGTCTATGTTTTGAAAAATAAAATATTATGAATTGATTTTTAAATTTTAGTATTAAATTACAAAAATAAAAAATTTCGGTAAATAATTATATTTTTTGAAATATGAAATTTTTCTTGAAGGCAGAATTTAAATTCTCTATTTTTAAAATTTGTTTAAAAATTTTTTTAATTCTAACAATTTTAAGTTTTATTTTTATATTTTTAGAATTTTTGTTCTCTGTTCGAAAATTGGAATTTGATATAAAATTTTGTATTTTTCATTTATAAAAATTCTTGATTTTTATTAATATACTTTTCTTTTTTATAAATAGGTAGATATAAAATATTCAATTCAAAGGTAATGATGTAGAAAGGAAAAAAAAAGTAACGAAAAGAAATTTTTAACGATGGAGAAAATTAAAATAATGCGAGAATTTTTTTTTTTTTTACCAAAGGAATAAAATAAATTGGTCATTAAAAAAAGATGCCATTACTTTGACTTGGAAATTGGGGTAAGTCCTTTTTATTATTTTTATAATTAGTTGAGTAAGAAAATATGGTTTTAAAATGGAAACATTTTTAGATATAAAAAAATTATATCAATTAATATTAAAAAATAATTGAATCGAAATAATTATTAATCGATTTAATTAATTTTGCCCTGATTTTATTTAAATCCGAATATATAAAGAATTCAAAAAAAAGAGAATTTGAAATTCATCATTATTACTTTTATTAAATTTGAAAAAAAGATGTCTTAATTATAAATTTTCTCCAAAGAAATATCTTATCTCGGCTTCGTTCTCTTTTTTTTCTCAATCTCAATCGGGATTATTAATGACAAATCAATTGGTAATCTCTCTTTTTTCATCTATTACTGATGTTCAATTCATCTCTTTGTATTGGTAGAGAATTTAATTACAAAAAAAAGGGAAAAAATCATCGCATAAAACGAGAAAGACACGATTTCTTTGAAAAGTATTAAATTTCAATTGAGATTGAGAAAAGGATCACTGAAAGGAAATGAGAAGTTTTTCTTTGTTTTCTGATCTTAAACATTTCTATCTCAAATTTTAATGGTATTTTATTTTAACTAAACTTTAACTTTAATTGGAATCAACGAAATATATATATATAGATTATCCAAGAATTTCCGACACTAATTAAATTCGTAATTGGGGGACGTTTTATTAATTTCCGCCTCGAGTCGAGGTCAATATTAGAAATACATTTTAATTAATAGATTATTAAAAGTTTATGGTCAATAGATGTAAATGTTTAATTTTATTCTAAAAAATTGGATGAATGCAAATTACATAATACATAAATAAAAAAAAAGTAATTTAATTAATTTCTTTCTTTCAAGCAAATATAATAATACTGAGATATAATTAAAAGAAATTTTTTGCCTTATTTTTATTTAGGTTATTTTTATTCTTCCCGTTGCGATTTTTATTTTTAAAAAACGGAGGCACTAGCAAAAAAAAATCAATTTGTATTTATTTTATACATTTTTACAGTTTGAAACGATTGCCGATGACTTTGAAAGAAAAATGCTTTTCTGATCAATATTTTCTATAAACAAAAAAAAAAAAAAAACAATCCGTTTGTTAGGAATTTTTTTTTTCAAAAATAAAGTTTTTTTAAGCCTTAATTTTGATTTACCATTAGTTCTTAATTTTTTTTTTTTATGATAAAGTTATTTAAAATTTGTATTTTTTTACTGTAAAATTAAAAATTAAAAATTTATAAATTTGTTTATTATCGACAGAATAATTTTAATTCACAAAAAAGTAAGTTCCTGTAATATTTTTTCGCATCACTTTTAAATGTAACTATTTTTTCAAAAATCCCGTAAATAAATTTTTCAAAAGTAAATTTAATTATTTTTTCACGTAGCGGTATTAATGTTTTTAATATGAAATTAATTTTTATTAACAAAATTGGAAAGTAGAATTATTTAAATTAAATCTTAAAAATTAATAATAATTATTAAAAAATAATTTTCTGTTGTCTTTATTTTTTTTTACTTATTTTTCTAAATTTTATACTTATTTTTTCCGGGAGTTGCAAATTTTTTATATAAACGAAAATAAAGGTAGATAAAAATCCATCTATAGAATAATGTGACTTGTAAACAATATATTTAAATATTAAAAAAAGTAAAATTTCAATTTTTCGAATAGTGAAAAAATTTTTAATCCAAATTAGAAATTTAATTATTTTAAATTAGAATCCAAAAAATTAATTAATGAATATAATTGTTGATTTTTATAAATTTTCTTTTTTTATAAAAACAAATAAAGCGAACCTTCAACTAGACTTCGACGCACGTAAAGACACGATCGAAAATGAATTTACCGACTGTTTTTCTTGTCTCTTAAAACATAAACAAAAACCACATATGAAATAATTTAATTGGAAAAAATTTTATTAAAAAAAAATTGATTTTATAATATTATTTTTTTTATATATATAATTTAAATAATAGAAGGAAATTTTAGAAAATTAATTTGACGAATTTAAAATTCTTTTAAACTTATATAATAATTCTCGTATTACAAACAAATTAAGAAATAAATTATTAATAAAATTTTATTTCAAATTTTTTGTTATTACTTTACATAAACCTTGTAATTTATTTTATTAGAATTAAGAAAAAAAATGCCGAAAAATTTTTTTAAACCTATTTCTCAAGATATAGGTAAAATAACTTTTTAATACTTTCAACTATTAAATCATTTTCAAAATACAATTTTTCAAAAATGCATTTAAAAAAAAAGTAATTAATATAATTATTTTGAAAAGAATTTGACCGAAAAGAAAATACAATTTAATAGCCCCGCCCTGGTGACGCTTCGTCATGACTTTCTGACTGCAAGTCTAACATGAATGATGGTCAGCGCGAGTATAAAAATTATCGAGTATTTTTTTTTTTTTTTTAAACAAAAACTCACCTGTTTGAAAAAATATTCCCAATATCGCGAGAAGCGCAAAATTCTTGACGGCGCTCATTTTTTTTTTGAATAAAATTTTTATAGAACGCTCGTCGTTTTAATTGGAATAAAAGCCACCTGAATAGTTTTGAAACCAAACACCTGTTCACCTGGTTTCAATGTGTACAATATATATAAAGGGAAACGTGCAAGTCGGTGGTTTTAGAACGACTGGAGAATATACCGGGCTCTGATGGCGATGCCAAGTGATTTCATAGCGGTTCTTTGGTAGAGGGGGATATATTATGTGGCATTTCATTCAATTATTAGAATGAAATATCATTTTTGTTTTTAAATGAAGTCGTAAAACTTATCCTTATTCCCTTTAACTAGATTTTTGTATTTTTAGAACGTTATTTTATGATTTACTTTTATTTTTGAAATCTCTATTAATTTTTCTTGATGGTACCAAAATGGCTTTTTTTTGGGCAAAAATTTCCATCTTTTTGGATCTTTTTTTGGAACCAATATAAAATATAGTTTTAATGTGTCGAGATACTGAACTATTGAGAATTTTATTAATCTAAATGAAATTAGATTAATTTTAATTAATTATTTAATATTAAATTATTTGGTACCAAAGGGCAAATTTTCTTTTTTGAAAGCTCATTTGCACGTAAATAAATAATTTAATTTTAATTTATATTATAAAATATTATAAATATTATTATAAAATTAATAGAATAACATTAATTTTTAATTATTTATAATTTTAACATTTTAATTTTTGCTTTTTGCAGATATTCTATCCTCGATGGCTTTTGGTGTCACTTCAAAGCTAAGGGCAAAAGTAAAAAAGGATATCTTGAAGGACACCGAATTCTTCATATTCAAACTTTTTAAAACTCGGTCTATTTTTACGGTTATTTTTCACATTTTCTAAATGGAAATTTAACTTGAAAGTAGGGATCTCCGAGTGCTATTTAGTTTGAAAGAATCTCCCAGAAGCTGAAAATTTGTTATCAAGGTAAAATATTTTAATTTATGGGAAAAAATTTTATTACAAAAAATTTAGTTGTATTTTTTGACGTGACAATTCGAAAACTATAAGTCATTATTTCAAGATTTTTGTGTTATTCAATTACTTTAGATTTAATCTCGATGCCACATTTATTTTTGTCAAATTTGGAAATAAAATTTTTTTATATCTTTCTATATTACCGACCGGTTAAAGATTTAACATGTTAGTACAGCGCTGACTGCTGATAGTATCCACCACAAAAATTATTGGTTCATATACAATTTATTTAATTCAAATAAAAATTATTTTCTTCAAGTAAATATTTATTTGATAATAGTCAAGTAATCAAGTAGGTATTTCAATAAAATAATTTTTTTTTTTTTTAGTGTGTTTAAGTACAAAATAAATACTAAACACAGAAATTTTTTATTCAAATCAAATTAAAAGAAGATTTTGATTTTAAATTATTAATTTAAAATGTATTTTATTTATTTTTAAATTAATAATTTATTTAAAATATATTTGTCTCGAAGATAAATAAACATTTAAAAAAAAATATTTAGACTCGAGAAATGTTAGATTTATTACATTATTTTGATAAATATAAAAAAAAAAAAAAAAAAAAACAGAAATAGTGAAATGAAATTTAAATTTTTCGTATTCTCAGAAAATGTTTTTTCTTCGTTACTTTTTCAATGATGAAATTTACTCAATCCAAAGTGAATTTAATATACGCGCGAGAGATCAAATCAAAATCTTGAGAACTGGAAATAAATACATTTTTGGATTGAGTAAATTGTTTTAGTAAAAAATAATAATCAACAAAAAATTGATTTTTTTTTCGATTTAAATAAAAAGAAATTAAAAATGCAGGGGTTTTTAAAATTATTAATAATAAAGCTTTTTATTGATTAAAAATTAACAAACAATTTTGTAGAAATTCTAAAATTAATACATTGTACGGAGATAATTGGAGAAAAAAGTTAATACATTTTAAATCAGTTCTTGAAAGAATAATAATAATATTAATGTTAATAATAAAAGTAATTAATAATAATAATAATAATAATATTAATAATAATTATGACCAAGTCATAGAATAGAATATTTTTGATAATGAACACAATAAATAAATATATTATATACTATAAATTTTTATCAAAATAATAGTAAATTATTACAAATATCACTTTTATATTATTCAACAATGTCGATAATTATATAATTCAAAATGAAAGACACTTTCGTTAATATAAATATATTAATAATAATAATATGAATAACATATAATTCGCATTTATTTCTTTTTTATTAATAAATATCTTTGAAACATAATAATAAATAATTTTTAAACATTTCTCTGCAATATTTATATTCGCAGATATTTTATATTATAAGCTTTTTGCTATAATAAATTTTTCTAAAATACATTGAAACAAAAAAAAAATTAACAGTTTATTTAATTGTTTGAATTGTGTTGAAATCTTTTCAAAATTTAAAAATGGTTTTGATTCTCATGGTTGCGAAAAGGAAACAAAAAAAAAAAAAATTGTGGGGAAAATAAATTTTCGTTTATTTTTGTGGCATTTCATGTGACATTTTCTTTTAAAAATTATTTGGTTTTTGTTTATTTATTTATTTTTATTTTTTGTTTTTTTGAATATTTAAAAAATTTTTTTTAATAATTTGTTAACATTTTGTTTTGTCTTTTTTATTTAAATTTTTTCGAAAATCAATAATATAAAGTGAATAATTACTTTTTACAGTGAATTTATATTTTTTAGATACTTTCATTGTTTCTTCTTCTTTTATTAAAAAAACAAATTCGAGAAAAATTTGACTTGTAGAAATTGTGTTTTTGATTTGCTCATGAAAAAAGTGAAAAATGCATTTTAGAATTACTTCTTTTTTGAAAAAATTTTTTTTTACAACTTCTGTAAAAATTCGAATATTCATAATTTTTTGTATCAAAATGTTAATACCTATTTCTAATTAATAAATTATTAATATTTCCTAAATTTTCAAATAGAAATTCGAAAAAAAAAATTATATTTAAGCCAAAAATAATCTTTTAATTAAAATGTCACATGAATTATTCTTTGATTTTTTTTTTAATATTCCTTTAAATAGTTTTCCTAAAACAAATAGAAATTTGTCTGAAAAAAATTGTCATTTATATAGTTTTTTTTTTGTCGCAGATGAACTGCATAAAATGAAAATTTTCCAGAAAAAAAAAAAAAAATTAATTACTAGTATCACTAGAAATTTGATTAACAGTAGTTGAATCGCACAATTCATTTTTCTTACGATTTTTCATCTTCATTTTATTGGAAGACTTTTTAAATTTATTTGTTTGTTCAACTTTTAAAACGTGTTTCTTATTTTTCACATAAGCCACTGCATTTGATTTTTGTTTATTATTTAAACAAATAGAACGCGACGATGTGGCTTTAATTTTATTTTTTTCATCTGAAAAATTATTTTCATTTAATGTTGTTGTCGTCGTTGGTGATTCGCCAATTTCAGGACGTGTTTTTATTATTTTTTGTCCTCCAATGACTTTTAATCTTTTTGAACCTTGTTTAACAATTGTTGTTATTTCCATATTCATATTATTTTGTTTTTGATTATTGATAATTTTATTATTATGATTTTTAATAATTGACCGACGTTTTTTTGTTTGTACAATGAGAGTACATTTATCATCAAATGAATTTTGTGCCGTTGTTGATTCAATTGTTGTTTGACGATAGTCGGGAATTTTTTGAAATTTCTTTTTTATTCTCAATTGATTTTTAGTTTGAATTTTTGTTATTAATGATGTATTTTGAATTGATGATTTTTGATTTGATGAATTTTGTGGTTTTACTAATTTACGATTTATAATTTGTCGGGGTTTTTTGTTGGTTTTTATTTTCTTTATCGCTGTGTATAGTGATGTGGTTCTTCGTACGATACATGGTTTCTTTATTAGATTTATTTCAATTTTTGTTGAATTTTCAATTGAAGTTGAATTTTTTACTACTGTCATTTCAATTTTCTCTTGTGAATTATTTTCTTGTGTACTGACACTTGCTCCACTTATTCCACTGTTCTCCTGTGGATCAAATTAATAAGTTTTTGTAAACTTTTTTTTTTAAAGGTATATTTATAGTTTCAATCCCCATGTGTGACAGTCTCTGATAAAAAAGTTAACGTTGAAAAATTTTAAGGTCAAAAAAAAGAAATAAATTTGTATTTGTTTCTCTTTTTTCAATTTTCGTCTATGAGATAAATAATTAATTTTCTTATTTACAAATTTTTGAATTTGTTTTTTTTAAATTAAAATATGAATATTTAAATAAACAAATTAAATTGTTTTTTTATTACAAATGTTAACTTTTGTCCGAGACTGTCGCTGGTAATTTTCTCATTTGATAATATTTAATTAACGTGTACCTTAAAAATTGATCACTAGATTTTTATTTAAAAAAAAAAAAAATAAAGAAAGCTGAAAAATTCTGCATGAGAGAGAGAGATTAAAGTGTATTATTAAAAAAAAATTTAAGAAAGAAATTATTAAAACTACTTACTTTGAATAAAATAGAAATCTGAAAAATATTTATATTTGATTTGTTAGAATAAAAATTTTTCATTTTATTAAAGAAAAAAAATTTATTGAATTTTGAAAGGATCATATTTTGTAGATTGAAAAAGTTTACGAGGAAATGTTAAACGGGACAAGCGGGAAGAAAATAAAAGCAAAGCAAATAAATATATATTTATATATGAAAAAGGATTGAGATTTATTAACAATTTAACACGATATAAACCGAATGTGTACATTGTGTTGTAAAATTGGAATTTTTGTTATAAATTTTTCAAATTTTATCAGACACAAAATTTATTATCAATTATTATAAATATATATATATATATATATATATTGATTAATATCTTATATAAATTAATAATAATTTGATTAAAAAATTTACATAAACCTATATACATATAAAATAGTATTGTCAGAAAAAAATTAAACTTTCCAAATTCAATGATTTTTTTTTTTATACAATAATGTTGAAAATTAATGGATTTATTTAGAAATTTCTTTTCATTACTAACCATATTAAAAGTTTTGTTTCTTTTTTTTTAAATATATTTATATAAAACTTCAATTTTCACGACGACAATTCCTATAGTTGATCGCATCACCTTCATCCAATGATTTCACTGATCGATCACTTAAATTACCAAGTACCTTTCGCTAGAGAAAGACATTATTAGACACATTATCAAATTTCAATTATTTTTCTTCACAACCATGATTAATTTAGTACATTTTTTTTTTGCAAATTAAAATAGAGTTGATGATTCTTATTTTTCATTTATAATAATTGATGCTGTCTAAATTAAAAGTCTGGACCATTTAAATATTTTAAGGATTTTCAGTTTAAAAAGAAAAGAAAAATAAAATTCCAGAACTTTTGAATAATTTAAACAACATTGATTTAAGGCATTATTTACACGTTCCATTTAACTCTATATTTATAATTATAAATAAAATGAACTAATTGATTATATTTTTATTTTACATTAAAAAAAATAAATAAACTACCGTTGAAAATTGTTGAAATTTTTTCTTTTTATTGTCAATTTTTTCAATAATAATCAAAATAAATGGAAATTGAATACGATAAATATTAAAATATAAAGAAATTTTCAATTTTATTCTATTATTTTATAGAGCAAAAAATTATTGTTTTGTGAAATTAAAAAAAAATAAAAATTAAATTGAAAAATATGGTAAAACTTTGAAATTGTAAGAAAAAAAAGAAAAAGAAAACTAATTAAAATAATTTATATTTATTTTTCTAGAAAGAAAAATCAATTTTCAACTTGTAGAGTATTTTTTTAAAACATTCATACAATAATAAATGCGTGAGTGAAGATGAAATTGATAAATGTGTACAAAATTTCATTTCTTAGGTGAATTTTTAAACTACAATACGTTTAATATTAAGCTTAATAATCGGTAAATTAAAAAAATATATATAAATCACGACTTTTTGAAAAAGGCAGACTTATCTTTAAATAAAAAAGTTTTTAAAGTTTCATTTATTAAAAATACATTAGAAATTTTTTGGAATTATAAAAGTGTCAGTTTCCAGTAAATTTTTTTTTTTTTCTTAAAAGACAAAATTCGCCCAGAATTATTTTATTGGGTAATTGCTATAAAAATTAATTGATCAATATTTTTTAATTTAACCGAATTTCTATTTCAGAAAGTTTCGATTTTAATCGAATTTTTAATTAACAGAATTTTTGTACTTATTCGAATTTTTAAATAAAATAAATAAATAAATAATGAATTTTAATTTAGCTGCAAATTTCTATTTAACAAAATCTTTAAAGGAATAAATTTGAATTTAAAAATTTGATGAAAAGTAATTCTATTAAATTGAAAATTTTGAGAAATAAATTCTGATAAAGAAAAATGTTGTCAAATATAAAAATTTAATTCAATGAAATTTTGGGAGAAAAATGAATTTCCAAATGAAAATTTTGTTAATTTAAAATCAAATTAAATAGAAATTCGGCTTAATGAAAATTCAACTAAGAAAACTGTATTTAAGGAAATTTTATAAATTTGAAATTCTACAAAGAAAAATTTTTTGTTTTATAGAAATTCTTCAAAATAAAATTTAACTAACAGAAAATTCATTTTTATGAAAATTTTACTTAATAAAGCTTCAACTAATTGAAATTTTTATATGAAAATTTTATTAATTAAAAATTCAACTATGTGGAAAATTTTTTTTATGGAAATTCAGAGAAATGAAAATTTTGCTAAATAAAATTATTAAAATAAATCAAATACATATAAAAAAAATCCATTTTTTATGGAAAATCAGTTAAATAAAATTAAAAAAAAAATAAAATTCAACTAATAGAAAATTCATTTTTATTGAAATTCTGCTAAATATAGTATCAACTATAAGTCAAATTTTTTCATGAAAATTCTGTTAATTTAAAATCCAGTTAACTAAAATTTCTGCTAAATAAAAATTTAATTAAGTGCAATTTTGTAAACGAAATTCTGTAAAATGAAAATTTTATTAATTAGGAATTCAATTAAGTGGAAATTCTTTTTTTTTATTGAAATTCAGAGAAATGAAAATTCTTATTAATAAATTTCAACAAAAAAATCAAATTCATTTAAAAAAAGTGATTTTTATTGAAATTCAGCTAAATAAAATAAAAAATAAAATACAACTAATAGAAAATTAATTTTCATGAAAATTCTGCTAAATAAATTTTCAACTAAGTGAATTTTTTTTATTCAAATTCTGTTTCATTTAAAATACAGTTAAATAAAATATCAACTAAATAAAAAATTAAATAAAGGAAGATTTTATTATGGAAATTCTGTAAAATGAAAATTCTATTAATTAAAAATTATGTTTAATAAAACTTCAATCAAATAGAAATTCAGCTAAAGAAAATTTAAAAAAAAAATTAAAATTCAACTAAATGAAAAATCAATTATTATGGAAATTTATCTAAATAAAAATTCTGATAAATAACAATTTAACTAACAGTAAGTGGAAATTAATTTTTATCGAAATCTTGTTACTTAAAAATTCATTCTCTATTAAAAATCCTGCAAAATAAAAATTCTGCTTTTCTATAAAAAATATTGATTAATAAAATTTTGTTAAAAATTTTACAATTTTTTGTTGTTGTAAATTTTGATTCACTGTCATCGATTCTATTTGACTCTAAAAAATAAATTCACGTTGTCTTGAATAAAAAACAAAAAATGTACCCTTATTCTGGAAGCTTTCATTTAAAAAAAAAAAAAAGGAAAATTATTTACACAATTATTTTTGAATAACAAAAAGAAAAAATACTTCGTTATAAAGTTCTTTTTTTTCTGTCATTTTCAAAAATATTTGGAAGCCTATCATGTGAGCAATGCATATGAAACGAATAAATGTGTGATTGATAATTAAATTTTTTTTTCAAAGATCCATTTTAATTGATTGAGAGCTTATTAACTGTAAAGTTAATTATTCAATTAACAGCTCGTCAATGCGAGTTAATAAAAAAAGCTGTATATACAAATTTTATACATATATATATATATTAAAAAACGAATTTAAAATTTGCAAAAAAGCACATTGCACATGAAAGTGAAAACTGCACTTGGAAATACTGTCGATGAGTTTCCTTAATATCTATACAAATTATTATTAATATTTATATTATTCTTTTATAATAATTTGTAAGGCAAAAAATTGAGTATCATGCTAATCTGGACATAACCAGAATTCAGAATTAATTTTGCCATTTTCGTCAATTCATGTTGAGAAGGCATTTTTTTTTTTTTTTTTTTTTATTTATTATTGTCAGACGAAATCTCTCTCTCACATTTTTTTTTTGTTTCTATCAACGTATTTGTGATTTGTACGTTTAGTGAACTAGTTAATTTTCAATTAACTATAATATAGTAAAAAGTAACTAAAATTTACGTAACTAGTTGCCAGTATCTAACTAGTTGTAATCTCTAATTATGTTTAGAGATTTATGAATGAGACGCAAATGACAAAAATGTTTTTCTTTTTTGTTTTTGTTTTCACATTTGCGTTTCTCACTCGTGTATATAAGCAAAAAGCGTATTGCATTTTTTTTTTTTTTTTTTTTTTATTAGGCAGTATTTTAAGCGTTTTCATAGTCAACAAAGAGCGCACTGTGTAATGTCCGCGTTCATGACGTCATGTTCATTATTTTTATTGAAATTTACCTTATGAAGTGGCTTGTGCAATGGAGCGGTACAATTGTTGGCGTGTGTTAATTTTAAATAGGACTTTAAACCCCTCAGCGAATGATATTGGCTATTTGATAGACGACTATTTGGATTGCTGCCTGTTAAATCTAAAATTGAGGGTCCTAATGCTGCACCCACCTGAAAAATTATTTAAGAAAAAAAAAAAATTATTATTAAAGGATCAATTTATTATATTAATTTCATTTAAAGTCGTTTGCGATTTATTTGTGGAACAATTTTTTTTTTGATACTTTTTATGTAGGAATGATTTATTATTATATTAGTAAATAAATAAAATTTTCGGAATTTCAAAAAATAGAGAATTTAATGGAAATAATTGAAAAAGAATTGAAAAAATTACTAGAATTTTAGAAAGTGAAGATAAAATTTAAGAAAATAAAAGAAACGAAAAAAAAATTTTTGAAAAGAAAAATCGAGAATTTTAGAAAATTACAAAATAAAATGAGAATTTGTAGGAAAAATTTTAGAATTTTTCGGTAATTTTTAAAAGTAAATGGGTAAAGAATTTTAGAAATTTAAAAAAAAATAAACATTCCAAAAAAGAGAATTGGGAAAAATTGAAAAAGAATTTTTTTTAAAAAACACTAGAATTTTAGAAAGTGAAGATAAAATTGGAGAAAATACAATGTTGAAGAAAAGACAAATCGAAAGAAAATTCTAAAATTGAGAGAAAATTTTAAAAATAAAAAGAAAATTTTTATTTTTTATACGAAAAATTGGAAATTTTTGCGAAGTTTTTAAAAGTAATGTATTTAATAAATTTTACGCATTCTAAAAAAATAAGCATTTATAGGAAAAAATTCTTTTTCAAAAAAAAAAAAAAATGAAAAGAAAATAAAAAATGTAAAAAACTAGAAAGTCTTAAAAAGTAGAAATTGAAAGAAAACACGAAAATTTAAGAAATTCGACTAAAATAAAATGAGAATTTGCGACAAAAAAATTGTGAATTTTTGATAAATTTAAAAAAGAAAATAAATTTTAGAAATTTTCAAAATAATTATTTTAATTGACCAAAAATTTGCAGAAAATTATAAAAATTCTCTAACTTATAAAAAATTGATCAATTTAATTTTGAAAATTAATTTCACAAAAAGAATTGAACACTAAAATTTTTCTAAATTATTTAAATAATTCTTACTTCTTCATAAACAGCTGGCGTATATTTTGGAGGAACATAAATTGGCGTTTGAATTTTATTGATGGTATCGCGCACTCGTGGTGGTAAAGCATTAATTAATCGACCCGAATTGTAATTACACTCAAGTGTGTAACTGCGAATCAAACCTGTTAATTTATAAACCGCCACTCGACCCGATCCTTCTCTTGACATACCATCCCTTTTGTCTCTGCAAAATTCCATACAATCAGTATATTATTTGATTTTCATTATTGTTAATCAATGACAAATTAAAATATACATATTTAAGCCCAATAATTATTACACAAAGTGATTTCAAACTTACATTAGATACATATTTCTCTCGGCAAAATTACATGAAGTAAAATGAAAATTTGGATTATTTAGTGACATTAATTTTGGTAGCAATAAACATGTTGTTGACTCATCAGAATCATCGAAATAATTTCCATACATAAATATTCCTTTTTTCGATGCATGACCATGTAAATCAATATAAAGAAATAGTCCAGAATCTTCGGAATCATTAGACGGTTTTACTATTCCACTTAATCTGTATGATCTTTTATTGTCTGCAGTTTCTGGTCTTCGTCTTTCTTCTAAATGATCTTTAGATTTTTCTACAAAAATTCATATTCAAAATAATTTTTTAATAATAAAATTAAAATGCAAATAATGATAATGGAAAAATTTGTAAATTTTCTGATAATTTTACCTCGTAAAATGTTTTCTTTAGCTTTATGGCATTTGTCATAAGTTAAATCACTTTTACTTTTTTCATCCAGTGACATTAAAGTGACCTGTAAATATTTTTTGTTTGTTAATGATTTAGAGTAAAGAAAAAAATAAATCAAATTTAAAAAAAAAAAAAATTCAAAATTTAAGTGAATTAATTACTTGTTCAAGAAGATGATTAGTTGTATCTCTAACTACGTTAGTTACACTTTCTGGAATAATTATGTTGCTTTCGCGATTCACTTCCAAACTTACGTGAGAATTTTCGATTTCGATTTCAGTCTCTTCTGGCAGCTTGTAGAAATTGTGGTAGTATCTGAATTTTCAAATTTTGATAAATTGAGGTTGATTTTTTCTAGTTTATAATATATTTTTACAGGGCTGATAAAAATAATGATTTAAAAAAACAAAATCCGTTTTTTTATTTAAATATGATTTTATTTAATTTAAATTTACTTTACCTATTTGATTTAAATCGAATTTTCAATTATCTGAAATAATTTTTCAATCGGTTTTTTTTTATTTAAATCAGATTTCAATTATTTTACCAATTTTTAACTAAAATTCTTCTCTAAATTAATTTTATTTTCAATAATTTAAATAAAATTCTTCACAAATTCAAATATATTAAACTATTTTTGAATTAAAATTTTTTAAAAATTAACAAATAAAAATAAACTTGCAAAAATTCACAAATTCGAAATCACTTGAAATTCAATTATCAAAAATTAAAATTTAATTATTTCTAAAATTTTCCATCTAAAACTTTCTAAAATTTAATAATTTTAACTATAACTCTTCTGAAATTCAATTATTTTTAATGATTTTTATAATATTCTTCGAAAATTCAATTATCTGAACGCATTTTTCAATAAAAAAACTTTTGGAATTTAATTTTTGTCCGTAATTTCTAATAAATTCTTCAGCAATAGAAATTACTGAAAATTTAAATCAAAAATCACTTGAAATTCAATTATTTTCAAAAAATCAGAATTGTAAATCTTCGAAAATTCAATTCTTTTTTAATAAAAGTTGTTTAAAATTATTTGAAAATTATTTTTATTAAATTAAAAATGATTAATAATTAATTAAAAAAAAATCTAATTATTAATAATTAATAACAATTATTAAATAATTAAAATTATTTTCAATTCTGTAAAATTTAATTATTGTTTAAAATTTAACAAAATCTTTTGAAATTTAATTATTTTTGTATAAAAAAATTTTAAAAAAATATTTCAAAAAATCATATTTAAATTTTTTTTTTATTTTTAAATAATAAATAATGTCAATAGAATATTCGCCAAAGTAGAAGACAAAAGAACCTTGGAAATATATATAAAATTGAATGTAAAAAATTTATGAAAAAGGAATTTTTTTTTTTTTTTAATTTAAATAATTTTGATGTAAACGACTCTTTGATTTAAAATTATGATTTAAATGTAAAATTATCTCTTTGATTTAAATCATTTCAGCCCTGAAATTTTTACTTAATTATATTTTGTAATTTTCTATTTTATTTTTATTTTCTATTTATTTGTTTTGAAATTTTATTGATATATTTAAAAAATAAAAAATTGCAAACCTAATTAACGTTCTCGCAGCGAATATTGTTGGATGATCGTTTTCTGATGGATTTAAATATACCCTGTTTAAATTAACACCCTTTGTGTCCATTCGATAGTGACCTTTTGCCACTCCATCGGGATTTAACATTGGAATTAATTTGAACACGTAAAGTCGGCGTAAAGTTATTGCTATTGGATCTTCTCGATTTAATAGGAGATTTAAAAGACCGTTTAAAACAAAACTGGAAGGCGTTTCACCGGGATGAACTCGTGCACTTACAAAAATTACCTAAATATATTTCAATTTAAAAATTAATTAATTAAATTTCCAAATTTTCCAATTTATTCATCTTCTAAAATCGATTTCAACAATAAATTTGGTATTTTTACATTGTTTTGTAATTTAATTAATAATTTTACAAGCTATCTTAAATCTTAAAAAAAGAATTCAAAATTCACTGAAAAAAAAGTTAAGGTAAAACTTACCTTTTTATTTTTGAATTTGAATGGTCTTAATTCATTCTTTTCTGGGAATAAATTCATCAGCCTGTCCTCTCTCTCCATTGATATGTTTTGATACGAACTTATAGTTAATAATTCGAGTCTTCGACCCTCTAATGATTTAATGACACATTCTCTATGATAATAAATATCATCCACAGAAACAATAGTCCTTCGTGACAATCTTGATTGAATTTTTTTCAATTGCGTTTGTAAATCATTATACGTGAATGGATACGTAAACGCAAAATATGTTATGGCTTTGGGATTATCTGGAGTTCGATAATTAAATGACAAAGTAAATTCGTTACTTTTTTCGTCCAACTGCAATAATTAATTATTATTTATTTTTATTTTTAATAATAATGTATTAATATAATTAATAATAATTTATTACTAATTATTTATTATGCAATCTATTTTTAGATTGGAATTTTGTGAAAACGAAAAGAATCCTTTTTTTTTAAAAAAAAGAGAATAAAAAGTAAAAATAAATGTATATATTTACCGCGTAGATGGGTTTATCTCGAATTCGTTCCCATTGAGGATGTCCTGGCAAAATTTTATAAACGGGACACATGCCTTGGCTAAACATTTTTACCTGCTTATTGAGATTAATGACATTAAGTCGAACAAATGCTCCCGGTTTTGCAGCCTTAACTCCAAAATAAAACCATGTTCTATTACTATTTTCATATTCTGTTCCATGACAATCGTGTTTTGTCCATAAATTAAATTCATAGTCGAGATTTTCTTCGACTAAATCATTTTTACAGGATTTAGTGTCATTTTCATTTTCTTCTGCAATGTGACAAATTAAATTCAGAATATTCTCCCGACTACTAATTTTTGAAAAAACAAATATCGATTTCATATAAACAAATAAATAAATAAAATATAGGTACAAATAAATTTACAAATAAATTTTTCTTCAAAATTTAAACAAAAAAATGTTTATTTTTGTATCCATTGATTATTACAGGCCTCGAATTGACTTTAAGGTACAAAAAAAGTCGATTTTTTTATTTTAACAAAAAAAATTAATTAGTTAATAAATATTTTACTTTAAATACCTAATTAATAATGTTATTAGATATTAAATTCATTTTATTAATTCTGTAATGAAAATAATTCTATAAAAATATTATCAAGAAAATTTATTTCGAATATTTCAGAATCGAACTAATTGTAAGATAAATTTTCAAAATTTTATTTAAGTAGGACAAATTTCTAAACAAAATTATTAAACTTCCATTTTTATAATTTTTTCAAGTCTGATTTAAGCAATTTATTCGAATTAAAAATTTTGTCATAGTTTTTAGTTTTGATGGTCAAAAAAATTTCAGGCAATACTTCATCAAGTTTTACAGATTTTTAAATAAAAATTTTTTTTTAAATAATAATTTTGGATCTTCATGAAGTTGGCGTCGACGCTCAGCGTCTGAAATTATTTTTCATGGGACCAAAAATATCAAAACATTTTTTAAAAAGGTTTTGGATCCACATAATGCTTTGAGAAGTATTTTTCAAAGTATTATTTGCATTGATTAATTAAAAAAAAAAGTAATTTCAAATTTTTGATTCTGCAAAAAACAATTTTCGGCGCTGAGCGTCGAAGCCAATTTCAGGGTGGAAGAGTTAAAGTTAAAATTTTTAGAAATAATTGAATTTGAAAAGATTTTGTTAATTTTCAGACAAAAATTAAATTTTACAAAACTAAAAATAATTTATTAAATAATTTTAGGTAAAATTTTTTAAAAGTAATTGAATTTTCAAAGATTTACAATTATTTAGATTTTTGAAATTAATTGAACTTCAACTGATTCGAAGAATATTATAAAAATTATTAACAATTATGTAATTTCAGAAAAGTTATAATTAAAATTATTATATATCAAAAAATTTTTAGATGGAAAATTTTAGAATTAATTAAATTTAGAAGCTTTTAAATTGAAATTTTTTGAAAATAATTGAATTTCAAAAGATTGTGTTAAATTTCAGATAATAATTATAATACAAGAAATTTTTAGTGATTTTTATTGACGAAGAATTTATTAGAAATCACATAAAAAAAAATTGAATTCCAAAAGTTTTTTAATTGAAAAATACTTTCAGATAATTGAATTTTCGAAGAATATTATAAAAATCATTAAAAATAATTAAAATTTTTGAAAATAATAAAAAATTTCAAGTGATTTTGAATTAAAAATTTTATTTGCTAATATTTTTAAAATTTAAAACAATTATTAAATTTCATAAAAATTTTAATTAAAAAACAGTTTCAGATTATTGAATTTCTGAAGATTTTCATTAAAATTATTAAAAATAATTAATTTAGTGAAGAATTTTAGGTAAAAATTTGCTAAAAAATTGAAATAAAGAAGATCCGAAGAAGATTTGCATTTTATACTAAAAAAAACGTATTACGTTTAAAAATTTTGTGAAAAAAAAATTGACAAAAAGTCAAAAAAATCTCATTTTATTAAAATAAGTCGAAAAAAGTCGTATTTTTGAAAAAAAGTCAGAAAAAGTCGAAACAGTAGTATAATCCAAGGCCTGTTATTATTAAAAAAAAAATTTCAGAAATCTTTGAATTTAAATTTTCCATAGATAAAAATAATATAATTTCAATTTCAAAATAGATTTAGAAAAAAATATTCCAAGATCAATTCATGAAATATTGTGAAATCAAAAATATTTAAAGGAATTTTTCACTTCGAATAATAATACTCAAGATTTGAATTAATAAATTTAAAAAATCTGATTCAAAAATAATTTTTCAAATTAATTGTGGACTATGAATAATCTATTAAAAAAAAAATTTCCGTTTCTTTTTAATTTTTTGCAAAAGATTTTCAATTTGAAATACATTTTCTACAAATTTAAATTGCTGTATTTTTTTTTTTTATTTTTTTTCTGAGAACAATTCAATTTTAAATAAATTAATTTTTAAAGAAATATTAAAAATTATTAAAAATAATTGAATTTTGAAAGATTTTGAAATTTTTAGAAATAATTAAATTTCAAAAGATTTTGTTAATTTTCAGTCAATAATTAAATTTTACATAATTGAAAATAATTTTAGTTAACTTTTTTTAAAAAAACAATTGAATTTTCAAAGATTTAGAATTCAGATTTTTGAAAATTATTGAATTTCATGTATAATTTTTGAATTGAAATTTTTTTAAATTATATTTGCTGTTTTTTAAAAAAAAAAAAAATTTAATAATTATTGACATTTTAAAAATTTTTAATTGAAAAATAGTTTCAGATGATTGAATTTTATGAAGAAATTCATTTAAATTATTGAAAATAATTTAGAGAAGAATTTTATTGAAAAATTTGTTAAATAATTAAAATAAAGAAAAATTTGATAAAGATCTTCATTGTATATATTAAAAAAAATACATATTTTTTTAAAAAAATTTTGTAAGAAATGTTAAAAAGAAGTCAAAAAAAAATCGCATCTTATTATAATAAGTCGAAAAAAAGTCGTGTATTTTCAAGGAAAAAAAATCGAAAAATTCCTATAATCCGAGGCCTATATATATATTTAGTTTTTACAGTAATTTTTAAATTAAAAATACGCGTATAGTATTTTAATTTATTATTGTAAAAAAAATTATTGTAGATATATAAAATGAATATATATAGTAATAGAAACAAATAAAATTCAAACTTCTACAGAAAGAAGATAAAAAAATGAATGTTAAAAATTAATTACCATTGTCATTTATTGCGTTGATATCAACTTGTATGACTCTCGCTAAATTTGCAGAGTCAAAATTATTATAAAACACAAAACCTCCACTAATAAATCCTTCTGTTATGTCCGACATTCTGGGTCAATATAATATAATTAAGTTGACCTCTTATGACATATTTTTTAAAGAACAAAGATAATTGTGTATTAATGTAAATTTTAACAACTAGCAAGTTGTATCAGCACGAACGTAAAATTAGATACCTTGAATAGAGTCCTTGGCAGATCATATGATTTCTATTTACATTCTTTTTACGGAAGCTAATGACCTATAGAATATAAGAAATTTTTAACCTTCAGAACAAGAAAAATTTTGTTCAATTTTTCTCAATATTTGCAAATCCAGTGAATTGCAAATTAACATTATTGGAATAAAACTTATGGTTTTATATGTTTTTCTATTTTTTTTTTTTTGTTTTTAGAATTTAATTCACTCCATTGTCAATAAAACGTCTAATTTTGGACGAGTCCATTTTGTAACATGTCCTAACACTGACATTTCGTCTGCTACTTGACCTCATTGAAAATGTCAATAAAAATTTATGTTCACAAATATTTTTTTATTAAATTAAAATTTTTTTTTGTAAAATTAATAATTGACTAATATTTAAATAAGGCAAATAAATTTTATTTATTTTTTTTTTTTAGTGTAAATATATTTTTTTTTTTTCATTAAAAATACTATCAATCTACCTGTAAATTTATTAACATTTTTTTTTTTAATTTTTGATTTATTAAATAAATAATAATTAATTTAAATAAATAATAATTTATTTAAAATTAAATTATTTACTTTTTTTAAAACAAAAAAATCGTAATAAGCAAAATTTGAATTTTCCCGCGGTGCGTTGCGCATGACGATCAATACAAACAACGAAAGTCAAGTTCATGACTAATTATATCCATTCATTTGATAATATTTTCATTTTATTAAGAATTTTTTTAGTTAAAAATTATAGTAAAAATATTTTCTCGATTTTTCCATTATATTCGATTGAAAGAGAATTAATTTTTATTGGTGTTTTAAAAAATAGTTTATTTAGGTCTTGGTGTATTTCTCATTCGTGTGTTTCGGGGAACGGGTCGAACATTTTCAGGCTGGTATAGTTCTTTCGTTTTATCTCGTGGAAAGAATTTCCATCATTAAGGAGAGAGTTTTATCGTTTATTGCACATTATGCCGAAGAATAAAGGTAAGTGTTTCTATTTTGAGTGTTATTAGTGTGCTGTAAATGATATCTAAAGTAAAAATCAATTGTAATTGTTTGTGAATAGTTGAAATTTATGAAAAATGTGGTTAGTCCAAAAACTAACCTGTCAATGTCAAAAACTTTCAATTCATGACGCGATGTTTCTTGTGTTATTTTTTTCCTTCTCGGTGATAATAGGGGGGAAATTTATTATAAAAAAATTCTTGTGATTTTTGTGTTTTTTTTTTGTCTTTTAGGAAAGGGAGGTAAGAATAGGAGAAGAGGTAAAAATGAGAATGAAACTGAGAAGAGAGAATTGGTCTTTAAGGAGGACGGACAAGGTGAGTGTTTTTTTTTCATTTTTGTTGTATTTTATTTTATTGACGAAGCAATTTTTTTTTTCTTGAAATGAGATTTGAATATTGAAAAGTGAAAATGTGAATTTATATTTTTATATTTTTAAATTATTTGATGGGTAATTATTTTTCAATGCCAAAGAATTGTGTATTTGTCAATAATGCAAATTGAGGTTAATTTCATGAAATTTAATGAATTTATTATTATGGAAAAATGAGTTTCGGTTTTTTTTTTTTTATTTATTTCGGTATTATCATTGTTTACAAATTTATAGTATTATGAAAATGGTACAAATATATTTAAAATGTTTTCAAGTTTAATCCGTTTACGACTGAAAATTCAGATAAAATCGAATAAGAGTCATTTTTTTCGTTTTAATGATTTATCATTGACTTTACGATTTTTTAATTATTATTGAACTTTTTTCCTTCTTATTCTTATTTTTGCGGATGTTTTTTTATTTCATAGAATAAGATGGAAATTTAATTTTTATTTTAAATCGAAGAAAATTGTTAATTACAATTTTGTTTATTTTATTTTTTTTTCAATAAAAAACGATTTTAAGAATTTTTTCTAAGTTTTTAAATTTGGAAATTTTTTTTTTTCAATTTCCGTTTTGATTTCTCAAAAATTTGTGTGTACATTCAAAAGAGAGAGAAAAGTTGGAAAATTATGTATTCTAAACTTATTTTTTTAATTTTATTCTTATTTTCGCGGATTTTTTTTAATTTTATAAAATAAGATGGAAAATTAATTTTTATTTCAATTCGGTGAAAATTGTTGATTTTCTTTTTTCGATACAAAATGGTTTTAATAATTTTTTCTAAATTTATTTTCAATTTAGAAATGTTTTTTTTTCAATTATCGTTTTGATTTGTCAAAAATTTGTGTGTACATTTAGGAGAAAGAAAAAATTTGGAAAATTATTCTGAATTTTACGGTTTTTTTAATTATTATTATTAGTGAAATTTTTTCTTAATTTTATTCTTATTTTCGCGAAAATTTTTTTATTTCATTAAACCATATGGAAATTTAATTTTTATTTTAAATCGGAGAAAATTGTTGATGGCAATTTTGTATATTTTATTTTTTTCGATACAAAACGGTTTTAAGAATTTTTTCTAAGTTTTTCAATTTTCGTTTTGATTTCTCCAAATTTTGTGTGTACGTTCAAGAGAAAGTGAGAAAAGTTAGAAAATTAATCTGAAATCTTTTTTTAATTTTATTCTTATTTTCGCGGATTTTTTTTTAATTTTATAAAATAAGATGGAAAATTAATTTTTATTTTAAATCGGAGAAAATTGTTAATTGCTAATTTTGTCTATTTGTTTTTTTGTTTTCGATACAAAACGGTTTCAAGAATTTTTTCTAAGTTTTTTAAATTTAGAAAATTTTTTTTTTTTCAATTTTCATTTTGATTTCTTTGAAAATTTGTATGTACGTTCAAGAGAGAAAGTGAAGAGTTGGAAAATTATTCTGAATGTTCGAATATATTGAATAAAAAGAAGAGTCATAATAGTCTAAATGAGAGTGTGTTTAAAAAAAAAACAAAAAATAAAACACATCTAATTAAAATATAAAATATTTCAGAATATGCTCAAGTAACCAAAATGTTAGGTAATGGTCGGCTTGAAGCAATGTGCTTTGACGGGACAAAACGTCTCTGCCATATTCGGGGGAAACTTCGAAAAAAGGTGTGGATCAATCAAGGTGATATTATTTTGATTGGTTTGCGTGATTATCAAAATGCAAAAGCAGATGTTATTCTAAAATATACAGCAGACGAAGCTCGTAATCTTAAAACATATGGTGAATTCCCTGAAACCGGTAAGTTTCCTTTTTTTTTTTTGGAAATTGTTCCACTTTCTTCAACCCAATTTTTTTTTTTTATTGATTGTATTATTAAAATTGATAAATTGCTTTGGATTGAATATAATAATTTTTTTTTTTTGCAGTACGTATCAACGACACAGTCACCTTCGTGGAGGATGGCTTTGATGAAGATATTGAGTTTGGTGATGAAATTAGCGACGATGATGAAGAGAATCCCGATAATGTAAGTTTTTTTTTTTTTTTTTTTTATTTTTTCTATTAACTATTAACTATTAATTTCTTTTAAAAATCGGTTTTTTTATATTAACTAATCGACATTTTTGAAAAATTTTAAAATTTATATAATTTTACAAACTTGGCCAAAATTCTCAATTATTTTTTCTTTTTTTTGCAAATTCTCATTTTATTTCAGGAATTTATTACCTGTTTTTTGAAAAACTGCGCCAAAATTCTAAATTTTTCTTACAAATTTTCATTTTATTTTATGATTTTTTAAAAATCATCGATTTTTCATTCAATGTTTTTCTTTTCTTAAATTTTCCATTTTCTTTTCACTTTCTAAAATTCTATGGTTTTTTTTTCAATTCTTTTTGAATTTTTCTTTAAATTCTCCATTTTTGGAATTTCTAAAATTTTATTTATTTATGTCTTCTTGAAGTTTTTTGACACTCAAATATAAAAGAGAAGAATTTAGTTTTGAATAATTTTTGAAAATTTACTTTATGAGTTTCATATTTTTAAAAAATATAAATTAAAAACTTGAAATTTATTCTACAACTCAAAATTTCTTTTCAATATTTGATTCAACAATATTTAACGAATTGATCATAGAAAATTCTTTAATTTAAATTTAAATTTAATATTGTTTTGCTTTTATCTTATTAGATTAATTTCCATAAATTAGACTTGAAAAAAATTTTTGAGAAAGAAGGAACTGTACAATTTTTTGAAATCTGCTTTACTAAATTCAAATTTGAAAATTTGCTTGAGAATTCTTTTCGTTAATAAATGAAAGTAAATAAATAATTTATGTAATACAATAAATAATTAATTTGGTAATTAATTTAATAAAGTAATAGTTAATAATAAATATTTAATAATTACAGTTAATAATGAATATTTAATATTAATAAATATAATTAATAAATAATCAATATTATGTGATAATAACATTTATAAAGAATTAATAATATTAAAATTTTGGGAATTTTTGTTTAAAATAATGTAATTTTAGTAAAAATTAAATTTGAGGTAAATAAAAATTCGGTTAAATGAAATTTAAATAATAAATCGAAATTCCGTTAAATTAAAATTTAAATGAATACAAAATATGATTTAACAAGAATTTCGTTAAATATTTATATATTTTGTTTTATCAAAATTCTATTGTGTAAAATTCGATTCAATATTAAAAATTTTCATGTGATAATAATTTTTATTTATCACTCTGTTGTCTGTACGAATTAATTATAAATATCACTTGGAGGCAAGAAAAACAAGTGAAAAGAAACACTTATTTTTTTGTTTCCGGGAATAACAGCTGTGCTGTTTAAACGCAAAAAAAAATTGTCTTTTTTTTCTCTTGTTTCCCTTGACACAAGATGATCGCTATATTCATAGTTCATTGCATATTTATTATTAATTTAATACTAGGACATAACATATTTAGATAAAAATTTTGAACTTAAAAAAAAAATTATATATTTTAAAAGTTGAAATTTAAACTTGAATAAAACTCATTGCTGGAAATTTTGCTATTTTTAATTACAGTTAATAAATATATAAATAAAAAAAAAATAATTTTTGTAAATTTAAAGAAAATCGATAATTTTTCAAAAATAGTAACATCTTTGAAAGAAAATAATAACTTGAAACGAATTTTTATTTTACATAAATATTATATCATCGAGTTTGAAGTTTACAGAATCATTTGTTTGAATTTTCATTAGAAACAAAATTGTGATTTAAAAGAATTTTTATTTAACAGAAAGAATATTAGAAATAATTAATTTTCTAGCCGAATTTTTTATTCGTTCGAATTTACATTTTACGGAATAATTAAAACTCCGAATTTTTATTTTACAAAATTTTCATTTATCTGAATAAATTTCTGTAAGAAAATTCATTTTTAGAACTTATTCATGCGTTTTTTTTTATATTTAATGTGAAATTGTTAAGAATATTTTTCTTTTTATAGATCTGATGACCCACAGTCACAACAGTTGATAGGATTTAAAAAGTCGATAAAGTACTATTGTCGTTTGCTGGTGCAAATGAGGGATTGAAGTATATTCCTTTACATTCAACGCTTATTTATCTTCTTGTATCTATAAATAAATCGTCACGTTTTTCTCGGTCCATATTGTGTTCTCCGTTAAAAGAAAAAAAAAACACACACACACACACATACAAGTAGCATTTGATTTCAGTTTATTTATAATTGTATAAAATTATTGTTAAAAAAAAAATATATATAGAAAAATCTACGCCACCATTGTCTCTAAGAGTTAAACGTATTTAAAGACTCATTTAAAGAGTCTACACTTGTTGAACTTTTACAAGATTCATTTCGATCCTTTTCTTCATTAATTTCTAATTCTTTAATCTCGTCTTATAAATTCATATATTTAAATATTCTAATTGTAATTACTTGTCATTCCATTATTGTCATAACTTTCTCCCCTTTCAATTTTCCATCTAAATTAAATTTTGAATTTTGTGTCATATAAATCTTTAGATGAATAAATAAATTCTGTAATATGAACATCGATTTTCACCCAATTGGAATTTTATTTTATTTTATTTTTTTAAATTGCATTTAAACTGAAATCATTATTGTGCTGATAGTATAGTAAATATTGTAGGTATACAAATGTCTATAAATCCGTTTTTTTTATTTTATAATTTTTTTTTTTTTCAATGCCACGTTAAATGCGTGTCCATAGATTTAGTAATTCAAATTGGCTACTATGAATTTGAGTCAATTGTGACACTTTTGTAAAATTAGGTGTAGAATTTTTGTTATTAACCAAAAGTAGATTTGTTTCTCTATTTCTGTTTTTGGAAAGAAATTTTTAGTAGCTCAATTTTAGGTAAATAATTGTGTTGATAATTGTAAACTCTTGGCAATACAGAATGATAATATAGAGTATAAAATGAGGGGGAAAAAAAAGAAATAATTAATTTTGCGCTTCACTTTTAAAAATTCCGAGAGAAAAATATTTTAAATTTAAATTAATTGAAAAGAATGAAAACTTATTAAAAACTCGGAAATATGTAATATCGCTGACAATATAATATTCACGACAGTATTTGTTTTCGAAAGACGAAATAAAATTTTTTAACAACACATTTTTTTTTTTTTTTTAATTAATTATTTTCACATGTAGTAGTAACGATCAAATGGTTTTTTGTGTTTTTCTTTTTTTGTTATTAAATTCTGTATAAGAGATTAATAAATTATTTATTCTCTTTCATTGAAGAAATGTTTAACTGTCGTATTGATATGAAACATTTTTTTTTTATTATTATTTAATTATCTCGTTGAGAAAAAAGGTTATTTATTTTTGTTGCTCTTCTGCAAAAAAAAGTTATACACTTTTTAATTTCAATCCAATGTGAATGTTATAATATTTGCATATATGTGTGTTATATTTTTATCAAAGTTTCAATGTAATAAATTGAAATTTTGTTTTTTTAATATGAATATCCTCTTTAATTGATATTAATTTTGATATTTTTTTATTTTGTAACTACTCTCTAAATTTGAATTACTAATTTAAATTAGTGATTGATTTTTTGTTATACTAGTTAAATTTTACTAATGATTTAGTGAAATAAATAATTCATTAGTAAACTTTAACTGATTCAAAAAAAAAAAAAAATTTAAATACCAAAACATTGTCACTAATTTAAATTAAAAATTTTTTTTAACTGAAAATTTTTTCTAATTCAGATTTAGTGAGTATTGTTGAAATTGCACAATATTTTCGGGGTCGAATTTTGTCGACAGGAAATCGGGAAAAAGTCGGCAGTTTTTTTTTTTGGGTTGCATAATAATTAAAATAATTATAATTGTAATCATTGTAATAAATCTTTTTGAAACATTCAAGTTTACTAAAAATGAAAATAAAAATTATATTGAAAATTCGATTCTTATGTTGTATGTTAAATAATTTAATGAAAGTCGAAAATTTTTTGTTCTGTTACAATTTTGAAAAAAAAGTGATCATTGTGTTTTTAAAATATTCTGGTTTTTAGCACTTTGAGATAGAGATAGTTTTTTTTAACTATTTCAAAATTGTGATGTAATGGAAAATATTCCCTTTCAAGTTCGTAACCTTTCTGAATTCTGGGCGACTAATTTTTTTTCATAACAAAATCTTTGAGTCATATTAATAATTTTGTAGTTTTTGCAAATAAAAATATGTCCTAAAAATTGTTTTGCAAAATTTTAATTTTTTCAAGAGTTATTGTTTAAAACATTTTTAAGCAAGAAATTAGAAAATTATTTTTTTTTACTGTTCTATTTGATGGATTTTGCTAAAATTTCATTTGAGTAATACACGATAATTAAGCTTGTAAGCAAAAAATATTTGATTGTTATGGTCCTTAATTTATTTAAAATAGCAACAATTATTATAAACAAATAGAAATTAAATAGACTATACACCGGAGAGCATGGTATCGCTAATGATCCAGTCCCAGGAAAACTGGCGGCACATCGAGACCTTTATCATTTCTGTTATGATGAGAATTATTATTATTGAATTATTTATTAATTTTTTATTATTTATTTTGTCCATTTATTGTCTTATTTATATTTTTTAAGTATTGTTATTATTTTGTCCATCTGTCTTTTTAACAATTTTATTTTTTGACATTATTTATTTTATATTTTGTTTTTTATGTGTTAACTTCTTTTAAATCCTTTTTCTGGTGTGCTGTTAATTCTACTTTGACTTTGACAATAGTTTTATAGTTTAAAAATTGATAACGCAGGATATCTGCAGGAATGGACGAAGTCGCATTTGCGACAGAGTTAGAGCGCCACCCTCGAAGGCAAAAGTCTTCCGGTAGTTTCGAGGGTGGATAAAGGGCTCCCAAGAAGGGTTGACGGGTTTTAGTGGGTAGGGGTTAGTAATAGTTCGTGAGTTTATTTTGTTTTTCTTTTTTTTTTACCAACCCCACATAACATTGGAATGCGGAAGCCATTTTTAGGTTATGTTAAAATAAATTTGCCTGAGACTAACTATTTGGACAATTTATAAAACCTATATTCTCAGCCAACGCTCATTTCACTGTGAATTCACTGGTTCTCGTCCGATCACCAAAGTTAAGCACAATTGAGCGCGGTTAGTACTTGGATGGGTGACCGCTTGGGAATACCGCGTAGTGTTGGCTTCCTTTTTTTTTTTTTTTTTTTTAATTTTTATAATTTAAAATATTACAAAATTTAGTTCGTAGGATTAGGATTGACTCATTAAAAAATACGATTTTGTCAGGAAAATAAAATAATAAATTCCATTAAAATTAGCGTAAAAGACAAGAATTATTTTATTGAATATTATTACACAGTATTTTTGAAGTATAAACAGAAGTAGTACAATATATTTTATATTCAAATTTCAACACTTTTAAATTATTCTGTATTCAAAAAGAATTTCTGGTTTGTTGTATAAATGAAAATTGTCTCATTTGTCACGCATTTTTTTTTTGTTTTTGAATGGTTACAAGTTTCTTTTTCGCGCTGTATAAATAATCGACATCTTTTAAAAAGTTGTGTCCGAATTATATTGAAAGTTTTCAGCAATTTTTAAACAGTTTTAAATGTTTCTTATTTTGAGAAATTTTATTTGTACAGTGCGCGTGCGCCTACTATTTCTTCTTTTATTCTGAAAACAAAAAATTTAAATGTTTTAGAAAATTTTAAAATACACCTTTTCAGAACCATAAATAAGCTCTAAAATTAATTTTTTTTTAAGAATTTTCATTTGACAGAATTTAATTACCTAGAAACTACTTTTAGCCGAATTTTCATTTCTTCAAATTATTATTCAATAAAAATTCCATTTAACCGAATTTCCTTGTTACAGAAATAAGAAATAATAATTCTGTCAAATTCGAATTCGATGAAATAAAAAAAATAAAATAAAAAATTTGTTCAAGCAACAATTCTGTAATATAGAAATTCGATGAAATGAAATTTCTCAAACGTAATAATTTGAAGAAATAAAAAATTCGGCTAAAAATAAATTCTAGGTACTAAAATTATGTCAAATAAAAATTCAAACATGCGTTTCGACTTAAGACGTTAATGGGTTAATATTGCTAGTAAAGTACCTAGTGGGCAAAAAACCATTTTCATTCCAAAAACGTTCTTAAAACGATTTAAAACGTTTTATGTCAGCCAAAAAATGTTCTAGAATACTATATTTGAACATCCATGTTCTTAAAATGTTTCAGAACATTATTTGGCGGACATAAAACGTTCTTGAAATATTTTTAAATCGAACATGGTTTTTGACCCACTATACTGAGAAAAATATGCTATTGAATTAACAGCATTTCTGCCAATGGTATAAAAATTATTGATTCAAAAGCATATGCTATAAAATTTGTAAAATATTTTATAGATTCTATAGCATATGCTTTTTTGAATCAATAATTTTCATACCTTTGGCAGAAATGCTATTGATTCAATAGCATATTTTTCTCAGTGTAGATACGTTATAAAGTATATAATGAAAGCACTTTAAAAAAGTATAAATTATGTACCTTTAGAAGCTTGTTTGGGAGAGCAGACTTGTTGTTTCGGTGGTTCTGGGCAGCAGATTTGTTGCTTTGGTGGTTCTGGTTTAGGGCAACATACTTGCTGTTGTGGTTCTGGTTTTGGGCAGATTACTTGCTTTGGTGGTTCTGGTTTAGGGCAAGATACTTGCTGTTGTGGTTCTGGTTTTGGGCAGATTACTTGCTTTGGTGGTTCTGGTTTAGGGCAACATACTTGCTGTTGTGGTTCTGGTTTTGGGCAGATTACTTGCTTTGGTGGTTCTGGTTTAGGGCAAGATACTTGCTGTTGTGGTTCTGGTTTTGGGCAGATTACTTGCTTTGGTGGTTCTGGTTTAGGGCAAGATACTTGCTGTTGTGGTTCTGGTTTTGGGCAGATTACTTGCTTTGGTGGTTCTGGTTTAGGGCAAGATACTTGCTGTTGTGGTTCTGGTTTTGGGCAGATTACTTGCTTTGGTGGTTCTGGTTTTGGGCAGCTTACTTGCTTTTGTGGTTCTGGGCAAGGAGCTGGTTTAGGACAGCTGACTTGCTTCTTTGGTGGTGGGCAGGGAATAACAACAGTTTGTTGATTCATTTTTGATTTTAGAGATTTTTCTTGAAATTTGATTTCCTGTTAAATAATTGTATTACATATTAGTTGAAATTTTTGTCTATAAAGAATAATATTTTCGGTTTATGAAAAATGATATATATTTATATAAAATAAAAATGTAATACTTACAAAGATTCTAAGTTGATGTATTAGATACTTTTGAAGGTACTTGTTCAAAGTATACTTTTTTTGAATTTATCGCCCGTTTATATATACCATATATTGCTTTACACCTAAGGTGTTAAAGATTTTTTAAATGAGATTTTAATGATTTGTCGAAAGCATTTTTTCATTTGACATTATATTCTCAGTAAACAGACATTGTGTTAATTGTTTTTTTATATATATAAAATATGCATATTCGTCATTCATTTAATAATTTCTTCATAAAAAAATTATTTTTTTTTTTAAATTATACATTATTTATAATGAATGTTAATATAATCTAAACAATAATTGTTTAGATTATTACTATATAATGACCTTAATTTAAATAAAAGACTAAGTTAATATTATTTTAATAACAATATTTTGAAATAGAATAAAGCAATTAAAATATTTAATTTGCTTTTTTCTTTTCTTTGTAAAGAATAACAACAATTTCTTGAAAATTTCTTAAAATTGTTGTTCTATTTTTTGAAATACAATGGGTTATAAAAATAACTCATAAGACTGACCCGAGGAGAAACTTAAATAGGGAAATCGTAAGGGCCTTGTAATATTTCCCTATTACTTGTATGATTCTGATGTGGAAAAATGCGGATTTCTGATTAGGCCCAGAGGTTTCTTGTGACGCTTGATTTTTTATAAAAATGATTCATAGTACCCAATAGCAAGAACCCTACAAGAACCCTACGACCGTCTTTCGATTACTTTCAACTTACTATCATTTTTATTGAATGATAATTTAAGGTTATATTATTTATTATAAATAGTAGAAAATTTGGACCAGTATCATTTTAACACGAAACTTACAATTAAGATTTTTATATTGTACTACCAGGAATATTGTTATTTTGTGCATGTGCTGAAATCAAATAGTTAGTCTAATAATTAATAAATTACTTTAGTGAGGTTCACAACGTTTCTAATCAACGATTTAGAAGAACAAATATTTTTCTATTTAAATGTTTACATATTTTTGCATAAAAACTATTTTACTTAATTTTTCGATCAATAATTTGTAAAAGAGAAAATTATAAACAAAATATTTTATTGTTTTTGTCAAGAAAATATTTAAAATCTCACCTTAATGTTTTTTTGATATATACTCTTTTTTATTTATAAAATTATGACTGTCATATATATTTATTAAGGAACAAAAATAATATTATAAGGGTAGGCCTTAAAAAAAGAGCAGCAAATAGAATAATATGATTAATTAAAATCAATTTTTGTCGGGAAAACATCTTCGGTTTGTTTTTGTAATTTCACATATAAATATATTCTGCGCAGATTTTGACAACTCAAAAATAGTAAAAGGTTTTGTTATCATGTGCCAGAGTATATTAATAATTTTTTTTAAAAATTGTATTTTTGGGATTAAAATATTTTAAATAGTTAATATATGGTAATATATTAACGTTTAATAAAATAATTTTTGTATTACAAAAACATCATACAAAATAATTTCTCAAAGTTCAAGGAGATTTTACCATTAAATAAGACATTTTTATTTTTTAATATCTTCGAATTGATTGCTATACATATTTAAAATTATTTTCACATTCTTAATAATTTAAATTCATTATATTTTCTAATGAATTATATAAACTACAAATTTTCTTTTTACAGTTTAATTATATTTTTTATAAAGAATAATATAGTAATATAACCTGAAATTATAATTAATCAAAAATTGAAAGTTAAATAAAAGTTAAATTGAAAGTTCTCAAAGGGCAATCGTAGGGTTCTTGTTATTCTTCTCACTATTAACCATTAAAACTAATTTTTGAGAAAAACAAGCGTCACCAAAAACGTCAGGACCTAACCAGAATTCTGCATTTTTCCCTATCAGAAACTTACCAAATTTTAGTTTTCGATAAGGAAACTTAGGGAAACTTCTCCACGGGTGAATTCATTTCTAATCAGACAGGCTGAATTTTTTCGGTGCTGAAAATTTATTTCATTTACGAAATTTTGTTTTCTAATAATTTTTAGACGACACGTATTTTTTTATTTAGCTAAAAAAGATTTTTTTGTAAAGTTATAACGATAAAATTTTTTTTTTCTCTTTAACCAGCATCGGGCATAAGATATATTCTTATGGAAGAAAATTTACCATAAAAAATTGAGCCAAAAAGATGGTGGGTTTTTGAGTAATTTCAATTTAAAGTTTTTTTTTAGTAAAATGGCCGCCATTTTGTTATTAATCAATATTTTTTAATTTTCTTATCGGATTTTTGAAGAAGAGTGAAAGCTCTTTCAGACCTAAAAAGAAAGAATTAAATATTCCAATTAGTCTAAAAAATGTGATACTAAAAAGATTTTTTTCTTAATTTTAAGATAAATGACTTTTCCGAATTGAAAAATTAAAATCGTTAAAATTTACAAAAAAAATTAAAAAACAAAATTTTGTAAATGAAATAAATTTTCAACACCGAAAAAATTCAGCATGCCTGAATTGAAATAAATTCAGTCATAATATGAATATGATTAAATACATTTTTAAATTGATTTTAATAATTATTATTTAATAAAGTCTTATAAAAATTGTTGTTTAAATCAACAAATCAACAAATTATCTTAATTAATTAGGTTATTAAATAATTAATGGTCTTACTGTTACAAATAATTTAATTAACTACACGGAGGGAAATAGATGGTATGGGGTACTTTCTAGATAGTATCAGGTACCATATTTGATCTTACATATATATACGGACAGCGATCTAAATTTTATCAGTTATAATCCAGATTGTACGGAGTACCATATTTTGATTGTAGTGGGTAACATAACAATATTTTTTGTAATATCTTTGATGGTACCGAGTAGCATAATGATGGTACCGGAGAACATATACTTTTAAACATCAAGATCTTACCATCCATTTCTCTCAACATTGTATCCTGCAAAAAATGAGATTTAAAAGTATTGAATAGCATTCACTATCACTTGCTGTGAATCCCGTTATTCGACAATTTCGCATTGGAGCTCTTAATGAATGCTTCTTGAATGCGATGGTTTGTATTAGTTTTAATAAAATTGAATGCGACTGAATCTTATACTTAAAAGGTGATGTCAAACAATTGAATGGTGAATTTCGAAAAGGGCTCAACTCGAAAAAGCGTAAGTGTCATTTTCGCATAATAATAGATAGTGAAAATGACTCTTAGCCTTTTTAGAGTTGAGCCCTTTTCGAAATTCACCATTCAATTATTTTTCACTTTTTTGCCCATTCGGATAGAATTTGAGACTCTTTTTCATGGTGAAAACTAGAAAGTCATAATTTAAGAAGTACAAATACGAATTTTTTTTTAAAAATCTGAATTAAAGAAAATACATCTATTTATAAGATAAAAAACAAAAAACGTACAAAAAAAATTTTTAACAGCTGTTTTCTTGAAAAAAAACGTAAGCCCCCTTTTTATGGACCAGGTCACATATATTCATTGGTTCATTGCAAATTAAAATTTCAAATAAATGTTAACGTAACAGATTTACTTTGTTTTAAAAAAAATCATTTTTACATCCGTTTTCTCTTAAATATAATTTTTTTCACCTTTTGTTTATTATGAGGAGTGGATGGAGGAAATAAATTCAGACACAAAATACACTAAAAATTCATAATTTATTTTATACAACACAATTCTAGCACACAAGTGAAAAAATGGCGTGACAAGCACAAAATGTATTTAATTTATGAGTTTTGTGGATAATTTTAGTTTATTTGAGAACACAAGAACGAAAGATTTGATTTCTGTTTATTACAATTAATTACAATTAATATTTATTAACGAAAATTTTACAAACTTACTTATTTTATAGTGTACTTTAAGGTAACTAAGTGCTCAAATAAAATAATTTATTTATTATATAAAAAAATTATAAGACATAAATTTTTTGATCCATCTAACCCCTTAAGATTAATTTTCTACTATTGGGTTTTTCCAATTATAATATCAGTAAATTCATCAAAACATTAAATAGATCAAGAATAGTTGTTTATTGAAATAATTTGTACATTATTAGTTAAAAAAACGTAGGCATAATTATAAAAGTATTGAATGTTTTACAATTGTGTTCCAGTCTGATTGATTATAATTTCTAATGTTATTTAAATTATAATAGAATCCTATATATTTATTATAGAATTATATATAATTTACTGTTGTTTGAAAAGGTTGTTCTTGATTTCATTTTGATGTTATTTAGCTCGCATCTAAAAAACAAAATACTGTTTTAAAAAATGCATAATTTTATCATCTTTAAAAATCATTTAACAGAAATTATAATATTAATATAAATTAGAAAAAGAAGAAAATTAATATTTTAATGAATAGCTATTAATGGTTTCTTTGAACAGAATTCATGTGATAAAATATTTTCAAAAAGAGATTAGAAAAATTATTACATTATACCTAAATCATTAATGTTTCTTTGTTTTTGAGGAACATGATTTTGAAACAGTAGCTTTTGTATCATCAACTTTAGTTTTTGACTTTTCTGTCTTATTAGAATCGCTCTTATCGTTAACATTAACAGCTGATTCTTTATCTGAAGTTTTCTTCTTATCAGAATCATCTTCCAAACCAATATCAAATTTAATGTCTTCTATTATCATTTTAACATCATCAGTTACTTCTCCATAAGTATGTTTGACAACATTCATCATTCCCTTGAAAAATCCATCTTTAGTTTTCTTTCCATCTTTTCCTTCTTCTTTTACTTCCACTTTTTCTTGTTTTTGTACATTCACTTTTTGTTGTTTTTGTACTTCATTCTTTTCTACTTTTTGTTCTACTTTCTTTTCTAATTTCTGTTCTACTTTCTTCTCTACTTTCTGTTCTACTTTTTGTTCTTCTTCCTTTTGTCTTTTTTCCTTTTCTGACTCTTCGTTTGAAGAAAAATGTAAAACATCTCTTACATCGTCGACAATTTCCTCATAAACACCTCTTGCTGAATTAAAAATTTCAGTAATTATTCCATTTGACTTATCATCAGGCGTATTTGGTTTTTTTTCTTCGGTATGTTGGCTACTAGCCAGTTCTTTTTTAGATTCACACTTAGTGACGGGTTTGGGTTCAGGTTTAGGTGCTTCTGGAATCACAATTTCCTGTTTTTGACAACAAGGTGTTTGTGGAATCGGTTCTGGTTTTGGCTCTTGTTTAAGTTCACATTTAGGCTCTGGCTTAGGTTCCTCTTTGGCTTGGCATTTAGGCTTGGGCTCAACTTTGATTTCAACTTTAGGTGCTTCTGGAATGACAATCTCTTGTTTTTGACAACAAGGTGTTTGTGGAACGGGTTCTGGTTTTTTAGGCTCTGGCTTAGGTTCCTCTTTGGCTTGGCATTTAGGCTCAGGTTTGGGCTCAACTTTGACTTCACATTTTGGCTCTGGCTTTTGATCAACTTTCACTTCAGTTTTAGGTACTTCTGGAATAACAATCTCTTGTTTTTGACAACAAGGTGTTTGTGGAACGGGTTCTGGTTTTTTAGGCTCTGGCTTAGGTTCCTCTTTGGCTTGGCATTTAGGCTCAGGCTTGGGCTCAACTTTGACTTCACATTTTGGCTCTGGCTTTTGTTCAACTTTCACTTCAATTTTAGGTACTTCTGGAATAACAATCTCTTCTTTTTGACAACAAGGTGTTTGTGGAACGGGTTCTGGTTTTTTAGGCTCTTGCTTAGGTTCCTCTTTGGCTTGGCATTTAGGCTCAGGCTTGGGCTCAACTTTGACTTCACATTTTGGCTCTGGCTTTTGTTCAACTTTCACTTCAATTTTAGGTACTTCTGGAATGACAATCTCTTGTTTTTGACAAGACGTTTTTGGCTCTTGTTTAGGTTCAGGCTTTTGTTCATCTTTGATATTAGCTTTAGGTACTTCTGGAATGACAATCTCTTGTTTTTGACAAGGTGTTTGTGGAACGGGTTTTGGTTTTGGCTCTTGTTTAAGTTCACATTTGGGCTCTGGCTTAGGTTCCTCTTTGACTACAGATTTTGGCTCCGGTTTCGGTTCAACTTTGACTTCACATTTAGGTGCTTTAGGTTCAGATTCACATTTTGACTGTTGCTTGGGTTCTGGTTTTTCATATTTAGTTACTTCGGGAATCACCTTCTTTGTTTCTGAGCATTTTGATTGTGTTTTTTCTGTAATTAATTAATTTTTCTATTAACATTTTATCTCGTGAATTATAAATAAAATACAAAAAAATATTCTTTTAATGAATTTTTCAGTAAATAAATTTTTGCATATATAATGATTATTTTTGTGTAAGATAATTTTGATCATTTAAAAAAAATTTAATTATGTTACTTACGACAAGTATTGTTTTGTTGTACATCAACTAAACATCCGCATTCGTGTTGAAGAAATTCAATTGTCATTTCTTTCTCCATCAAGGGAGTTAATTTGTTAATTTTATCGGGCATGATTTCTGTGTTTTGATTTGACCTTGATATAGAAAAACAATTAGAAAAAGGAAATAAATTAGTATTTTAAAAAATGTATTTAAATAATTGTTCTTTTTTTTTAATTTTCTGTACAATATAATACATTAAATTTTAGTATTTTTCTATGATTGCGTAGGTAAATAAAATTTCTTAATTTTAAAAAAACTAAGGCAAAATTTATAAAATTATGAAATATACTCACGGAATTTTTAAAAAATGTAGTTAGTAGTTAGAAGTTCTGGAGATTCACTGTCTGCATTTAGAAATAAAACTTTTATTTAAATACCTCAAAAACGAGTCTTGTGATTATCATTAATATAATTTAAATGAGAATTTAATTGAATATATGAACTTCAATAGATAAAAATTTTCGTAATTCAGTTTTGAAATAAATAAAAACTTTGTTAATGTTGTTAATTAATTTTTTATTAACTTACATACTTATAATCGATGATATATATATATATATATATATATATAATTTAATATAAGAAATGTCTTTTTATCATCTAATCATAAAATAATTTATTTTAAGTATCAATAGAAACTTAAAGAACTTAAAGAAGAATATGTATATTGTAATTTAATAATGACCCTGAGCGTTTTTAACAAATATTGATAATTCACAATTCTAAGTTCAGAAAATTAAGAAATACAAATTTATAAATTCGATTACTCATAAATTTTAGAAAGGTAACAAAAATGTATCTATAGGTATAGTAAGACACATAAATTAGAGTTTTAAATATTTAGCTTCAATAAAAATAAATGGATTTACATATAGGTTTATACTTAACTATATACGTGAATGCAAATATATTCAAAAATAATTTACGAAATAATTACATTAATTTATAATTTTAAACATTATTTTTCTGGACAAAATTCAAACAAAAAATAAATTTTAAAGTATTTAAAAAGTAACTACGTATATGTAAAAAAATAGGTTATAACTGATGAAATTCTGAAAAGAAATTACACCAAAACAAAGAAAAAATGTTAACTTTTCAATTAGATATTTAAGAAAAACACCATTTTTAATGTTTTTTCTCAATTATTTTTATATCTCTGAATATAATTAACGTTTTATAACGCTTTTGGTGTCATTTAAAAATTTTTTTTCATGTAATTAATTATAATTAATATTAACATATACTAAAAAAAAAGTTTGACAAAAATACGTAAACTTTAGAATTATTTGAAATAAACAGAATTTTCAATTACTTAAATTCGTTTGATATTTTAAAATAAATTATTTTTTGTTTGTAGAATTGTCATTTTTAAATTTTTTAACTTTATTTAAATCTTAATTTCACGGCTCGATAGTTTTAAATGTGAACGTGTTTATAACTTCTTTTAAATAATTTGAATCAGATGCGGAAAAACATCAGTTTTAAGTGAGTATACATACACTAATTTAAAAGTATTAAATTGATACCAAAAATATATCAAATTGATATAAAAATTTGTATCAATTTGATAATTTTAAATTAGTGTGAAACCAAGAATATTAAAAAAACGTTAATTATTTTCGGAGATATACAAAAACATAAAGGGAAACATTAAAAATTGTGTATCTAATTCGACCCTCCCGAAGAGAACACCCAGATAGCATACAAGTCTGCTGCCAACTTGCATTGCAAGTTTTGCAAGTTTGCTTTGCAATCTCTCCAAATATGAATCAGTGAAAAAGTCACTGGTCTCAAATCAGTCGCTAAATTTTAGCTATTTGAATCAGTGGTTTTTACTGACAGTTAGTGACATTTCACTGGAGAATCAATTACTTTGACTGAAAATCAGTGAAATGTTACTGATTCAAATAGCTAGAATTTAGCGGCTGATTTGAGACCAGTAACTTTTTCACTGATTCAAATTTAGAGAGAAGCTTGCTGCGTCTCAACGTTTGCAAACTTTTACTGCGCAAGTTTGCTGCAAGCTAGCTGGAAACTATTATTAATTTATTATTCAATTGATTAATTATTAATTTAATTTTAGATACAAATTCCCTTTAATATGTACTTGGGACCATAGCTGGAAGGTAAAAAAAAATGTACTGCGCAGCCCTATATATGCTATAGAATTTAACTGCGCATCGTTTTTTAGTTTTGCAAAATATACGGTTGCATTTGTAAACTTGCAGAAGACTTGCAAAAGACAAAAATTTCAGAAAGCAGAGTGTGTTAAGTATATTTTACATCACTAGAATGTATAGTATCTTAAATTTCACACGATATTATATATAACCTCACTGACATGACAGCTGTTTCTTTGATTGATATTGTAATTGTATTGTAATAATATTTTCATAATCAAAATTTGAAATAAAGATACATATATAATAACTTTCGTCGAAAGTTGAAGTTTCTTTAAATGAATAAAAAGATTGAATTCAATTTACCATATAGAAAAGGTTTTTCTTTCATAAGTTTAAGTGTTTTTTAGTTCAGACAACTGTTGTATCCCGGGACGTTAACCCTAGTAAAGGTCTTTTTACACCTAGGCAATATGCAAATATACCATACAATCCTAAGTAGCACGTAATATTATCCTAATATCAAAGTAATATTAGATATCTTTTCAAAAATAATATCTAATATTTTAATTGCTTGTTTAAAAATTTGTTCAATAAGATTTATTACATAGTATTGTTACTGTTACTAGAAAATAATGAATATGAGCTTTTAAATCAATTTTTTAAGAATTTTATTGTAAAAACATCTTTTAATGCAGAACAACTTTTATTATTAAGGAATTAACCCCTTCGAAGTCTAGTAGAAAAATCGTTTGTGGGCCCAAAACGGTCCAAAAAAAAGTTTCCAAAAAAATATCATCATCGTATTTAAAGTTTTCGGGGTCGTTGAATCCAAATTTGAGGTCAGATTTAAAAAATTCAAAATGGCGGACACAATATGGCGGAAAAATTTAAAGTTGATTAGATTCGTTCAAAATTTGGTATTCGGGGGTTTTTGGGGTCGTTGAATCCAAATTTGATCTCAAATTTGAATTCAGCGACCTCCAAAACCCTAAAGGAACCATTTTTATGCAAATCTAGTCAGTTTTTAAATTTTTGGACGCCATATTGGGTCCGCCATTTTGAATTTTTTAAATCTGACCTCAAATTCGGATTCAGCGACCCCGAAAACCTTAGTATATCCATTGACACTCAAATCGAATTATGTTCAGTATTTTTTTTCTAATGTGGACATATATGTAAGTCCAAAATCACAAAGGTGGCACGACTTTTTTTTGGACATATATGGGCCATCGATTGTCAAGGGGTTAAGAACATTTTTTTATAACTACCCAGATAGCACGTAAGCTTGCAGCAACCGTGCGGCAAGCTTGCCGCGCAATATTGCCAATCTTGCACGGCAAACTTGCCTCAAGCTTACTGCAAGCTTCAAATGTCTCACCTGACCCAAGCTTGCATGGTAAGTTTACCGAAAGATTGCAGTGTAATTCACTGCAAGATTGCACAATAAGATTATCGCAAGATTGCTCAGTAAGCTTGCACGATAAGCTTATAGCAAGGTTGGTGCAAGGTTCTTTGACAACCTTGCACCAACCTTGCTACAAGCTTACCATGCAAGCTTGGGTCAGGTGGGACATTTGAAGCTTGCAGTATGCTTGCGGCAAAAAAAATTATTTGATTTAAATAATTGGTTACTTGACTATTATCAAATAAATATATTTACTTGAACCAAATAATAATTTTTATTTTAACTAAATAAATTGTATTTAAAGCAATAATTTCTGTATTTGAAACAAATACAATTTAATTGACTCAAATAATAATTATTTGATACAAATAAATATTTATTTGATAATAGTCAAGTAACCGTATTTGAATCAACTAATGGCGCACTCACACCTTTTTTGGCTGCCTGCCTGCCTGCAGGTTACCATGGCAACGCACGAATGTGAGTGAGACAGAAAATTTGAATATTCAAATTTTTAAATTTTCTGTCGCACTCACTCTCATGCGTTGCCATGGTAACCTGCAGGCAGCCAAAAAGGTGTGAGAGCGCCTTAAATTTTTTTTATCAAAATGGCCGCCATTTTGTTATTTTAAACATTTTTTAATTTGTTTCAACGGATTTTATATCTTATATCTTTCTAAAAAAAAAATTTTTAGGCTAAACAAAAAAATAAGTTTAATTTAAAATTCTTCGAAAAACAATATTTTATGGTCGAAATTAAATTTTATTCTCGACCGAGTCAAGCCTGCCTGATTTGAAATGAATTTGGTCGATATAATTTATTATTATTATTATTATTAATTTTTAATGGAGAAAGTATTATTATTTTGATTTTATTAATATTATTTTAGTACTATTAATATTATTAATTATTATTAATATTATTTTATTAAAAATCGATTATAATCACAAAAATAAAAAGTTACCTGCATTCGGTATTCTGGACTTTCTTCTTGACCATTAGCGCCCGCGTTCATGTGGCAATTTTCGGAAACACACATGGTAGAGCAAAATATGACACTTTTGTTTTGTGATTGGTCTCTTTTTGACCAGTGTTTATATAGTGACTAATGTTTGGAATATGATTTATCAAAAATTTTGAGAAAAGTGTACTTTGAACTATGGTTACCAGTGTCAAAAATTTGGAATTACACAAAGAAAAAACAAAAATAGACATTCCAATAAAATGTCCTTACTATTTAATTTTTCTCTTCATTATCAGTGTTACGTGAAATAAAACAATGTTTCAACTATCAATTTCCCGCTTGTCAAATTTTTATTGACAAAACTTGTAAACAATATTGAATACATAATTAACAATATTTTTATATTTTTTTCGGGTAAGTATTTTACATTCATCTTTATTTTATAAATTTTTTTCCCTCTTGACACTGCCAATAAAAAAGTTAAATAATAAAAAAAAAAAAAAAAAATTCAATAAAGGTTAAGGTGCTTATATACCTCAAATTTTGATCAGATGAACTTTATTTCTGGACCGTGAAAATGCGTGAAAATTCATTTTCACGGCGGGTATTTTTGAATTGATTTAAATAAAAAATGTTTTTTTAAGAAATATAATATTAAATAATTGTTTTAATACGTAAGAACACTTTAAAATAGTGATAGAAAGATGATTTGATTGAAAAATTTAGCAAATTTTGCTTTAAAACATTTTCTGTTACGAAAAAGTGTAAGATCACGATGTTTGTGAAATGGTTTGTACAGTGCTTCTTCGATGTGATTGTCTCGTTGTTTGTTTATGTTTTGTCGGCGTTTTTTTAGTTTGTAATAAATAATGAGTGCTCAAGATAAATCGGTAAGTTGAAATGTTTATTAAATAAATTTAAATTCAACTAATTGTTTCGAATAACTGAAAGAAACATGTACACATGTACACTGTACAAACCATTTCACAAACATCGTCATTTTACACTTTCTTGTAGCAGAAAACGTTTTAAAGCAAAATTTGCTAAATTTTTTAATCAAATCATCTCTCTATCATTATTTTAAAGTGTTCTTACATATTAAAACAATTATTTAATATTATATTTCTTAAAAAAACATTTTTTGTTTAAAACAATTCAAAAATACCCGCCGTGAAAATGACTTTTCACGCATTTTCACGGTCCAGAAATAATATTCATCTGATCGAAATTTGAGGTATATAAGCACCTTTATGTTCGATCACGTGGTTATTAAAATGTGTCCAATTGTAATAGTACCACGTGACATGAAAAATCGAAATTAGGAAAATCAACAAAAATAATAAATTATTTTAGACAAGTTTTTTTTTTAAATATATTTTATTGGATATGAGATATACAGATATTAATACAGATAGAATTTATACATATTTACTAGCTATAAATATATATAGCGTTGAGTTTTTAGTATATATACGTATTTCGGAATAATAAACACGAGAATGACGTCATCGGATGACGTAAGCGGTTCCTCACCAATTTGATTAAAAGGGGGAAACGGAATAATAATTATTAAAATATTTTAAATGATAGAAAATTTTTTAGTTACATTTTAATATAACAAGTTGAAAAGTTAATTTTTTTACGCGCGCTAACAAAATATATAATTAATAAATAGTGATATTGACCACAAAAGTTTAGTTTTAATTTAATGTACAGGAAATTTTTATATTTTCATTTGCAATTTAGATTATTTTTTTTTTATTTCTATTAAAATACACAATTTTTGAGGTTAGATACTTAAATTCGCGCCCTTTTGGAAATGTCATAAAAAAAATAATAATTTCTTATCTGTTGGAAAAGTATATATATGTATTGCGAAATTCAAGTGATTCATAATCGATAATATATTCAGAAAAAAAAAAAAAAGAGAGGAAAAGTACGATCGTATTGTACGCGGGGGAAGGGATTATTTGAAAGTGTAAAATATATTCATAAGGAAAACATTTTTTTTAACAAGTAGAGAGAAAAGTTATTTTATTTTTTTTTTTTCGTTTTCTATTTTATCGGTAAAGAAAGCGCGGGAGGAAAAATTTTTGTTGGGGAAGTGAACTGCGTTTATAAGTGTGGACATACAGGTGGTGGGGGGTTTAGGGAAACCGCCATTTTGTTGGTGACGCGCAGTTCTGAGATTCGAGATTCACCAGTGACGAAGTGACTGGACTTTTGACGTGGCTGCTACGTACCTGCCCGTTTTGCCCACTCCGAGACAGCAAAGTTGGTGACGAGAAATACGTAACTGGTAAGTACTCAGCTGGAGAATAACAACCGGGGGTGGACCATGGCACTTGCAATACATCCAAAATGCTTTGTTATTTGCGTGCCTATACATTTTTGGGACAATATACAAATAAAACATATCTATTGGTTACGATATCACGCGAAATATGGCGTCTTTAAGAATGATGTTTGCAGGAATATTCATTGAAAATTGTGCGATTTAACAATTGCGAGAATATAATCCGCGATTATTTTTTTTTTCTTTTCATTCTAATGTCACATCGTTGACAATTTACACGCGGACCTTATGTTTGAAATTCATTCTTTTGGCCGCTTTATACAATTTCTCACACGTCAATATTTACTCGTTCACAACATACAGGTTCTTTAGGAACATTCCACTCTTGCTTTATTGTTCGCTTATTATTTTTAGACTCGCTTATGTAAATGACGCAGTAGCATTGTTGAATACTTTATTGGCGGTATTTTCAAAAAAAAAAAAAAAAAATTATTTCTCGATTATCGTTATCCACGAGAGAAGAATGATTGTATATATTTTTCTTTTTATTATATATCACACTTTTCTATTACATCATTTTGCCGGGAATGTGTCCCGCTTTTTTTTTTTTAATAAACGGAAATAATTTTCAGTTTTTTTACTTCTTTAGAATGTAGGAAAATTATATTGTATTTTTTGATTTGTTTTCTTTTTCTAAATGATTAGCGTTTAAAAATATGGTTGAGAATATTGTTGTTTTGAGGTTAAGTTTCCTTTTTTATTTTATTTTTTTCATTGGAAAAATTTGCTTAATGTATAAGTGTTGTGAAATTAATTGATAATGTTATTATTTATGACAAAATTTATTTGTCTGATTTTAATTATTTTTTTTTTTACAGGCTTCGCAAACGTTCTCGGGCTATGGAAAGTATGGTTGAAGAAAACGGCTCAGCTGTAGATCAACTATCGCAGGGATCGCATAGTGGCGATGCAGCTCCTGTTATTGCCACATCGGTACAGTTACTTAATTGAAATTAGCAACAATGTCTATCGTCTTGTAATCATTACCAGCATTGTGCAAAAATTGCATATTCTGCCTCGCAGGAACTAGTCAATTATATAGGAAAACAATTGATCATCAGAAATGTGAAAAATTATTATCAATCCATCCAAGGAATCAAAAAAAAAAAAAAAAAACTTATTTCGACTTTTATAAAGTTTTATATTGTAAAATATGAAACTGAAACTGGCACCTAGTTATCAGTACCAAGTTCATTTTTGAAAAAAAGTTATGTTACCAATAACATAAATGCAACTAATCGACTTTTTTTCCAAAATTGGAGTAGAATTTTTCCAATTAAGGACGTTTATCCACGGAAATGCAAACCTCTAGAAAAAAATAATTAATTACACTACGATCAAAAATTGTGCGACCTCTGCTTTTTCGATGACTATAAAATGGTTTAAATCTTCAAAAATATACCTCCCTGAAGTTGGCTTCGAGGCTCAGCGCCGAAAATTGTTTTTTGCAGAATCAAAAATTTGAAATTACTTTTTTTTTTAAATTTTTCAATGCAAATAATACTTTGAAAAATATTTCTCAAAGTATTTTGTGGATCCAAAACCTTTTTAAAAAATGTTTTGATATTTTTGGTCCCATGAAAAATAATTTTCGACGCTGAGCGTCGACGCCAACTTCATGGAGGTAAAAATATTAAAACTAAAATTTTTCCCTTTTTATTTTCTAAAAGCTAATAAAATTCTGAATGAAATAACACTTCGACAAAGAGAATATGTTAATTTTTCAATTAGATATCTATAAAAAAGCAAATTTTCAATGTTTTTACTATTTTTTTTTTTTTTTTTTTACTTCTCTGTCAAAAATTAATATTTTTTAACGTTCTTGGGATCATTGGAATGGTATTTTGTTATAAAATTCGAAATATTTAAAACAATTCATGTTCAAATTCTTCCCTAGCGTATGCAAACCGTGAAATTTGGATAAAAAAAAATTAAAATTCATGTTTATGTGAGTAAATTTAAGATTTACACTTATCATTTTTTTGTCATTTAAATATTGATCATAATTTTTTTTTTTAAACTTTTTTTGAGTCAACTTTCACGGTTTGCATAAGCTAGGGAAGAGTGTGGACATAAAATGTTTTCAATAATTTTGAATTGTATAACTATTCCAAAGAGCCCAAGAACATTTAAAAATATTATTTTTTGACAAATAAATAAAAACATTAAAAATTGGCTTTTTCTTAGATAGCTAATTGAAAAATTAACATATTCTCTTTGTCGAGGTGTTATTTCATTCAGAATTTTATTTGCTTTTAGAAAATAAAAGGAAAAAATTTTAGTTTTAATATTTTTGAAGATTTAAACCGTTTTATAGTCATTGAAAAGGCAGAGATCGTACAATTTCCGACGGTAGTGTAACATTTTTAAATAATTAATATAACATTATCAGAGTGGCGATATGATCAGGAAATTCATAGTGAAACTGGAAATTTTTCAGACAAAATTTATATCGTCTATTACATCTTGTTGCATTAATTTCTCAGAAAAATGTATTTTCAAAAAAAAAGTATCGAATTATTTTTTTGTAGTAGTGCATTATTAAAATTTATTAGAAGAATTAATATTAAAAAATAAAAAAAAAGTTCTGAATTTTTTTTTAGAAAAATGGTGATTTTTTTTTTGGGAAAAAATTAAATTATTTACAAAATTTTGACCGGGAAAAACAGAAAATTGACCGGGAATTTATAATCATAAAAATTATCGCCACCCTGATACTTTCTAAAAGATGAGATATCAATTTTCAAGAAAAAAAAATTTTAAACCTGCAAAATTTATTTGTTTATAGAAATTTTTATTGTATAAATTTCTCTTTGTTATATCGCTTCTACAGAATTTTTTTAAAAAATAATTTAATTTCAATGTAATATGGATTATTTTCTTAAGAAAATTATTCTCTACAACTTCACCGCGGGGATTTTCAAAGAAGCAAGCCGTTTAGAAAATACAGCTATTTGTTTAAAAAAAAAATCCAAATTTTTCTTTTAAACAAATAGCTATTGTTTCCGTGGATAAACATCCTTAATATTTGAGTCAATAATAATATTCACGTCGATGAAATTTACAACGTTTTTTAATCAACTATTTAGAGAAGAAAATATTTTTCCCTATAAATTATTATAATTTTTTTTAGTTTGAAAAAATTTTTTGCAACGTTTTTCGATTAACAGATTTTGTAAAAGAAAAATTTGTAGGCAAAAAAATATTATATTTATATAGAAAAATTATCTTTTACCTTCAAATAGTTGATTATAAACGTTGTAAACTTCAATGACGTTAATATTCTATGAAAATTGACCTTGGAAAACTTTTTGTAAAATCTGTTGAAAATGGAAAATTTTAAAGGTAATTTAAATTATTTGATTTAGTGTTATTTTATTATTTTTTTTTTTTGTTTATTTACCGTTATAAATTTAAATTAGTTTTATTGATTTTTGTAGATAATTTTAATTATTTGATTAAACAATTAGAAATACTATTCAACTGATTTAATATTTGAAGGTAATTTTAATTATTTGATTAAATATTTGAAGGTAGTTTCAATGATTTTATTGATGTTTTTTTTTGGTAGATAATAAATTTGATATTTAAAATTTTTTCCAAGAATTATTCTTTTATTAATGAAATAATAAAATTAATTTATTTAATCATTAATAATAAAATATTGATTAACTAATTAAATTTATTAAGAATATTATAATTTACTTTCTTATAGAAACGTTAAAACAAATTGAAATTATTTTATTTTATTGACTTAGATGGATTGATAATAATTTTACACTATATTCTGATTACTATTTTAGCAAAAATGATAAATTTACAATAGAATTTTAAGTTAGAATTTATGTTTTCTTATTTTTAGACAATAAAAATAATTTTATTTTAAGGGGTTAAACCATTCTAGAACGTTAAAAAGGAGCCTAATTTTAATTTTTTTTTTTTTTTTTTTTTCAAGAAAAGTTTTAAAGTAATGAAAAATATGTTTATATATCTTTATTGGGTACACTCTTGGAAACTATTTCTGAGAGGGAATTACTTCGCGGCCAGAAAGGTTTTTTCTACAATTTTCATCCTAGAATAAAAAACAATTTTTTTTCTATTTTTACATCTCAAAAGCTAGAGAAAGACGTAGGGGATTTTTTTTTTATCGATTTTTGCAAAAAAAAATGTGAACATTTTAAGGAAAAACAACGAAGCTGAAGTACGCAACGTTTATGATAAACGATTTTTAAAGAAAATTTTTTTAAATATTTTAATATTTTTTTAAAATAAATCGGTTGAGATTTGTGAAATTTGTGTTTCCGGCCAGCTCAAAAAAAAAGTAGTTTTGAAAAATATGCGTTTAAAGTTTTATGATTTTTTGAATATACCTTTAATCTGCAATTCGTTTGACGTTGAATTTAAGGAAAAATTGAACCGACATTCAGTAATAATAAAAATAATTAATTCTTTTTCAATGTTAAAAGTAAAATTTCTTTTATTTATTAAGAAAAAAAAAATTGTTAATTCTTGTATAATGCTGGTTTTGTTATTTGATTTTTTATAAATTATTACATTTTTTTATTGTCTATGAATTTAATATTCTAATTAAATTTTATTTATTTAAATATTGAAATACAGGTACAATCTGTTATTCAACCAAATCAACAATCTGTAATTCAAACAGCAACAAATATTCAACCTGTTGCCCTTTCTAAAGGCAATGTTATTCTTGTTAAACCCAACTCAGTTATTCAAACAACAGGAGGATTACAAACACTGCAGGTAATTATTGCATTTATTCATTACTATAAATCAATGAGTTTATTATTATTAAATATTATTATTATATCTATTTTAGTAAATTAATTTTATCTTTTTATAAAATTCATTTTACATTCAGTTTTATTCGAACTAATTAACATTTTAAATAATCCTAAAAATTTGCAATTTAAAAAGTTAAAAAATAATTTTTTTTTTCTTAATTAATAGTTTTAATTAATTAATTGTTATTTTGAAATTAAAGGTTGTTGAAACGGCAAGTGATGATAGCTATTCCGATGAAGAATCTCCGAAAAAAAGGCGTGATATTCTCACGAGACGGCCGTCGTACAGAAAAATTCTTAATGATTTGGGTGGCGGAGAAATAGCAGGTAAAAAAAAATTTGTTTTCTTTTTTAATAAACACGAGTCTGAAAATTTTAATTTTTTTCCTGCGAAATAGTATTTTCGAAAGTTTTTTAAATGAAAAATAAAAAAAAAACCTTTGAAAACACTTTTATCGCATTTCATTCATAAAAATCTATGCAGACTGTGTGTAATTTATTGTAGGCAGCATTTTTTTTATTTTATAATAGAAAATGTCCGTATCAAGTAGGGAAACTATTATAATGTTTATAAAAGAAAAAAAAATTGAAAAAAAATTCCTAAAGAAAAATGAACAACGACATCAAATTATTACAATAGTTTCCTTTATTATTATTTTTTTTAAACAAAAATGTTAAAGTGCATGTCAGTTCATACGAGAAGTAGTTTTTTTAAATCAAATTTTTTTTCAAAAAAAAAAAAAAAAAAAAAATGTAGATTTAATTTTTGCACTTTTCAAATTTTCACTGAATTTCAAAATATTTCTTTGGATTCTTAATAAAAAAAAAAGAAGCAAAATAAGTCGGGAATTTTTATTTTCTATTAATTTTTTAAAAATAAAAAAAAATTAGTAATTAAAAAACAGTTTTTTTTGTAAATTTAAAAATAATAATATATTAAAATTTTCATTTTAAACAGTAATTTTTTTTCACTAGCTACGATAACTATCTTTGATTTGTTATTATTTTCCATTAAAAAGCGTTTTATAAATCATATATTTAATAAAAAATTTTCAAATATTAATATCTGCAATAATATTAATTTTAAAATTCAATCTATAAAAACTATATTTTTATATTATTATAGTTGGAACAAATAAATTTTTATATATTTATATTTTTAATATTTATTCTATTGATGCAAGAATATTATTTTCATATTTTAACATTATTATTACAATTTAGCAATAATTTTTTTACATATTTATATATATATATATATATTAATGTACGTATTTTTGATCATTAGAATGCCATACCAAGCTTTCTTTTTAAATTAATAATTAGCTGTAATTTTTTTTTCTCTTTTATATAACGAAACATCCCTTTCCCATCCTAAAGTGTAAGTGTAATCGTTTTATAATCAATAATTTTTTTTAAATGTAATCTAAAGCTTTGTGACAATAATTAAGAATTAAAAAAAAAAATAATATATAAATTTAAAATCTTTAGTCAGATCGATATTATTACTTTTCTTTCATTTTATTTCTGTATGACCTGACTGCACAATACTTTTTGAATATTCAATTTTTTTTTTTATCAGTCAAATTCTCTAAGAAAGACTTCAAAAAAATATTTCTATTTTTAAAAAAGAGAAATATAAATATCTGCCGAAATTCAACTCGTTGGCTTTTTTTTATACATTTGAGAATTCGTTTTTATAAATCATAAGTATAAAAATACATTTTTAATTTGTTTAAATAATAGAAAAGTTTTTTTGGCCTTCGAGTTTGGAATTCGTCTAAAACTAACGAAAAAAAAAAAAGAAAAACAGTTTGCAATGAATCGTAGAAAAAAATAATTGGCATAAGTTAAGAAAAAATCTCAAAAAGTTTCGAAATAAGTTTGTTTTCTAGAATTTTTTTTTTTTAATCAATTATATAGGATTTAAGAAAAATATAATTTAAAAAAAAACATTGACTTGTGCAAAATTTTAAAATTAATAATAATTTTTTTCGAAATCCTAAATAATTTGTTTAATAAAGGCAAAAAAAAAAAAAAAAAAAAATTTCCAAAAAAAAATCTATTCTTGGGACTTGAGATTGAAAAAAAATTGGTTATAATTTTTTGTTGAAATCGGGATATCGACCAAATTCGGTGTTGCAGAAGGTCGTTTGCACACTTTAGAATCTTCTTCAGAGTGTGACTCGAATGTGGACAGTGAAGTGTCTTCTCATTCACTCCATTATCAGACAGGTTGGTTACTTTTTCTTCTGTATGTCTATCCTGTCACTCCCATGAAAAAAAAAAAAAAAAAATCATTGCATGTTTATTCCTCCCTCAATCCGTGTCTACCCTTCAATACTGGGGAAAGAAGCTTAAAAACTGACTGACAGCAAACAAATTCATTCACCTATCTTTTTCGTTGTATCGTAAAGCACAAAAAAAAAAACAAAAACAAACAAGAAATCTATGGGATATTTTGCTTGGTATGGCATTCTTGCTTAATCTTACCAGAGAAACCTTTCATTCATAATAATATAAAATTCTTCATTAAATTTTAATAATTAGTTTACATCTTGCTTTTTTCGAAAAAATGCTTTCTTCGACTTAGATATCACAGTAAACATTATTGAGCGTTCACTTTATTCTTATTTGAAAAAATCATTTTCTTTATTTTCATGTTATATTGTAGATTAATATAATATGAAAAAGAAAGTGTTTGTATTAATATTGGAATTATTTTTCAGTAATACCTGCGGGTACAATTCAAATCGCTACCCAAGGAGAAGGTGTTCCTGGATTACACACTTTAACAATGAGCAATTCGGCGACAGCGGGTGGAACAATTGTACAGTATGCACAAGGACAAGACACGCAATTTTTTGTTCCAGGTGTGTATAGGGAAAGTATTATAATAATTTATCGATAATTGACTTTTTCTATTTTCAATAGTATCTATTTTAAAGTAGGATAAGTTATATTTAATATCAGTTTAATAAGTAATTCAATTTTCTAGTCTTTCTCAATGTACAGTTTGTTGCAATATTTTCAGCTTACACAGGACATGGTGTTGTTGTTGAAGATGCAGCAAGGAAAAGAGAATTAAGGCTTCTTAAAAACAGGTATAAAAAAAAATGTTATTCTAATTTTCATTTCAACAAATTTTAATTTAATTTACATTTTAATATATTTTTTACTTAACTAAATTGTCTTTATATTTTTATTATCAGTTTTTGAAATATCATAAAAATGATATTAATTCAGGCCTCGGATTATACGACTTTTTTCGACTATTTCCAATTTTTTGTCAAAAATACGACTTTTTTCGAATTATTTTAATAAAATGCGACTATTTCAACTTTTTTTTATATTTTTTAAAAAATATATTTTTTTTAGTATAAAATGCAGATCTTCTTCATATCTTCTTTATTTCAATTATTTAACAGAAATTCTTCACTAAATTAATTATTTTTAATAATTTTAATGAAATTCATCACAAATTTAATTATTTCAAATTATTTTTCAATTAAAATTTTTATAAAATTTAACAATTGTTTATTATTTAAAAAAATAACAAATAAAATTACTAAAAATTTTTAATTCAAAATCATAAATCAATTCAAAATCAAATAAAATTCAATTATTTTCAAAAATTTCAATTCAAAATCAACTAAAATTCAATTATTACCCAAAATTTCAATTCAAAATCTTTTAAAATTCAATTATTTTCCAAATTTTCAATTTAAAATCAAAGAAAATTCAATTATTTTCCAAATTTTCAATTTAAAATCAAAGAAAATTCAATTATTTTCCAAATTTTCAATTTAAAATCAACTAAAATTCAATTATTACCCAAATTTTCAATTTAAAATCAAATAAAATTCAATTATTTTCCAAATTTTCAATTTAAAATCAAATAAAATTTAATTATTACCCAAAATTTCAATTCGAAATGAATTAAAATTCAATAATTATCTAAAATTTCAATTCAAAATTAATTATTATCAAAATTTTCAATTAAAAATCAACTAAAAATGAATTATTATCAAAAATTTCAATTATAATTCAATTATCTTTAAAAATTTGAATTTAATAGCTTCTAAAATTTAATTATTATCAAATTTTCAATCAAAAATCAACTAAAATTGAATTATTATCCAAAATTTCAATTATAATTTAATTATTTTCAAAAATTTGAATTTAAAAGCTTCTAAAATTTAATTATTTCTAAAATTTTCCATCGAAAATTTTTTGAAATTTAACTATTTCCATTATAATTCTAAGAAAATTAAATTATTTTTAACTATTTTTATAATAATCTTTAAAAATTCAATTATTTCTAAAAATTTCAACTTTAACTATTCCAAAAGTATTATTATTTAAAAAAAAAAATTTATTTAAAAATCTGTAAAATATTTTTGTTAAAATAAAAAAAATCGACTTTTTCGACTTTTTTTGGAATATAAATCGACTAAAACGACTTTTTTTTTGTGCCTTTAAGTCGATCCGAGGCCTGAAAATCATGAAAAATTCGATAGAATTTTACAATAAAGTAGAAATGCTGAAAGAGAAGAAAATGAAAAAGATGTTCAGAAGTTGAACACAGGTGGAAGAAGTGGATGAGTTTTGTTATTTGGGATATTGGTTTAAATATATATGTCGTAGGCCGATAGACTTTTCAGGCCAGTTGCTAATGGCCGGTCAGTAGACGAAATCGAATTTATATATTCTTTTAACGTCTACTTGCCTAGGAAAATCAGGCCATTAGACGAATATTTTACAAATGGGCTACTAGCCTATTCTTAGGCTATTAAAAATAAGCACTGTTTATGTTATTAATTAAGTCTTGTTAATTAATGTAAATATTAGAATATAATAATGAAATGAAATCGGTTTTGCACTTACATTTACCATGTAGAATACTGAAATAAAATTTTAGTTTCTTAATTGATATTGTTCGATACAGTCGCAATTAATACGATGGACAATATTGTTGAATTTGAAAAAAAAAAATTAACGATTATTATAAAAAAAAATACAAGTAGCAAAATAATTTTATTTGGAATAAGGTGCATGAATTAAGTGTTATTAAATGTCTCTCGGAAAGTGAAAAGAAAACCGCGAAAAAAAGTCAATATCATAATTACTCTAAATTGTATGAACTCGTAAAAAATCGGAAGAAACACGCACGTAATTTTGAAAAGAAATAAATAAAATGTAAAAGTATAATTTAAATTAATTAATGCTATAATAAAATTTTTCTATGACTTAAAAACTAAACACTATTTTTTCTATCGGCCTAAATATGATTAGGCTAGTGGCCATCAACGAGTTTTTCGGCTAATGCCCTGATTTCATCTACTGGCCGGCCATTAGAAAATAAACTAGACTTTCGGCTACTGGGCTGAAAAGTCTATCGGCCTAAGACATATATAATGGTATACACGGAGACAATTCATAATAGTTTTACTCTTTAAAAGTAAAACGAGACCAAAAAAAAAAAAAAAAAGAATTGAAATCTGTTGGTAAACATTTGGAAAATTAGATTAGGCCTATTTCGCCTTATCGTCATTTGAGTTAATCTTTCTGTAACCTGATTCTCGTTTAGTCTAAACCTTTCTTGACCTAATTCTAATGTAGTCTTAACTTCATTTGTCATAATGGTCATAATTTTTACCTGTTCCCAATTCTAAATTATTTTAATCTGTATTTAACCTAATTTTTATTTAGCATATTTCCAATTCTTAATCATTCTAATCTATTTTTAATCTAATTTTTATTTGGCCTAATCTTTATCAAGCCTAATTCTTATGTGACATAATCTTTAAATAACCTAATTCTTACCTTTTATTGAGGATAACATTAAAAGTTATCATTTTTTTTTAAATTTTGGTAGATAGTCCAGGATCTCTATGAAAAAAGTGGTCATTTTGTGCCAAAAATCATACTAGACTTCTGATAACGGATTCATGAATAGTGGGGAAAAATAGATAATATGTATATATATGTTTCCAACTCGAGATTTTTTAAGCTGTGCTGTTAAAAAATTATGAAAGCTCTGTTAAACCAGTTTTTCAATTACCATTAATTCCCATGATATTTTAGAAGAAAAAGTTCTGTATAAGAATTGTAGAGCTTAAAAATACCTTTAAAATGACGGGTCGCAAGTTAAAAAATATTAATTTGTTTAGTTGCAAATGAATTTCAACAATCAGCACTTTTTTAATTGTTAATTAACTCTGAAAATAATAATTTAATAAATTGTAATACTTTGTGAGAGTACGCCACTTATGATCCTTAAAAAGCATACAAAATTTGGCCCCAAAAAAATAAGTAGTTTTTTGCAAAATTCCATTTTTTTTTTTTTATTAAAAACATGGTTTTTTGTAACGGAATTTGTTCCCTACTGGCCGAATGAAAATCAATTTTCTTGGTCTCATTTTATTCAGAAAGAGCCAATCTATCATTTGTACATTGCGGTTAATTATTTATTTACTAAAAAAAAGCGTTTTCTTTTATTTTTAAAGTTGTAAATAATAATTAAAAAATTAATAATAATTTTAGAAAAAATTTTTATTTTTCCAAAAAATTTTTTTTTTAACTATATATTTTTACCTCGAACCTTATTGGTAGTAAAATTTATATTTATCAATTAAATTTCTCACATAAAAATTAAAAGTTCCGTATTCTCTTTTTGCGCAAATTCCAAAGAAAAATTTAATTTAATTACAGAGAGGCAGCACGTGAATGTAGAAGAAAAAAGAAGGAATACATCAAGTGTCTAGAAAATCGTGTTGCAGTTTTGGAGAATAGAAACCAAACATTGATCGATGAACTTAAATCGTTAAAGGAACTTTATCAGCAGAAAAGTGACTGAGGTTGGTGTTTGATGCTAAAATATTGTATCAGATTCGTTAACTAATAATGAATGTTGTTTTTTGACCAAAAAAAAAAAGAAAAAAAAAACAACAGTGATGTACATGCATTCGTATACATAAGTGTTAATGTAACATATTGTATTTATGTACGACCATGAAGGCTTGTGAAACTTGCTCTTACTAAAGCGAGAAGCCAAAGTTTATGAACGTGTCGCAGACATTTTTAAATGCAACTGGGAGGGCAATCTTTGTTTAGTAAAGAGACATTTACCGATCGCCACAGGAGATGAAAAAAAAAACAAACAAATATTATCAGTGACATTGCTCTTTGTAAATTAGCAAAATTTGTACAGTTGAATTATTTTGCTTTAAGAAAAAAAAAGAAAAAAAACACCATACAATTTGTGTCACTTGAAAAATTTTTAGAAACTCTTTAATTGATGAACAAAACAAAAAAAAGAAGCTCTTGATTTTCATTTTTAAAAAAATACCTTCTGTACATCGAGCGATAATTAGTCATTTTCTAATAATAATAATAATAATATTATTAATAATAATAATACCTAATAATAATAATTATATAATAATAATTGTGAATATGATTAAGAAATCTTCTTGAAAATAATAATCGACACTTGTCGATTTTTATTTACATAATTTCAATTTTTTTTTTTAATTGTGCTAATCGCTTCATTAATATTTGATTCTTTTTTTCCTTTTATTCAACACTATATATGTGTAATCACAGCAAAAAAAAAAAAAAAGTTTTAATTTTTTTTTTCAAATATTTTAACATTTATATTTGTGGTCGCTAAATGTAGGGTAACAAAAATCTTACATATATGTCAAAAATTCTGGCTGAATACAATGAAAGAAAAAAAAAAAAAAAAAAAGCTTTATAAAGTGGTAGCCAGTCATTTGTAAAATATAGCTGTAATATAAATCTGGAGTGCCTTGCAAATTGCATATAAATATTTATATATATAAATATAAATTTATATGTATAAATAAATATATTATATAATATAACAATGAACTTACAGTAGTTTATGGTTATAAAGAATATTTTTAAACTTTATTTATCACACAAGGTAATTCAATTTAAAAGTCGTATACAAATTTGTTGTTTTAATTTTAAATTTAAAAAAAGAAAGAAATTTGACCATTTTTAATCATCTTGATACATAAATCAACTGTGGTTAAATGGAGCATTAAAAAAAAAAAATCACAAAATGTTAATCTTAGTTGTTTGCACATAAATGTATATGTATGGCAATTTATAGAAAATTTAAGACAGAATTTTTTTTTTTTTTTTTTGTTAAATGAAAGGGAAAATGTTAAATATGCATAAATACGATGTGTTGTCCTACAATATATGAGACCTGACAGTCACATTTAATTGTCTGAAAATTATATTTAAAAATTGTTTTTGTTTTTCGATAACAATATTTATTGTAAAAAATTTTTATTCCTACAGTGGAAAAAAAAATTTATTTGCTTCAAATAATCGGTTACTTAACTATTATCAAATAAATATTTTTAAATAATTTTTATTTATATCAATTAATTAAAATAAAAATTATTTAGTTCAAGTAAATATATTTATTTTGATAATAGTCAAGTAACTGATTATTATTTGAAACAAATAAATTTTTATTTCGCGAATAATAAAAATTTTTCTTGTTAATTACTGTCAGATTTCATAATTCCCAGTGTAGAGTACATTGACAATGTTTTGCAAAAACATTTATTTTTTTTATTTATTTTTTTCGGTTAGTTTAAGAAACAGATGATTTGATTGAAAAAAATTTTTTTTTTCCATATGTAAAAGTTTTGTATTATTCAATTTTATATTTCATAATTTTTGAAATATTTTTAATTACAAAGAGTAAAAAAAGAAAATTGAATTGTTTACAAAATTTTTTGTTTATAAACAATTTTTGAGGGTTACTTTATATATATATACATATATTATATATTAATATATATTTTAATATATTATATATTAATATATATTTTAGTATATTATATATATATATATTAATATATATTTATAAATATAGGTTTTATTGAATTTTTATTAATGAAAAAAAAGAGGTAAAAATAAATAACACAAATTCAATTGTGTGTAGAGAGCATCGATAAATGTGTTAACTATGTGTAACAAAATAATTTATAAAGAAGAAGAATAAGAGGAAGAATCGTTGCAAAAAGAAAAAGTGTGAAACATTAAAGATCTTAAAATTTATTTTTAACCTACAAAGACAGGTGAAACCTTCTAATAGGTATGAGCATATGGTCTTTTTAAAAACTTAAAATGTAATTATATGTATAGTATGTGTATATCTTGGTTGCTGCACCTGACATTTAATAGAGTATTGTACATAGATAATATATATATATATTATATATAAATCTATATATAAATATATATAAATGTATTTTTACATATCATTGGCCTTCTTGAGAAATATAGCTTATAAATCTATTGACAATGATTTATTTTAATCTGTACCAAATTATATATTAATATAATATTATATATATATTTTTCTTTTTTCAATATAGAAATTATTTTTATTTTACATACTCATTTTTTTTTTTTAACCAATTTCGCAGAGTTTTAATTTGCTCACGAACTGCGGATAAACATGTGCTTCCCTCAGTTTTATATTGTTCAACACTATTTTCGAAATTCCAAATATTATTTACGTCTGTGTCAAAAGCTGATCTAAAATTGAAAAATGTTTATTTTTTCAACTCGGATTTGAAAAAAAAGAAAATAAATAAAATTATTTAGTTGTAGGTAATAATTAAAAATAATTTTATTTTCTTTGAATAAGAGAAAAGTTTTTTAAATTTAATAATTACCTATAATTAAATAATTTGAATTTTTTTCGTTATTGAATTTAAGTGAGTTAATTAGGGTCCGTCCATAAAGTATGTTACCAATTTTTCATTTTTTTTAGACCCCCTTTTCCTTAAAATAGGTAACGTAGTTTATGGATGGCCCCTTAGTAATTAATTATTGTTTAAAAATAATTATTTAATAATTTTTATTAATATTATGAATCTTACGAAAATAATTGCAATTGTTGCAAGGTTAAATTTTGAATTGCTATTCCTTTGTTTTCGGCAGTTGAAACAATTCTACCAACTATATGATGAGCATCGCGAAAGGGAATCTAAAAATTTTTATTATTTAATTTTCAGTTTAAGAACATAAAATACCTGAAAATATAGACCTCTAAATTAAATATTTTTCTGGAGGTCTGTATTTCCGGAGAATAAACGTCCTTAAACTAAAGTTTTATTATAACAAAATAGCCACTGACTGGGCAAAAGTAGGGAATGTTTTTAAAAACCAAAAATTATAATTACATTTTTATTAGAAATTAAATTTCTATTAAAATCTTTGTAAAAAGATAATTCGATCAGTTGTAATTCGTGTTTTGACCTGTTTAAAAGTGATCGTATTATCGTGAGAGTGACAATTTTGTCATTTTAAAAGCTAAAAATAGCTTTAGAAGTACTAAAAATTTGAAATTTTGTACTAATCTCAATAATTATAATTTAATTACTATTTAAATTTGATGTTTGTTTCGTTTTAAAAATATTAATGTTGAATTGATACTTTATCAATAAAATATTAATATTTCAATGTCATAATTTGTAAATATTAATTATATAAAAGAAAACAAAAACATTTTAATAGCAATTAAATTATATCATTATTAAAATAAGTATGTGCGAAACCTCAAATTTTTAGATCTCAAAAAAAAGTTACAAGCTTGGAAATTTTTTTAACATTTTACTGTTAATTATTATTAATTTAAAAAAAAATCAAGTCATAGTTATTATGATTAATGAACTAAAAACATATTTAAAAACTAGATTTTTGGAATAATATGGCCACTGCAGTTCTCAGACGAAAGTATTATAATTAAATTATTTATTAGCATAAATAATATTTTTACCCCTTTCCTCACAAGATAATAAGCTATGTCAGTTGCCAACATGTTATAATTCAATGAATCTCGACATTTATTTGCATTAACTTTTAACGTTTTTAAAGCCTCATTTGCAACTTTCAACATTTCCATTAAAATATCAAATGTTGAAAAAAGCGCTTCTTTGTCTTCTTGTAAATCTTTATTGTACGTTGAAGGTGTGCCTTTTAATGTTGCCATAAAGCCAAAACACTAAAAGAAAAATAGTAAAATTATTATATAACGTAAATAATTTTTCTCTTAAATTGAATTTTTCACTATATATGTGTATTGTAAATATACTTTTCCAAGAATTGTGCCAGTTTTTCCCCGAATTAATTCCATACTGTCAGGATTACGTTTTTGTGGCATTAAACTACTGCCAGTGGAAAATGAATCCGATAATTTTATGAATTTAAATTCTTCACTGCTATAAATAATTACATCCTCGGCAATTTTGCTCAAATGTATTGAAGTTAGTGAAGCCCAGAATAAAAATTCAGCTTAAAAAATTTATTCGAGAATTAAAATATAATGTTTTCTTTAAAGGGGATATCTAATTTTTTGAACTGAAGAAAATGCAAAGAAAATTAGACATTCCACTTAATGTAAAAAATCTATAATTTTATCCTTAGAATTTTTACAAAAATTTTTTTTTTTAGAAATTATACGTATTTATATATATGTACTTATAAAATTATTAGGTTTGAATTTTTTAAATTTTGATTCATGCTTTTTTTTGAAAATTACCTACGTAATCGCGATCTCCAACAGCATGCATACTATTTGAAGTAGCAGAATCAAATTCAAGTTTTAATGCTAATTTTGTCCTATCAATTCCAAGGGGATTGCCAGCTAAAGCCCCACTTCCCAAAGGACTAATATTTAAATTTTGCCTCAGTTGATGAAGTTTATCGACATCATTTTTTAAACTCCAAGTGTGACTAAAATCGTTTAATTTTTACTATAAAAGCAATCTACTGCTTGTAAAATGATTATTAATTTTTAGGACGCACAAATATTACACTCATGTAGCTTAATTCAAATTTGTGTGTCGTCGAATTTCTATTTAGCAGAATTTTATGAAGTAAATTTTTATATTGAACAGAATTTTCATTTGACCGAAATTATAAATGTCCGAACAAACAAATTTATTTTATAAATTGTTTTCAAACCTTAATAGCCAGTGACTCCAACGAACTGGTTGTGCTCTTTGTAAATGTGTGTAGCCTGGCATCAAAATTTCTATTTCTTTCTCAGATCTCATTGCAAGCATCTTTTTTTTTAATTAAAAAATATTCAGTTTTGAAGGTGTTTTTATTTTGAAAAATATTTAATTCAAAATATAAATTGTCTTATGATAATTTTGTGGGTCTTATAAGTTTGCTTATTTTTTTATTGATCAGAAAATTGTTACTTATATATAAAATAAATTTTAATTTTACTGTATTTATTGTTTATAAGTACATGGGGCATTCTGCCTTAGTCATTAATTTAAGGAATTGTAATATAATTGATCGCGTATTATGACCAATTTCTGAGGATTTCTTTAGTTTTTTGTTTATTTGTTAACAAATCTCAAAAGGCTCTTTTTGGGATTTAGAAGAACCTGATATAAATGATACTAAGAAAATGAGTCAAGGTAGTCATTAATTTAAGGAATTGTAATAAAATTGATCACGTATTATGACCAATTTCCCAGGATTTCTTTAGTTTATTTGTTAATAAAAGGCTCCTTTTTGGATTTGGAAGAACCTGATATAAATGATACTAAAAAGATGAGTCAATGTAGTCACCAATTAAAGGAATTGTAATGTAATTAATCACGTATTATGACCAATTTCTCACAATTTTTTTCGAGTTTTTTTGAAGTAAATATGCTTAAAACTTTGATAAAATATTACCCTACAAAAAAGCATTAAATTTCTAAAATATTAACTTATTTAAAAAATATTGTAGAAAATACAGAATTTTTAAGAATTTTTGGTGAAATTTTTAATGTCAAACTATTTGTATTCCTTTTTCAAATTTAAGTTTTAAATTACAGTTACTAAACATTAAGTTAAACAGAGTAACTTAAAAAGTAGAAAGTTCAACACCCTCTGCTTTTTTCCATTTTTTTAAGATAATATTTTAGAAATTAGTTACCATTATTTAGTGCTACAATTTACCAAATTTTCAAGACAATCTAATAATTTTTAATTTTTCCCTGGGATATTTGAGAAAGAATACTCCATATTTAAAAAAAAATATCACCTGAATCATATCAATCATAATGGTAGAAATTGAATCAATTGATTTTCTCAGCCACATTTTTGTGTCTGTTGTTGTTTGATCATTTCTACTTCTTCCCACGTGTAATTTTCGTGCAGTACTACCAATTAGCTCCTATTAAATAATTTAATTTAATTTAATAAATATAAATCAAACTAATTTGTGTATGTAAAAATTTTAATGAAATTTTACTGTCAGTCTTCGTTCATTGGCAGTATGAATATCTTCATCATCTACTTTTATTTCAAACTCATTATTATCCCATTCAAATTGAACCTAAATATTTCAATAAGTTTTTATTTTAACTGTTAATAATAAATTAAATTTTTTGTTTGAAACTATTATACTTAACTTTTTTTAAACCTTCAGTTATGGATTTATATTCTTCTAGTGTTAATATTTTAGCATCGTAGAGTGATTCTGAATAAGCAATGCTACCCTAAAAATTTAAAAAAAAACAACATAAAATACATTTAATTTTTTGCATAGAAAACACAAACAAGATTCTTTTTTGATAGAATACTCTGCAAAATAAAAATGTTCTTTGTTTAAAATTTTTAAAAATTGGTATTTTTGTAGAAATTTTGAAGATTTTTTGATAAACACTTTTTTTCCTGGATAATTTTTACTAAATTATTTTCTGTTTTAATGAAATAATTTAACGAACCTTAATATCCTCAAAATACATTCGTTTATCAATCTCAATAGAAGAATTTAATTTCTTTAATGTGGAACTAATATTTTCAGTAAATCTTCCTCCCCATAATTTTTCAGTAGACGCATTCTGTTAGAAAAAATTTTGATTTACGTATAAAAATTTTTTTTTCGTTTTTAATTTTCAAAAATTGGTATTTTTGTAGAAATTTTGATTTTTTAATCAACATTTTTTTTCCGTGAATAATACCAATCGGAAAAATTATATTCGGAAAAATTAAATTTTCACCTTTTCATTCATTTTTTTATCGGAAATTCCAACTCAATAACACTTAATTTTTTTTTGCGTAACTATCGCGAATTTTTATACAAGTTTCACAGTTGATAATAATTAACAAAAATTGATATTTGACCTTTTAAACTTATAATTTTTATATAATTAGAAAAAAATTAACTGAAAATAAACATGAATAACTAGAAGAATATTAATTGTTAACTATCGCATAAATTTTAATAATGACACAAATTTTAACTTAAAACGTTTTGATTTTAAAGTCCATTTTAGTGTATTATACAATTATCATCATTGATAAAATCATAAAGGAGAGTTCATAAACCACGTAATCAGTAATAAAGTATATTTTTATTAACAAGTATATTCGCAAAGATAAAATTTTTATCTGAACGTCATGTATGCCAAAAATAATTTCTTTTGATTCAAGAAATCCTTCATTCTTTCTTTTTATTATTTTTTTTTTTTTGAATAGTGGAATAAAAATATTCACAAATTTCTCTGAAGAAAATATAATTTATTACAAAAAGGCAAGAAATGCAATATTAAAACATAAATGTTTATTCTTAGTAAAAAAAGTTGCTTTGTAAAAAAGTGAAAAATTATTTTTCTAAATTAGTTATTAGAATTGTATCAAATCTCGTAGAGCATTTAAATTACATTAGCGAAGGAATTTTATGTTGAAAACGATTTATTTTCCATGATCTCGGAACATTCATTGTCTAAAAAGAAAATCAATTACGATAATTAATTTTTTTCCTTAAAACTATATTTCAATTATTAATGAACTTAAATTAATAGTAAAATTATCTTTCTCACCTATTAGTTTGCATTAGGATTTCTTTGATTGGGAAGTTACATTAGCTGAAAAAAATTAATATAATTATTTTTTAATATTGTAGAATTTTTTAATTTTGTCTTTTATCGAAAAAATGTCAATTTTTGAAAATTCATACTGCTTTAGAATAATAAAAAAAAAGCTTTAAAAAATTTTCGACGATGAAAAATAACTTAAATTATAAAAAGAATCCAATATAAAAAAAATATCAACAGGAAAAAATTTGTGTTTGAAATTAAAGTAAAAAAAAATTTACTTTTTCCGTGCTTATCAGTCGATGATGATTTCTTAACTTTACTGCCACAAATTATATCATTTATATAACGAGGACCCTTTGTTTCCTTTGTTTTTGCTGGTTTCGTTAATTTCTCATTTTTCATATTATAAATTGCCGTTTTATAAACAACTTCCACTGGCTTTTTTATTCTGTAAATAAAAAAATAACTGAAAATTTAATTAAAATCATTTTTAAATAAATTTTTAGGCACATATGGTAAATTTGTGTTTTTTTTTATTAAAAAAAAATAATTCATGTTTACTTTGAAGTTTCCGGTTTTGTATTCTTTTCGATTTCCAGTTCTGATGATTGTTTAGAATTACGTGACTTAGATGTGGTTCTTTTCAAATCTTTTTTCACTAAAGCACTCTTGGAATTTTTTAAAATACCATCCTCTTGACTTTTTTCTTTTATCTTTTGTTCCTTGAGTTTGTTATTCGATTCTTTTTCTATAATTTTATTACTTTTATTTTTTACATTATCTGAGTTTTGTTTTTTTTCTTTTTTACTATCGACAGTTTCCCTCTGGAATAAGAAAAATAATCAAAAATTAAAAAAATATTAGCTTTGAAGAAAAAGACAGGAGAATGAAAAAAATTATAGGTTATGTTTATGATAGTTTGAAATAAAAATACAGAAAGAGTGTAACAACTATCCATACAAATCATTTTGTTATTTTAATCTTTCGTATATCAAAAATATTCTTAAATCTGGTTTTGCATGTAATTAAAAAGAAACTTTAAATTAAATGAAAACTATCATAAACATAACCTTTAACTTTTTTTTCTTCCAGGTCCTTTTCTAAAGGTAAAGTTTCCATTAAACTGAATTTCTATTTAAATGGAATTTTCATTTAACAGAATTTCTATTTAACTGAACTTTTTATCCTGATTTGATTTAGACGTAATTTTAAAAATATTTTTTATTTAGCATTTTTGTTTAAGAGAAATATTTAGTAGAATTTTTATTTTCTCGAAATTTTATTCATGTGAATTCCTATTTAGCTGAATTATTGAATAGTAGAATTTTCTATCATGCTAACGACAAATTTGGTTGAATATATTATTCATATTGCAAATAAATAATACCATGCATTCCAAAATTTTTCTAAGTATTGAAATTAAATTCTATTGATTTTCTAGGGAAATTTTATAAAAATAACTTCGAAATACAAACCTTGCTCCGCCTGATTAGAGAACTTTTATTCGACTCTGATCCACTGTTTCTAATCTCGGAACTTAATTTTGAATTAATTGACTTCGATTTACTCTGATGTGTGTGTAATTTTTTAGAAAGTTCTTCTTGATCAATTTTGCTGGGTTGCTGTACTTTCTCTTGATTTTCATTTTCCTTTAGTTTTTTCTTCGAAGCTACTTCTGTCTCAAAACTATTTTGAACAGCTTGTGAATTCTCATAAATTGGCACATCATTTCTATTAGACTCAAATACATTGACATAAATGGGACTAGGATCACAGTTTTCTTCTCTTACTCCCGAACTATTAACATCACAAAAATCTTTGGCTTCTGAAATAGGCACAGCGCAACAATCTTTTACATTTTCATTGGTTTTCATTAAATTTGTAGAAATTTTACCAACATCATTTAATTTCACAAAACGATGTGAACATTTTTCTGTTTCACTTAATTTTACCATTGATTGTTTTTCATTTAATTTCATTGAGGGAGATAAAATTTTTTCACTCTCATTTGAATTTAACAAACAAGGTGAAATTTTTTCTGACTCGTTATTTAATTTTGCTAAACGTAGGGAAATTCTTTCCGTTTCATTTGATTTTGTTGAACGATGTGGAATTTTTTCAATTTCATTTGTAGTTGAAAGAGACGACAATTTTGCTTCTTCATTTGATTTTTCTATTGGATATAAAGAGGCGAGGGTTATTGTTGGTTTTTTCGATGATTTTAATAATTTTTGTGAATGATCAAAATCAACTTTGGCAATTATTGGCCTTTGAATAGCTGTGGTTTTTACAAATGATTTACTATCTTCTGATGTTATTGCTAATTCATTTTCTAATAAGGATGGAGAATTATGATTTTCCTTTCGAGTTCGTAAATCCAATGCTGATATTATTTTTGGAGCTTCCAAAGAAACTTCCTCAACATTACTTAATCTTGAAGTATCATCTGTAAGTAATATAATGAAATTAAATATAGAATTAGAAGAAATATTAATTAAAGTATGTTTTCAGATTTGGAAGAACCTGGTACAAATGATACTAAGACGAGTCAAGGTAATCACCAATTAAAGGAATTGTAATATAATTGATCACGTATTATGGCCAATTTCTCAGGATTTGGTTAGTTTTTTTTGTTAATAAGTCACAAAGGGCTTCTTTTTGGATTTGGAAGAAACTAATATAAATTATACTAAAAAGATGAATCAAGGTAGTCATTAAAGGAATTGTAATATAATTGATCACGTATTATGGCCAATTTCTCAGGATTTGGTTAGTTTTTTTTGTTAATAACTCACAAAGGGCTTCTTGTTTGATTTGGAAGAAACTGATATAAATTATACTAAAAAGATGAATCAAGGTAGTCATTAAAGGAATTGTAATATAATTGATCACGTATTATGACCAATTTCTCAGGATTTATTTAGTTTATTTGTTAAAAAGTCGCAAAAGTCTCCTGAGGTTTGACAAAAGTAAATGCAAAATAGTAAGTAAGGATTGAATTATTTTCGTTCAAACAATTAAAATCCGCTTAGAACAAAATCTCACAATAAAGCTCATCATGTTTCGTTTTTATGCTGATGTGGTTGAACCTGAATATCTGACAAACCCCATCAGATAGAACTTTGTTCTACACCAATTTTGATTCAGTGAACGAATACAATTGAAACTTGAAACCCCATTTATAGATTTTGCATTCAATTTTGTCAAACCTATTTAAGTCAGTAGCCTAGCATAAAAGTACAACGTTTTAAAACTTAATAATGAAAAAAAAACTTTCAATTACCTTGAATGATATTTTTTAAATTGCAAAATCCGTTAGAACCAAAATTAACAGTAGTCGTGTGACCCTTATGCCGATGATCTAAATTCTTTTCGTGAATGTTCGTAAGATTGCTCTCATTGATAATGTTTTTCTTTGTGTCATTCTCATTGTCCATTGTCAATGGTGATTTAAAAGATTGCCACGCATCTTCATCCTCTCGTAATTTTGTTGTATTTGACAATAATTCATCGTTAACAGACTTTTTATTTTCTCCAAATATATAGGATGGCGGTGTATCACCAAAATGAACAACTGGTAAATTTTTATTTGCTGAAATTCCAAGACCATTGTTGCTATTGTTATTACGACGTCTTCTTCGAAAACGATTTGTTGGCGGTGGTTTGCCATCAGTTTCAACGATATTTACTTTTCCTGAATCGGCCACAAAATGTACCTCAGTCTTACAAAAACCAACTTTTTTCGTTGGTTTCGTTGAGCAATCGGATAAAAATAAAATATTCTCCTGTGAATTTGAGTCTCTTGATGTGATATCATTTTTGGGTGTATTTTTTAAATCTATTGTTACTTTAATATGTCCAGTTGTTTCGTCTTCGGATTTACCCAAGTGCACTATTGTTTTATTTGATCGATTTGTGGTGTCTTGAGAACAAAGTCGAATTGACGTTGGTTTTTGTATTTCGACAATTGACTCACGATTCTTCTCGGAATGATCTTTATAGAAATATGTTCGTGGTTTCGATGCATTGGAAACATTTGTTTTGTTGAATGTTAAATTAGTTTCCGGTGAATGTTTCCCACTGAAATATGAATTTCTTGGCGATGATTCAGGCGATGAGTAAGAATTTTTGACAAATTTCTCATCATCATCAACAACTTTTGTTCGAAGTCGTGCTTGTGGATTTTTTAATTCGGAAAGTTTTGAAACATACAAATCACGCTCGGAATTATTTAAATCGGCAAGCTTTACATGAGAATTAGTTGAATCCTTTCCATTTTTCTTGTTTACTAATTGTAGAGAACGACGAGTTCGATAATCACGGGTAAAATTTAATGGCGATAATGATTCTTTTTCATCAGTTAAACTAGCTAAATCTTCATTTGAATTGCTTTTTTTATTCTCATTAAATAAGGATTTATTTCTGTCAATGACTTCGAATGCTTTGCTTAGTTTCTCATCAGTCAAAAAGGCAGAATTTTGCCCAAAAAATAATGAATGACTATCGTTAATTACTTTTGAGTGTAATTTTCGACATAGAGATGACAATGAATCAAAATTTTTATAGTCGTTCAGTCTTGACTTTATGCCACTGTCGAGATCACTCATGTGCTGCTCAATCTGCAATTAAAATTCGGGCTAATAAATCAAGGGGAATAATTTTTCGTCCCCTAATTCAATAATTATTTATTTATTTTCACTTACCGGGGATTTAGCTAACGAGCTACTGTGAATTAAATCAGAAACTCTGGAGGAAGACCATTGAGAGGCTCGTACCACTTGAATAGATTTTCCTCCTGTTCCTTGACTCTGAAAAACTTCTACTTTTCGTTGTGCTCGCTGAACCACATTTCCGTCCGCTGAATTTCGTTCACGAGAATCTACCACCTATTTTGTCATTAAAAAGAAAATAAGGATTAAAAATTTTAACGGTTAAATTGTTTTAATATTTAAATATAAAATTTATAATTACTTTGCCGTATGATTGAGCAGATCTTTCATTTTTGGTTTGCCATCTACCAGTCTCGATTCGAGCATTTTCCAACATGCCCGTGAGTTGATCCACATGCGACCATTCATGAACGTCTTCATTGTGAAATGGTGATCCATCATTGTCTCCAATAAATCCAGGAGACAATACTAATTCCATTTTCTTGTCGCTCGGCAAAAAAAAAAACGTCAGTCTTTTATTGAAAACACTTCTCTGCTCTCACAATTCATAGTATAGGCACTCTGTAAATAAATTATCATAATTTGCCATTGAATTTAAAAAAAGTATTTTGTCTTCAATATAGAGAATAAATTAGCTAGTTTTGAAAAAAATAATTTCTATTACTTTATGTAAATGTTTGATAATTTTTTTTTTTTTTTTAACCAACTGTAAATATTAACTTGTATGAGGTGATTGTAAATCGGTGAAGGTCAAGTAAAAAGGAATTTAAAATTCTCTCGTTTAAAAAAGAGTAGTTGACATTGAAAACGTACTTTTTGACGTAGATTTTGATTCTAATCAAATAAAGATACGATAATTTAATAATTAAATAAAATTTTAACGACTGTATAGAGAAACACCGCGGTAAACAAAGAATTTCCTTGTTCTTTAAATTTACATTTCTCATGAAAATTTAATTTTTGTTAATTGATTTTAGTTTCTATTTTATTTCAATTTAAATAAATTTTTTCGTTTCAAATAGAATTTTTATAAAAAAAAATGAAATGAAATTTAAAAGCAAAAGTGGGTGTGATATCGGATATTGAGTAATAAATCGTTCTTTATTGATTTTATCAAAATCTTGTTTGAACTTTAGTTGCAGTGTCTTAATGAAAAATTTTTTTCTTTTCAAAGGAGAATATTAAAAATTCATTAAATAAAAATTTTCAATAAAAAAAATAGAAAATCAACTTCATATAAAAAATTGAATTTCAACTTTCTGCGAATGGCGATATTTAAAAGAAAAGATAGACGAACAAGTTTTGTATAACTTGTTTCTTATCTTGTGCGTCTATACTCTATGTGAAAGAGTGATTTTTCTGAAAAATCTAAATATGTCGAAATCAGAGTAGGTATGATTTTGATGACGAAATCATTTATATAGAACCTTTAAGGTGCGTAAAATTTGAGGCGAGAGAAATTATATATTATATAGTCTTTGTTTGGCCTCGATTTCTGGACCTTTCATCTTTTCATCAATCATTGAACAATGGTGTCACAATTTCTCATTGTGTTGTCAACCGATTGGCCTCCTTGTCTTTTAAATCAATTTTGTATTCAACCAAACAATCTTCAATCAAGTCCGATTAAATAAATATCAATTGATTTCTCACCTATTAGTAAAAAATGAATCCCTTTTTTCGAATATTTGAATTGGTAAGAATTCGGTTAAATAAAAATTCAGATAATTAAATATTCGAATTTTTTTAAGAATTCGGTTAAATATAAATTTTGCTAAATAAGAATTTGGTTAAATAACATTTTTTTGTATATAATTTCCGTTTCTACTTTATACAATTAGATTAAATTAAAATTCTTTTAACTAAAACCCCTGTTTAATGAGAATTTGGTTATAAATAAAATTTCTTATGAAGAAAAATTTAGTTACGTTAATATATTTGTTTAAAAATAAATTCTGTTTTAATAAGATTTTTATTCATTAACAATTCTTTCTTAGGAAAATTCGGTTTAATAAAAATTCGTTTTAAAAAAATTTGGTTCAGTATAATTTTTATACTATATAAAATTCAGTGAATTAAAAATTCTGCTTAATGAAAATTTGGTTAAATAAAATTCCTCTTAATTGGGAATTTAGTTAAATAATAATTCTATTAAATAAATATTCGAATGAGTATAAGAATTATGTTAAATATAAATTTTTGTTAAATAAGAATTTGGCTAAATAACAGTTTTATGGTATAAAAATTTGGTTTCTACTTTACACGATTTGGTTAAATAAAATAAAAAATTGGGTATGAAAATTCGGTTTCTACTTTATAAAATTCTCTTAAATAAAATTTTTGCTGTTAACAACTATTCGGTAGGAAAATTTGACTTCTATACTTTATTTTTATACGATTCGGTTAATTAAAAATTCTTCGGTTTGAAAATTCATTTTCTTCTTTATAAAATTCTGTTAAATAAGAATTTGGTGAAATAACAATTATTCTTTAAACAAATTTGGTTTCTACTTTTTAGGTACGATTCGGTTTAATATAGAAATTCGGGTAATTAAAAATTCTTTGGTAATTGAAAATTCGGTTTCTATTTTATAAAATTCTGTTAAATAAAAATTTGGTTGTTAACAATTTTTTAGTATGAAAATTCGGTTTCTATTTTATAAGATTCGGTTAAATAAAAATTCTTTTAAATAAAAATCCGATTTAATAGAATTTCGGTTAATTGAAAATTCTTCGATTTGAAAATTCGGTTTCTGCTTTATAAAATTCGGTTAAATAAAAATTCGCCGATATTAAAAATTTGATTGAAAATAATTTCTATTTTTAAAAAAATTCGTTTAAATAGAAATTCGATTTTCAAGAGTAGGTTTCAAAGAAAGTACAAGTGGTTATAAGAACCCACGCACATATGTATATCGTGCGTTCTACTGCACAACATTATTAAATATATATATTTGTGGAACACAAACAAAAAAGTGTTTATGTATAATACGCAAACTTATTATGCAAGAGTTAATAGTTGTAAATTACGTTCATTGTAGTCTCATTGTTTCACGCAATTTATCGAGAATACGGACTGTATTGGATTTTACTATATATATACGCACAAAATGCATATGTGTATATATATATATATATAATCATCTTGAAATAAGTGGATACTCGAGAGGAGTTATAAAGGTAAATATACTGGGAATACAGAGAAAATCGCGGAATAGTGTATATATATATATATATATATATATATATATATATATATATATTATAAGTGTAAATTCTCCTTGAGGATTCACAGGCGGAAGGAAGGTGAGACGTTGAGACCACCATATACCTCTAGGATTTCTGTGAGTGGGCGGACCATCGATGTAACGTGGTTTGTCGAGTGCGTTGGCTGACTTCAAGGACATCTTAACCCACTGGTGAACCAAGTTTCTTACATGACACACCATTAACAAGAAATTTATACTATTCCCTTTGAGATATTCTTTCAAAAAAAAAAAAGAAAAAAAATGAATTCCTCTCATTTCCTCAATTTTATTGCATTTGGCAAATTATTCTTGCAATTTTTTTTTCTACGATTTTAGATTGCGCACGTTATTGGAAATCGAGAAATTAAAAAAAAAATGTTTAAACGAATGTAATTCTTTACACCGAATTTATATTTAGCTGAATTTTCATTTGACATAATTTTTATTTAACCGAATTCTCAATGAGAAAATTTTTTATTTAGCAGAATTTTCATTTAATATGGTCATTTAACAGAATTTCCGTATAATAGAAATTTGACAATAATTATATTTAGCAGAATTTTTATTTGGCTTAATGTTAATTTAACCGAATTTATCATTAATGGATTTCTTTTATTAATTAGGTTTAGATTTAATAACATTTTATTAAACCAAATTTTCATTTAGTAAAATTTGTATTTAGCGAAATTGAATTAAATTTTTTCCCCTCAATAGAAGAAATTTAATAGAATTTTTATTTAACCGAATTTCTGTTAAATAGAATTTTTATATAACCGAATTTTCATGTTGCATATTTTGTATTTAGCGAAATTCTCAATTTAACATAACGTTTATTTATCTGAATTTTTATCAATATAACTATTATTTAAACGAATTTTTGTTTAACCAAATTTTCATTTAAATTTTTATTTAACCAAATTTTCATTAAGCATAGTTTTTATTAAGCAGAATTTCCACTTTCCATCTATAATAAACCTAAATTTACATTTAATTGGATTTTTATTTAACAAAATTTTTCTTAAAAATAGTTTTTATTGGACAGAATTTTCATTTAGCTGAATTTTTACTTAGAAACTTGAAACGAACGAAAATTCAGCTAAATAAAAATTCTGTTGGATGGAATTTCATTTTAAGTGGAATTCAGCTAAATAAAAATTCTGGTGGATGGAATTTCATTTTAAGTGGAATTCAGCTAAATATAAATTCTCTTAATGGAAATTCGTTTTAGTGAAAATTTTAGTGAAAAGAATGTTTAAAATGGAAATTTCTCTAAATGGAAATTCAGCAAAATAAATATTCTGTTATAGAAATTCGTTTAAGTGAAAATTCAGGCGAATAAAAATTTTCTTAAATGGAAATTCAGCTAAATAATAATTCTTTAAATGGAAATATAGCAAAAGAAGAATTCGTTTAATTAAATAGAAAATCAGCTAAATAAAAATTCGATTTAGTGGAAATTCAACTAAAAAAATTTTTGTTAAATTCAAATTCCATTAAATGTAAATTAAGCTAAATAAGAATTTTTTTAAAATGAAAATACAGCAAATTAAAACCCATGTGAAAGGAATTCCGGAAAATTTCCGGAAGTCATTTCCGGAAGATTTCCGGAAGCCACTTCCGGAAATTTTCCGGAAAATTTCCAGAAGGGACGTTTTTGAAAAATTTTCAATTGCTTTCGGAAATTCTTTGGAATTGACAGCTTTTACCTGTTATTTATGGTTAAATTTTTCGAGGAATTCGAATTCATTGTATATTCACAAAAGTTTTACGTGTACAAGATTACATATGTCTATTTTCAAATAACGTGGAGAAAAAATAGTCACTTAGTTTAAATCAATAATTTTGGTATTTAAAGCTATATTTTTTTAATTAAAATATAAAATATAATTTGCAATTGGACATCTTTCTGCTGTCTTATGTGCTTTTTATAAAACAGAATTGTTTTAAAAATATATTTTGTTTTAAAAATACTTTTAAAAAACAAAGCCAAATATAGTCATCGTGACAATAACGGACAGAATGTCCGTTTTTTCATGAAAATGCCCTACTTGTAGCTACTGTCAATTCATAATTATTATAATAATATAGATAATTATTTTAATTACTTGAATATTTTATTCCTTTTACTGATTTCCAATTCATTAAAATTTTTATGTGTTTTAATTGGAATGTAAATATTAGAAGAAGAAATAAAGAATTCGTTATTTCCTATTGTCTGTCACGTTGAGTTATTTACAGAATTTTAGAACAAATTATTTTTACTTCGGTTCAATGATAAATATATATTAAAGATAAATTCTGACAAACGTAGGT